GTGGAGGTGAGGAAGAAGTAATGGCAAGTGGAGATGAGCACAGGGAAATCCATGTGCTGCCTCAGTTCTCTTCAGGAGGCTGCAAGGTTGGTGCATTTTCTAGGACCAATCTTGCTGAGCCCAAGTGCTCACAGTAAGAATCCTAAAACCACGTTATCTTCATCAATGAGGAATTCAGTGTTCTAAGCAAAAAATACCATCTGCTTTTGAACACATAAAAGTAAACACAATTAACATTCCCTTCTAAAAAATAACTGTTAAAGCATGGAAGTGCATTTGCAAAGTCAAAATCCACATTCAGCAGATGAACTACTGAGATTTCAAATAGCATTGTCTGGCCCCTGCACACCAGTTACCAACACATCTACTCACTGTAACTTTCACTGTCTACACTATTCCTTAAGTTTCTTATCTTGGTAGACCAGAACCTGCACAATTTCCTCTGGATTTAATTGGAGTACTGTGTGTTACAATTCCCAGAAAGGAAGTATTTTGACAGATATATTTATATAAAATAGAAAGCTTTCCTTCAACAAAGTAATAAAGCCTATCTGACTTAAACGATTTTTCAAAATGTTGCTCTCTCTTCAATCAATTAACATACTTTCTTTTAAAGTCTTTTTGGATTGACTTGTACTCTGTTCTGGTCTCCATTTTTGGGAAAAGCCTGCACTGGACATAACAGACTTTTTCTTGAGATTATAATATTTTAATAACTAAAAATAAGTTCTTGCTGCCTGCCATATAACTCAGGGTGTTATCTTTGTGACAAATATTAAATCCAGTCAGAGCTACTCACTTATACGTTAAAAGTATTTATGTTGGACATGAATACTGATCATTCGAAGTAGTTCAAGATATTAAACACTTAGTTTGCTTTCTCTTTTTTCTTCTTGGTTTGTTTGTTCATTTTTAAAGAAAAATAGGAACTATATCCCTCTCTTTCCCAGTTCCTTACAGTTCAGTATTTCTACAAACCGTTACATTCCTAGAAAATGGCAGAAGCTATCATCACAACTTCCCTTATAAGAGACTTGGTCAGGACTAACACTTCAATAAAGTGAAATCTACCAGCCCATCTAGCAGTAATTCCTCTTTATTATTGTGGTAACAAATTTTATGGGGTTGTGGGTCTCATCCAGCAATGAAACTGGGAGCAGTAAATTAGGAGGCACAGATACTGTAGAAACATGACTCATTTCAAAACTGGGTATGTCTTTGATATTTAGGTAATCTTTTCACTGCCTCCAAAGCAAAACCTGTGAATTTCTCATGCTGCTGGAAAGAGGCCCTGTTCATTTGGGAATGAGAAGAAAGGATGTGATGAAGGATAAAGGCCAGGTTTTTTTTAACAAAAAATGAGAGATGCTATTTACACTGCTCCCTGAAAGAAAAATAAATCATAGAAAATTTATTTTAAAATAAAAACCCAGATTATATAGCCCTTGAATATGCAGATTTGGCTTCCCTAAAAACAGTAAAACCAGGTTATAATAATCAGCCTAAAAAGTCATCCTTTGCATCATAAAAATAAGTTCCTTCCATGTGGAAAGGTTTTAATGAAAAACAGAATTAAGTAGTGCTACAGAAACACAATGGTTTGAGGTTTTTAATCTATGCAGAGAAGACAGGCAGTTCTTTCTGCTGTTTACCTCAGCCTGGGGATTAGGGTAATATTGTACCGCTTGAAACCAGTGCTTGAAAATAATGAATCCTCTGAATCAGCATATTCCTACAGAGTTGAGGGGCTGGTTACAAGTACACAGGTCCATCTAGATCTATGACCTACTCCCTCAGAGACTCACAGGAACTGACAAGTAAGGAGGGTAAGACTGTCACATCTTCAAATGACATTTTGGAAGGTCTGGACAGGAAAAGTGGCAAAATGCTAAAGGATGCACAATGTTGAACAGGCTGGCTGGGATAATCTTTTTTCTCCAAAAGCATTTCCAAATGCCATTTTTCACCTGATAAAATTGCAAAGCTAACTCCCCTGCCAGGTGTGTATCTGTTTGGTGGACCCTTGCGGCACAATAGGTGCCTCCCTCACTACAGCTCTTCTCATCCTAAAGCAGCCAGAAACTGGTGTAAGTTGCTCTGTTAGATGATGCCAGCAAGTCAGCTTTGGTGAGGTGGGAGCTGTTTGCAAGCCAGGGTCTCTGCTCAATTTATAAAATCTCCTGGGTGTGAGAGGGGAGATGGCATGGCTGCTGCTTCCTCTTTTGCCCAGCTTGAGAGTACAGACAAAAACACTGACACTTTTCCCTATTACTTGCTTGCAGTGAAGAAGACTTTGTTTCCCCTGCTGCCTCCACATAGCCTTCCTTTCCTCCCTAGCAGTTATGGTCACACGGCACAAACATACAGCACTGTGCAAATACCTCCACTGGCTAGTGAGAAGTAAGAGTGGCCAGTGCAGCACCACATCAGCTCCATGGTCTCCAGGCAGCCCAGGGTTTACTTTAACTGAGGTGAATAGCATGGGAGTCTGTGCTTACAGCTAAGCACACATTTCAGAGATGTGATTTACCAGTGCTTAAAATAGCATAATCCACTGGCCAACACAGGCTTGAATTCACAGAGCCAAAAAATCTAATTATAGAGGAAGGGACACATAATGTTAACAGGAACATTGAAAATTAATTTTAAGACACATATTTTCTTTTCTTAAAAACACATTTGCATATTGGTTTTATAGCAAGTATTTGGAAACAAAAGCTGTGTAAAAAAGGAACAGATATTTTAGCCCGGTAATGTTTCCTGTTTGAAGAAAATGAAATTCTTTCCACATCACATGAGGCATTTCAGGATTGCCATTAACTTTCTACATAAAGCATCTCCTTGCAAAGATTCCTGACACAAGCACCATGCCCAGATAGAATGTGTTTTCGCTACCTCATGATGCAGGGAAACCAAATGCAGTTAAAAACTGCTTAGATTTTTAAAAACCCATGAGATTTGGTCTCAACACCATAAGCAGAACAGGCATAAAGCTTGTTTTAAGAGATAGCAGCAGCAATACAAATAGGTTTTTTTATGCTGGGTAAGTAGTTTCTAGACGGAAGTTAGTCTGCAAGAGAATAGCTGGAGTGGGAAGAAAGTTCTTTTTCCACAAATAAAAGGTAGGGTTTTTTTTCCATTACTTATTCTCTTGTTCCCATATCCAGTTAATATGTGTTTCCAAGTATGGGTGCACCATTGACCAAGGCCGGGCCTATTTTAAATGGTGGTAATGCCTCTGGTTTAATAGGTTTAAGAAGAAATCAAAACAAAAGTTGTTGTGCAGTTGCAACTGTGGCCAAAGAAGAGCAGAGTGGAAACAAGTGAGAACAACTCTGCAGACACCAAGGTCAGTACAGAAGAAGGGACAGGAGGTGCTCCAGGCACCGGAGCCCACATTCTCTGCAGCCCAAGGTGCAGCCCATGGTGCAGCCTATGGTGAAGCAGCTGTGCCTGTGCAGGGCCACAGCGATGCAGAGATCCACCTGCAGCCTGTGGAGGAGCCCCACATTGAAGCAGGCAGACACCTTGGAGGAGGTTGTGATCCTGTGGGAGGCCTTGCTGCCAGGCTGGAGCAGCCTGGCCTTGGAGGACTGCACGCCGTGGAAGAGTGACCCATGCTGCAGCAGTTTTGGGAGGACTGTTGCCTGTGGGATGGATCCCATTGCAGCAGTTTGGAGGGAGCTGTTGCTGATGAGATGGAGCCATGCTGGAGAAGCTCTCAGTGAACTGTCTCCCATGGGAGGGACCCCGCGGTGCAGCCGGGGAAGGACTCCTCTCCCTGAGCAGCAGGAGTAGCCATGGGTGATGGACTGACCATGACACCCACTCCCTGTCTCCTTGTGCCAGCTGGGCAGGAGGTACAGCTCACAAGGTGGGAGGGATGGTGGAAGGTGTTTTTTTAAGGACTTACTTTTACTTATCTTTATCCTGCACTGATTTGTTAGTTGTAAGTTCACTTTGTATCTCTAAGTTGTTCCTGCTTTGCCCATGATGGTATTTGGTGAGGGATCTCTCCCAGTCCTTATCTCAACCCATGAACCATTTGCTAGATTTTCTCTCCTCTGTCCAGCTGCAGAGGGGAGTGAGTAAGCAGTTCATGGGTGGGCCTTTCAACAGTGGTATGTTTAATTGCTTAACCCTCTATTTAACACTGATATATTATTTCCTCCTGAGAAAGAAAGGAATTCTTTAGCCTAGAAAAAGATGATTCTGGAGCAGTGAAAGTAAGCTGCCATATGGCAGGAAAGCCAGTCGTAACTGTACGACCCTTGTGCTCAGGTCTCAGGCGGGAGACATAACCATGGAAAACACAATGTCCCACTGTGCCTGCCAGGAAATCATTCACTAGCCAGGGAGGCATTTCACACCTCTCCAGGACACTACATGGCATGGCCCGACTGGGAGCTCAGTGCTGCTTGCAATAGGGATGGGACCCAGTAAGGGACATTTTATCCTCCAGCATTTTGTACCTACACATAACATCCTATGTTTATTATATCTTCAGGGTGCTCTTCACTTACAGCATCAGATTTCAAATCTCACTGCAAGATGGGGTGTAATTCCAACATAAATGCCTGCGGCAAAACTTACTTATTTGCAGAAGGGAGTTTATAAACAAGTTAGGGTGTTCTTGATCTGATTTATGCTAAGATATCCCAGACACCTCAGGCAGAAGTAAACTAGGATGAACATATATTTTCACTCTCCAAGTAGTGTCAAAATTTCACAGGGGCATGAAAATCCACACATTTCTATATAATAAATGCAAAATTCTTTCCTCTATCTGAAATAATTTAAAGGATGGGTGTGCTCCCATCCTTCCTTACCATTTGGTGGAGCGTTGCTGAATTGCTGATGATTTAGGCATAAAAGAAGCATTATAATTTTGCATTTCTTCCCTCCAGTAATCTTTCAAAACACTGCTCTGTGTTAAGAAATAAAGTTAGTGGGATTTACAGACTAGTTTATTGGTACAACAGCAAGAAACCAATTTAGATTAGATTAGGCTAGGTTAGGTTAGGCTAAAGTAGGCTAGGTTGTGCTAGGCTGGGCTGAGCTGGGCTGGGCTGACTGAGGATAAGGGCAAATACAGTGGAAGTATTTGGGTATAAAAACTTCTTTCTCGGGAAGTGCAGTGCTGTTCCTGCTTAGTACTACATACGGTGACGTCGTGGGGTGGGGTAAGAGGAAAGAGGAGGGGTGATCTCCTAACAAACAGCTGTTGCAGCTGCAGAAAGGAAAAAGGAGAAAGCTCTGGAGCAGCAGCAGCAATCCGACCCCTGCAACAGGTAATGCTTCTTGAGTGAAGGTGACACAGACTGCTCAAATGCAAAAAGGAGAGGGGAAAAAACAGTGGGTGGCATGTGGGAGAAAAGTACAGCAGCTGTACTCAGCAGCTCTCTTCTTCCTTAACTACAGGGCTTGCAGCTTGTCACGGGTAGGAAGGGGAAGACACAGAAGTTCAGACCAACATGACTTAATGTGACTTAGAAGGAAACTATGTCAGCAGAGGGAATTTTCTAGCAGATCCTGCCTACTGAGGGAAAAAAAAAAAAAAAAAAAAGGAACATTGCTCTCTGGTTTCAGCGTGGGGGCTGGTTCCTCATGTGTGGTCAGCCAGCACAGGCACACAGGAAGGCAGCAGAGCACAGGAGTCCCAAGGGGCAGTAAAGTGCTCTGTGCATGCAGCCCTGGGTGGGATCCTCCGTGTGGGACAACCCTGAGAGCAACCTGAGTGTGGCCTTCGTCCTGTCACCCTGCAAGGGACACACAGATGGGGCAAGGGCTGACCTGATCTGGACGCCTGTGCTGTGCTGTCACCTTGGCTCATGGGGGAGCATGGTCCTGACCACCCTTCAGACACTAAGGGCACCTACCTCCATGCTTGCCTTGGATGATGGTTACCAAAGAGACACACTGAAGATCTTTGTGATAAAAATAATAAAATGCAACAGTTACACTTTGTGAAAATGCTGCCCAAGGAAATACATCAGGCTTTGCAACTAAAATGATAAAATCTTTGCTGTGTGTGCTAGTTCTGACATTTCTTATATTTAATCTAGTTTTCTGGGTTTTGAGCCCACAGAGAAAGCAGATAAGTTTTCTGCTAAGCAAGGTTGGTATTACATATGATAAATGCATCCCTAGCATTTCAATGTATTTGGCATAATAAACAGTAAATATTACTAAAAATATTTGTAAAAAATAAATAGTAAATTGCCATAGTGAATAAGGTGAAACTGACAATTAAAACAGCAGAGAGCAAGTGCAGCCTTCTGGGTCTGTGTCTCCTGCAAGAGCTATGTTTGTTTCTTTCTCCTGTCATCAATGCAGGCAGAGTACTGAAATGTGCTGTGTCCACCCTTCCCCCTGTATTTCTTTCAAATGAGAGAAACTTGGATGCTTTAAAGCAAATCACACTAAAGGGAGAGATGTGGCAGCAGGTCAGGCACCAGGGTGGCAAAGTGAGTTTTGGGAGACTAGCCAGCAATCTGAGACAGGCTCAGGGACTGAATCAGTACCTGATGGATTGTCTGTGTAATGCTTGCAACAGCTGCAGAAGCAGGTTCTGGAAGTGAAATGTGGAGCCACCCCTGCTGCGCACCGATGGGAGCAGGAGATCTAAATAAAGGCCTCTTCTGCCCTTCACATGTCACATAGAAGCAGATGCCTGAGTTTTGTGTTGTGACACAGAGCTGTTGGGACAGGGAACTAGGGAAATAGGTTATCTTAGGCCCGCTTTTGTTTCTGTAGGTAAAGAGGTCAGCCTTTGGATGGAGAAGGACCTTGGTGAAAAGTTACATTTCAGCTTCCTTTTATCACAGTGAAATCACCTTTCAGTCTCTTCAGATTTCTTTGCTCCTGTGAATAGCTTTTGTTTGGTCTTAAGTACTTGTTGTGCAGAGATTAACAGAGTAGGCTGATAAAGTGTGATGCAGTCTCAGATCAGGGTTGTTTCTTCACAGTGCAGTTTCAGCAGGGGCGGGAACTGTGCCACTCACTCACAGCTCTGGGGCCAGGATCTGTCTGCCATGTAACACCGGCATGCTGCTCAGCACCACATCTCTACACTCCTTGGGAATATGGGGCCCTCCATTAATGTAACAGTCTGTACATACTTCAGCAGTCACTGGTATATTTTAAAGATTATGTGCTCTAATGTGCAACAGCTGCCACACTGCCAAAACACTAATGTGAGGCTGTGTTTACAAATGTTACTCCCTGTTTAGTCAAGATTAAGTATCCTAAGCACTTCAAAAACAACAGTTTTATAGCCAGCCAATGCAGGAAGAGTTTGGAAAATACAATCAAATCACTGAAAGACAGGCTCTGAGGATGAGAGAACATCTAGCAAACTGAACTTCAGAAGTGAGAAGGTGCATCAGTGCGATGCATACACAGCAGTATCGGACCAAAAGAGTGGTGGAGCTGCTGATTGGAAAGTCTCAAGATTTTGATGTCCATTCCTGTAACTTCCATAAAGTAATATCTATCCATCTGGTAATCAGGCTGTTTCTTAACACAGAACAATGTTCTTAATTTGTTGTCTTTTTATAATATGTAGTTTCCCAACTTCTTCTTGCCACAAGATGGAACAAAGTGTCATTCAGTAATAAAACAGATGGAATTTGGTTTAAATCTTAATTGATTTCACTGGACTTTAGTTCAATTCAGCTGTATTCTACTTTTCCCAAAAGAAAGGGATCTATGGAATAGATTCCTTTGTTTTGGGTCCTGATATGTCTTATTTTTACAGTATCAAGGGACAATGATGTCTTTGGGGAAATATTTTATTCCCACAAATCTTTTTGTGTTTACAAAAGTGATGCTGTGAATAGTTGTCATCCTACATAACTGGAAGAGAGGAAGACAAGCACTTTCATGACCTCCCTGCAATTCACCTGCAATAAAAATTTAGAAGATGAGTTTATCTAGATCAATTTAAATAAGTAACATAAGTAACACAAGTATTGTTACTTATGGTCCATTGCTAGGAATGAAGGATAGGCATTCATCAAATTTAGACATTTTTGAAAATTTATTCCATTTGTTAATGTACAGATACAAATGAAATTAAGTCTTTTGGCAAGAACATACGGGATCAAGGCACAACTTGAAGAGAATACTACTTACTAGAGCAGGAAATTAATAGGTCCAACACAGGAGATAAATTCTAGTACAAAATTAACAAGTTAATTTCCTAAAAAGTAGTCTTATAGCTGGAGGACAAGTAAATCTCTCTTTTCAAAATAGACCAGAAGAAAATGCATTTATAGGAAAATAGGTATATCCAGAGCTCATGACGTCTTGCAAAAAGTCAGATTGTCCATGAAAATTAGGTTAGAATAGCTGCAAAATTAGTCTTCTCCCACAGGAGAAGATTTTGTTCATTAAATGTAATTTGAATCCAGAAGTTAATGGAGTATCTTTGTTTAGATACTTCTTCCTCTGGAGGCAAAAATTTCACTTTATGGCTGCTGATTACCCTAATGATTGGTGGGAACTCTGAAAATTTTTCTGGGCATATCCTAAGTGTAGCAACAAAGGGAGCCTTTAATCCATTAGACAGAGTTTGTTCTGGAACCTCTGAGAGATACACACAGGTTTCACTGTTCTGTTTATATTTCATGGAACCAAAGAATGATTTGTGTTGGAAGGGACATTGATAATTGTTAAGTTCCATTCAGCTTCCTCTAGTTCCAACACCCCTGCCATGGGCAGGTATACCTTCCACTAGTCCAGGTCTCTCAGAACGCCATCCTTCTTTTGGCCTTGAACACTTCCAGGAATGCGGCATCCACAGCTTCTCTGGGGAACCTGTACCAGTGCCTCACCACCTTCACAGTAAAGACTCTTTCCTTAATATCTAATCTTACCCTGCCCTCTTTCAGTCTAAAGCCATTCTCCCTTATCCTGTCACTACATGCTCTTGTAAAAAGTCTCCATCTTGTTAAGTTTGCTTCAGGTACTGGAGGGCCACAATTAGGTCATCCTGAAACCTTCTCCAGCCTGGACAGTCCCAATGCTCTCAGCCTTTCCTCAAAGGAGAAGTGCTCCATCCCTCTGATCATCTTATTCTCTTGTGCTCTGATCCCCTTCTGGACTCTCTCCAACAGGTCCATGTCCTTCCTGTGCTGGATGCAGCCCTGAAGGTGGGGTCTGAGCAGAGCAGAGCAGAGGGGCAGAATCCCCTCCCTGGCCCTGCTGCCCACACTGCTTTGGATGCAGCCCAGGACATGTTTGGCTTTCTGGGCTGGGAGTGCTCATGGCTATGTAATGTCCAGCACCCCCAAGCCCTTCTTGGCAGGGCTGCTCTCAATTTCAGCTCTTTTCCTTTGATTTATTAACGTGTCCAAAGAGGGTGCAATTTCTTACAATGTTGTTTTAAGTAATATAGTTTATTATTTCCACTTTCCACAGCTTTACCATGAACATGTACCTGTTTGTGTATGACTTAATGCAATTCTGTGGACATTCTTGGATATTTACAAATATGATCATCAGGTTCATGACATTTGGAAAAGGTAAGGCTCCTTCTCTATTTTCCTTGGACATTTTAAGTGGCAATGACAGACACACAGAAATATCAAATTAGATCTAAAGTTGAGATTCTGAACATGTGTATGTCCAACACCAGGGACTGTAATTCAATCAGAAAGCCACTCCATTAAAAAGGCTGAACAAATTACTTGTGTCTGTCTTCTACCCTTGTCACACTGGGAATTAAGTTCTTGTTTTACTAATAAACTTTAATATTTGGTGGCATGCTAGTAACATTTGAATTAGACATAAACCTAAATGGCTAGGTCCAGTCACAATGGCAAATATTAATCTTACTGAAGCCACCGGGAGAAAATATCTTTGTGGTTATTACACATGACTCTCTATCTTCAAAAACATTACAATATATTTCTCTTTCTGTTGCCTGGGGATAAGACACAAAAAAAGAAAACTAGTGACTGAAAATTTAAAATTACTTATAACAGTGGACAGTTTTAGGCATATAAAATCCTTACTTTCTGGACTACTTGTTTTCAGCAGTGCAGATATAGGCAGGAACTCAACATCTTGTAGTGTTTAGAAATTCTTCATGCATTTCCTCAACATTTTCTCCTATTTAGAAATACCCTAAAGCAGTATCTCTAAACCAACACATCCTGCACAGTATTTGCCCATGCTTTAAGTACAGGGAATTTAATTATTTTCTCAGCTTCCTGCCTCTGTGTCAGAACCATACACACAGAGCAGATTGCCTCCTCCACTCCTTGAAGCTTTTCTTCTGCTACCCAGAAGTTTGGTACTGTATGTACTTTATTTCTTGTCATCTCCAGTGATGATAGCATAAAAGCAAAACCAGCACTTGCTCCAGACTTTTAACTGTATAACCATCCTCTAATCTTCCTCTTAATTTTGTCTTTAGATTCACTGGCTGACACATTTCACTCCATAGGAATGGTGATGCGCCTTTGCCAGTTGCTATCTGTCCTGGAGATCCTACACATCCTCATCGGCATTGACAAAAGCCGTCTCTTCCCCAGGTTTTTGCAGGTAAGTTCGTTCTCAAAGCTCTCCTTTCATGACCGACACACATCAGCCATGGCTGCCCCTGGGGACAAGCCCAGGCCGAACTACTCTGAATGTACCCTTCCTCAGGCAGCCTGGTTTCCTGGTAATTTCCCAACTGCAGGAATTGGTTCCTCAGAACTGGGCTGGTTGGGAAAGAACTCTTCTGTCAACTTTTTTCTTTTTGAGTGAAACTGAATAGTGAGTACCCCATGCTTGGTCCCCAGCATGGACCCAGAAAAGGTCTGGATGAGTGGCCACCAGCAGAAGTGGGTCAGTGGCCAGCTGCAGTAATCAAACCAAGCCAGGGGGGCTTGGTCCTTCTAAATTTCTCCCTACATAACCTCCCAGCATCCCTATAGTCCCCCTAAGTTATCTTCCCCTCCTTCCACAGTTGATGCACTCTCTTCTTTTTCCCTGACTTCCAGTAAGTTCTCTGTTTAACCAAGCTGGTCTTTTTCCCTAGTAGTTGTCATATGTTCAGCTGAAGGCAGAAAACCAGCCAAAACTGCTATAGCAGAAAGAAAGATGATACTCTGACAATTTCCTTGCCACGCTATTTTTTTCTTTTGGGTGCTAATATCAAGTTTTGTTATTTTTTTCTTAATACATTGGAAAAAAGAAAATGGTTACTTGAATTTACCTTCAAACCTTTTCAATCCATAGTATTTGAGTAACGGTGAAACTCGTATTTCTCTCAGCAGTCAGAAGACCAAGAGTAGTTAGTTATGTTTTTAGTTTTCTGGATAGCCCATTTTTGTCAAATGACGTATTCATGGGTGAAGATGTTCCTCTTTTCAAGTCTTCATTAACTGTCTAAATTGACTAATACAGATCTCTATTCTTTACACTGCTCCCTAAGTATCAAATCCATAAAAATGTAAAGAACTGCTTTTCCTTGCCTAAATCTGCAGGCTTTGATGCTAATCTAGGGGAAAAAGAAGACTCCTATCTAGTATGACCTGTAACAAATCTCACATGTCTTGGAAAGAAGAGCACCCTGCTCTTAGTCATTAAAGCAGGCCTTGTCCTGACAGAGTTTACACATTCCCCAGCCCTGACATAGTCTGTTTCTTTCCTAGCCAGACTTACACAAGGCAGAGATCAGGGAGGCCTGCACAAACACTATTATGTTTTGCCACAAATGACTTTAGTATGAAAGGGATATTCTGAGCAAGAAAACTGTGACCTTTCTTAGGCAGTGCAGTTTGCACAGTGATCTGGTAAACATGGAGCAGCAGCTCAGGGAACCATATGGCACTGTGACTCTCAGTGTTTACCTCCCACCAAATATAGTTTTGGATCCTTACTTGGTTCTTTCCCCAACTGCACTCTCACTGTGAACTTTCCTCCCTTGTTAGCAGCAGCCTCATGCTGTCCAAACAAGAGATATAAGCTCTTTGGTGGAGACTCTGCTGTCCTGTGGGTTACCCGTTTTTTCTGAGAGTGTTGGTTTAGCATCTGTGTGCCACCACTACTCCCACATGCCTCATCACACTTTCTTCACTGCCTCTTAGGAAGGAAAAAAAGGTATATTTTCCACAGTGAACTAGGGAAGAGATGTTGGTTAAGAAATGTTTACCTTGCTGCAGCTTACTAGACTGCTGTACAGGCAGTGCACTGACAAAGGTGCAAGAATTTGAGAGGGGCTGCTTGGTTCTCTGCTCCTATCACCTATTCCAACTCAGAGCTTAAAACCCCTGTATGCATCTCTCATTAACAGGCATGCACATCCACATTGAAGTTCACTTGGGGTGATAGCCAGAATGTGAGAACAGCTGGCTCAGGCAATGTCAGAGAAGCACATGGGTGGAGGCAAATGAATCCTTGAGTGAAAGATTTCTGCCTATTGCATTTGTCGTGATTTAGTAGCATTTAAGAAAAACAATTTAAGTTACATGATACAGATAATGAAAAAACAAATTCAGAGGAGTCTTCTGGAAAAACTCTTTGAGGGACAAAGTGTCAGGCCACCAGGCAATTGAGAAAAGCAAGGTAGGTCAAGGCCAACTCACATCGTGAAAGAAAGATGAGTCCTGTGTGATGGATGTGCTGGGGTAAAGTGAGGCAGGGGATGGTCATAAAGCTGATGCAAAGGCTATTTACACCTTAAATAATTGGAGGAGGGCAGGAGAACATGTCACATGTCATTGTCACCAGCAAAACAGAAGGTAATGAAATGTGTTAGTCTGGCAAAAGAGCAAAGGTTGAAAGGACTTGTACCATAGCAAGGAGAGAGAAAAGGTCTAAGAAAAGACTGATGTTTTTGTGAAACAAAGAGTAGTCCTTCATCCTGTGTGAACAGATTGGATTTACCAAATCAAAAGCAATGTACTATGGCTTTGTGATAAAAACCTTTTTTTTTAACTTTAAATATTTAGTGGCACTTTTCTCACTTTCTTTTGTTGTTGTTTTTTTTTGGTTTTTTTTTTTTTTTAGTTTTTTTGGTTTTGTTAATATACACTAAATTTAAGAACTATGTAAGCATTTCAGGTACTGAGTAAAACATTGCACAGTCATGGTTATTAAAAAATGAAAGTGAATGTGCTATTTTCTCTAGCCAAATTTGCTCTGTTTCACTTACTTGATTAAAAAACTCAGTCTGCCTTGCAGAAACTTTTATCACCCTACAGAACCTGCTGTATCCTATGAGAAATCAGTGTCAGAAAAGGACGGTAATTCCAATTTGATTTTAAAGAAGGAATGAAAACTGAAAATTTATGCTTCATCATATGTTAGCACATACTTCCTTTTTATGAATGTGAAAACATAGGACTTGTGGTTTTGTGCTTTTTTTTTTTTTTTTCATTTAGAGCATGAGTATACCTACAAAGAACATCACATCTTCATTCATGAAAGGACAGATGATCCATACAGGAAATGATCCATGGCTGAGCAGCAGCACATGTATTTTATTTACATGTGTATATGTGTGTGTATTTATAAATGTACATGAATCCATGTATATATGCATACAGATACGTGTGTACATATATCAACACAATATCAAAACATACTACTCTTCTCCAAGAAGCACCCTGCCTCTTCACTTGCAGAAAATGTCCCCAGCCTTTGACTAATCTCTGCGTTTACCTTTGATTTGTGTGGGTTACCTAAAGCTAGGAGTGCTATGAAAGGAAAGAGAATAAAGGCAAGCAGGCAGGTGACCTGCTGATTTATGCAGAAAAAGAGATAGGATGCTACTGTCTGTCCTCATGGGGGTATCAAAATTGTCCTGAGCAGCCAGCTCTGTGTCCTGCCCCACAGATGAGCTCCAGACCAAGGCCACATCCTTCCAGTCTCAGTGTCTGGTGGCTGCTTTGTGCAGCCCATTGCTTGCCAGATGAGACTGCAGTCTAACAGGAACAAATACCTCAAGATGACCAGTTTGTGCCATGTCCAATTTCATGTTCTTGCAGGTGCTTAACATACTTTATAGTTTGATTACTGAGTTCCTTCATGTGTAATTAGCAAAGTTGCATGCCTCCATTGCTCCCCTTCCCCAGTATGACTCTCTGATTGAGGAAGTCTGCTGCACCCCAGGTAGGTGGTTCTAACTGCCTCATATTTCTCCTTGTATCCTGGGGAGAGAAGAAAATCCACAGCTTCTTCCACTTCTAGATTATAAGGCTGAATTTTGGGTCTCTGTAGTCATTCCGTCACTGGCCAGCACACATCCATTTGAAACTGGAGTTTCAAACTGGAGTTTGAAAAGGTAACTACCCTTCTACTGCTTGTCCTTTCTCTCACCGAAATGGGATTGGATCCCAGTCATTTACCCCATGCTGTTTTCTAGCCCATTTCCTCCTAGCCATTTTTTGAAAAGTGAGTGACCATTTGGAAAATCTTCCAGCTCTGGCATCTAAGAACTTTCAAAAAAGATGTCCATCTTTTCACTATCATGATGAAGCCCATGGTCTCTAGGACCTGTAGCAATTCCCTGAAATAGTTCTTGCATTAAAAATAATGCAGAACTCTCTCTCCACATCTCAAGTCTGATTTTAGAGTTAGTAACAAAATACCCACACCACCGATGCTGCATTCTTTACCACTCTACATCTAACAATTTAACTCAGATCCTATCTTATCTGTTCTCTCCAGCACACAATCCCACCCAGTGCTCACACAGCTTCTACCTTTGTTTTGATTTCCTTTTTGTGATGGTTGCCCTGCTGTGTTTCTTGTATCTCTGTTCTATCTGGTTTCAGATCTGCATTCAATACTCCCACTTCCCCCATGTTTTCACCATGTTTCTCAGCATCACTGTACAAACACAGGACATATGAGCTCTCACTTTCTGTTTCCTGACCCATCTATACAGAAGTCTGCCAACATCTGACCTTTTTAAAAATCAGTTCCTCAGCTAGGGACCTATGGGATCAGCAGCACAAGGTAATGGTCATAGGATGGTGAGAAGCAGGAAAACCATTTTTAGCTGTTGTGGACCCTCAGTGCTTTCCAAGATGAGGAACCAGATCCCTGGGGGGCAGATATCCTCTCTTTCTGTATGAAAAATTGCTCTGACGTAATTTTGCTGAATAGTGAAGGCCGCTTTATCTGACAGATGTGGTTTGTGAAACAAGAGAGTTTGTGGCCAGAATGGTCCATGCAGGAGCCTGTAAATATTACGTAGCAAAACTACCACACAAACTTGCCGAGAGGCAGAATTCTTACTTTGTTTAAGGTAGGAGTCTGGGGAAACCAATGAAGAATAACAACACTTAAAAAAACAACTATGGTAATCCACTTTAATTTTGTAACTTTTAACTGATTTGACATCACAACTTGTGAAATCATTACAACAAATGTACCTTATGGAAGACATGGCATTGGGTAAAAAAATCCAACCTGATGAAGCTGTATTAATTCATACCAACTGCTTAGATGCATGTTTTCTACTTCAACACTTTCAAATAGAGTGTAAATCAGAGTGAATTGTTAATGTTCCAGGACAGCTTGACAACTCTTGGAGTACTGATTAATTTACTTTACAGGGCAGGACATGGATACTGTTAGGAAAGTTTTCAGGAAACCTGCAAAAAGATGCACTTTAAAAAAATTTCTTGAGTTTTAATATTACCAAAGTATTTATTTTAAGCTGGAGACATTGCCTGTTTAATCCGCATTATCTTTTCATTTGTGGGTTGGATAAAGTTCATCTACTAGAAAAATGCTAGGACATAAATACTGTGGCAATCATTCACATAAGTGACAAGCTTAAACCCATTTCCCGTAACTAAGAATAAGATGGAAAGAAAGATAAAGAATTCTACTTTTCCTCCTTCTTTCTGCAAATCTTACATGAAAGAGATTCCTTGGGACACAGATTTCCAAGATATGAGGAGCAGATCTGGGAGTGCAAAATTAATACTTTCTGGCATATGACCCTCCTCAAAAAGGGCCCTCCGTATCCTACAGCCTCCAACACAGCCTACAAGCAAGGAAGCTTATCCTTGCCAGCCTTCCAGGTAGTCAGGTGCAGCAAGAGTAGTCCTTGCTTCCACAACCTCCCTGGGCTCACCCATAGGTTTCCTTGGCTACAAACACAAGTCATCCCAGCTGGCAAGCCAACTTCCACACGTATCATAACAGCTCTTTGATGCTACAGCCAGCAGTGTCCACTGCTCTTTGCTGTAGGACTTTGAACAAAAGCAGGCCATGAAACAATATATTCACTGCTGATGTTGTGTAAAGAAAACTGTATCCATTTGTGGCCTCCTTTTTTGCCAAAACACCACAGAAATAGGTTAGAGAATATGCCAACTGAATTCAAAGTTTTCTTTTCTTTTCAGATCACTGAGAGAATAATTATTTTATTTGTCGTGATCAACAGTCAGGAAGAAGTTCAAGGGAAATATGTCGTCTGTGTTTTATTTTTCCTTTGGAATTTATTAGATGTGGTCAGGTAAGGAGTCAACATCAAAACCAGGAGGGGAAAACAGGTTATTCTTGCCAGCTGAACTCTACCCGCATTGTGAAGCAGGCTCATTTAATTGTTTCAAAATTGGCAAAGCATATTATCAATTTTTAAATAAAAGCTTGAACTTTTTAAGTTACCTAATAATTTTTACAAAATCCACATGGTTAAGAGGCAGAGTAACTTACAGATGTATGATAGAGTAATGCATTAGCAGACTGCATTAACATTTGTAGTTCAAAGGCTTTGATGTTTTTAATGAAAATTTAAAAGGCAATCATAACTACCTTCTGGAGAACAGCAGTTCCTGAAGCCATGCTGGTTGTCATTACCATCCTGTTGCTTTATTATTGTTTTTTTTAAATCCACTTTGATCCAAGATTGACAGCACAGTAAGGCAACACCAGCAGAACTTGCAAAGGCAGAAAGACTGTTCTTGGTTAATTGCACTGTGCTTTCCAAAAAGCCAAGAGCTCCTGCTGCAGAAGACTGAGATTTTTCATGTAGTAGGGTATATATCATGCCACAAGAACATCACATACTTCTCATATGTAATGTAAGCCTCTATGCACCTCAGTTTGTAGACTTTAGGCATGTACATATAGAATTAAGAAGCATTTTAAGAAGACAGCTCTCACAGCAACCCATGTATTGAAGCAAAACTTTTTTTCCTGATAAAATGCCTTTCTGCTAATTTAAATATATTGCTTAGGGCACTGACTGAATAATATGGTTTTTGGCAGCAAAGGAAACATGTTATAAAAGAGATCTGAAACAGGAAAGTGTCAGAGAGAATTAATAAAGATTTTAAGTCAGTTTCAGAGTATTTTGAAATACCTTTTAATAGGCTGCTGCATGTAATAATTATTTTGATTGTAGTTCCATCCCGTTTTTTCTTGAAGTTTGTAAACCTTCAAGAAGTTTGTAAAACAGTAGAACCTAATCTGAAATGAAAGGGTTCAGTGCAACTGGAGAAATGCCAACAGTAGAAACAATATTGGCTGTGAAGTCTTGTCAGTGCATAATAGCACCATTGATGCGTCATTATTTTCTACCCTTACTAAAGAACACCACAGTAACAACAGCTGTTTAACTGGAAAGCTCCTGTGGTCTATAGCAGCAAATTACCAATTCAAATAAACCATAGCACAACTCATACAAATTTAGAATTCTTACCTGATTTATCTTACAGCATCCATGACATGTCCTAGTATCTCAAAGAAGTATTCATGCCTAAAAGTGCATATGGATCTCTCCCATCCCTAAGCCAACTATTCTTGAAGTATTACAAGTTTTTCCACATAAACTTTCAGGGATGTAAATTTCTCTGAAGGACTATTTATTATGCATTATGGCTGGTGATATACTGAGAGCAAGTTCTGATCTTTCCTGCTTATACCATAACAGCCCATGGAATTGTATAGAGAGGGAGTAGCTGCTTCCTTTTTGTATTGTGTTGAGATTCAGCTTTAAGGGCGACAATAATAAAAAATGGAGACAATCCTGAGGTTGCAGAGGGCAACCTTGAGAGACAATGGGCCATTTTTAATGGTCTACTCTTCTACAGTCCAGGTAAGATGCGAAATTAATGCAAAATTAATCAAATCAACCAATAAAAAGGGAATACAGGTGTGTTTAGCACTAGTTTTATCTGTCAGAAAGTCTTTGGTAATAGATGCACATCTCTAGCAAGCCCAAAGTGCAGAAAGTCTTTCAGCTGACCAAAAATGCAATCAGACCTGTTTCTGCAGTGTTTGGAGAGCTGCTGTACCACTTTAAGATCAAACCAAGATCAGGTCACCTTTGGAGACTGAAGTACTAAGCATTCTGGGCTCCCAATAAGCAACAGTAGCAGCCACAGTAAAAAAAAAAAGCTACAGTACACTGGTGAGCAACTGCTTTTTTTGGACCAACTACCCCTGCTGAGGTCCAGGAGAGGGACAGATGTACTACAGGTTATGTACCTGCAATTGCCTTCTTGTTTAACGTTCTTCAGCAGTGATTCAGCTAGCTCAGCAGTCATGAATCAGGATTGTCTCAGTCCCAAGCAACAGTGATATTCTGCCTGCCCCTCTCAGTTGAAACTCCCCCATCTGAAAACCATTTTCTGATGGACCAGTATGAAATTGTGCTTGTTTCTGATACAGCTTTTTGTCTGGAGGGCTTTATTGCTGCCTGCCCATTCTACGGTAGCACCACAGGTAACTCTTCGGGGAAAATGCACCATCTACTTTCAGGCATTGGAGTCTGAACAAAAACTGTTGCTGGCTCTGAAATTTACTTAGACAGCTCCAAGCTCTTCCGCAATTCCCTTGAATTTTCCAGTATTGCATCTTTATTCTAAAGACATCATAATTTCCTCTGAACCTATCTGCTTTCCTCTTTCTGCAGGTACACTTACAATATGTTGGCAAGGATGGGTATATACTACCTACCACTAACGTGGCTCAACTTCTCACTGTGCATCGTGCTTTATCCCCTTTCAGTTCTAGCTAAAGGTAAGAAGTTGGCAAAGGTATCAAACACTTGCTTCCTTTATATTCTTCAGTAAAATGTGATCACTTCAATTGCCGTTTGTATTTAACATAGTTCCTCATGTGACGCCAAAGCTGTCATAAATGTTCATGTACTTCATATTAACCTCTATGTTACCTCTGTCTCCCTTTTCTGTTATTTTTACTTTAATAGGGACTATCTGGTGTTTGGGGTTGTGTATCTGGTAGGTTTTATGTTTTTTTGTTTGCTTGGTGTTAAATTTTTAAAAATCTGGGAGAATTCTTTTTTCCTAAGTAAAGCAGAAAGATACCCTCATAAAAGACATATGGATTCCCCCCTTCCAGACTGAGTATACTAGACAGCAAGTTCCAAAGCTTCTCCCCAACTGAGACTGACCGTAGCAGGTTATCATATTTACACTGAGAACTCTGCCCACTGGGAACACAATGAAAGTACTTGTTTCTGATAGAACTTGTTAGTGAAAAGGATATATGTATTAATTTTAGTATTTAGAGCAATTAGCACCCCAAACCTACAAAACTGAACTCAAGAAGAAAACATACATATGTATATGAATGCATACAGATATATATATGTACAGGTTTATAAAATATAAAAGGTTATATGACTTGCTCATTGAGCTCTTTGATGATCTTCTTCTTCCTTTAGACAAAGAATTTACCATGTTTTTACAGGATTTGCAATTTGTGTATCACTGCCTTATTTTGAATCCTTTGGCACATACTCCACCAAGCTACCATTTCCATTCACCTTCTCAATCTACTTCCCCTATGTTCTAAAAATGTACCTGCTAGTGCTCTTTGCAGGTAAGTATCTCATCTTCCAGAAAGCTGGGTCTCAACACAACTGGGATGCCCTTGCAACAAAAAATCAAATCTGTACCGGGCCTTTCACAAACTCTCTCTAACTACATCTCCTGCAGACCACTGCAGAAAAGTGCATCACTACCTGTAGTGAAGATTTCCAGTATCTTTTAAATACAAATAGTTAAATATGCAAGATACACTATGCATATGGTGCATAAAACCACAAACCTACAGAAGTTTTTTCAGTGATGCTAGCCTTGCAGCTATTTAGTGAAACTTGCTTTTTTGTTTATTTCTTTTAATCAATTCCCATTTGATCATATGCTGGTTCTGTGTAAGTGTTCCTCGCTCATAACTCCTAGCTGGGATGAAAAATTATATCTAAATTAAGACTTGCATGTAAACAGATCCCTTCTCCTTGTCATCTAAACATTTTGGAAAAATTTCAACTGAAAATTTAGTTGCATCATACAGAAGTCTTTGTTCTTTCATTGGCTTTAATGTGAATTTGAAGGATCTCATCTTTATGATGGAGTGTTCTGTTCCTAAGTACATGCAAGCTTGTACTTAATAAGGAACTATGCAAGCTTGTCAGATGAAGGCTCTTACAGTTCCTTCTAAATTAATTGTAGACAGTTTGAATTCTAGTCCTTTGTTCTTACACTGTTTTATGTTTTGATTCAGGTATGTGCTTTATCATCCAGAACCTCTTCTCTGAGAGAATGGCACACCTAGGGACAGACAACATCAAAAATAAAAGAAGCTAAGTTGATATTTTGTTTGGAAGGACAAAATATATTCCTAGGAGATTGCTGCACATCATAGTTAAAAACAAACTGGAAAAAGATTTCTCAATGCAAAGCTCCTCTTGGCATGAACATTATCTGGCTGTGTAAAATTTTCAGAAAAGGCAGATCTCTTGAGTGCACCTCAAAAATACAGCAGCTTTTGAAAACTTTTGAATGTTTTGACTTCAAGTGGGCAGAGTTTTTAAAATTAATTTTTTTTCTAATATATGTTACAGAATTCTGAAAAAAATTGAAATGTGTTACAACTCACAGCCAGACCCGTATTTCAGTGTTAATTCTGATCTATAGCTACAGATATTCTGTAATGGTATTACAGATATTCTGTAATATCATTTAATCTGTAAAATAACTTTATACTAGGCCAACATATATGTACCTCACATATAAATGCTAAATTGGCTGGAACTGGAATCTCTCAAGGAGCAGAAGTCAGAACCTTTGCAGCATAGAAACTAACATGATGATTAATCTAGGCGTTCACTAAGGATCCTTCACACTCTGGCCCCATCCTTCAGTTATCAAAAGACGGTTCCAGAAAATGCAGCTAAATCAGAAAGGCAAGTGTTAAGGTATTCATCTACTATATATTCAAGGGGATGTTTAAGTGTCAGAAATAAACACTTCTAATAATGTGTTTGGCATGTCAGTCTCTTCCCCCACAATGATTTTCTTCCATGCTGAACAGCAGACAGATATGTGCAAAAGAAGTGTGATGTAGTCAGGTCAAATAATATGTTGTTCCTAAAAGGGAACTGAATGACTGTCAAAAGCCATGTGCAAAATTCTAGGCATTTTACTCAGTTGTATTGCTCCTTGTACTTCTCTACAATAAACTGCGAGAATGCAACTAGAACATCGGCTTTTCAAAGGTTGGCAATGAGGAATATATACAGCAACCCACTGGATTATACAGGCAAGAATAGCCAAATAATTCCTTAGAGACTGGCAGGAGCTTTTCTGATGTTTCATCTGTACTGATTATCACCTATGTTTCAATTCAAGCATGTGGGGAAGAAAAGTGAGGCTTTTTTTTTTTTTTTCTAGCTGACTGAAAACTGTGGGAAGGGATTGTAGGAATACAATCTATTCCTAGATTGTAGGAATATGAGAGAAGGTAATATTTAAAGGGAAACTAAATACTATTAAAATATGAAGAGGCTTTTGCCTGCATGACTTTTCAAACCATGCAGCCGAAGAGGTTATATACGGAAACAGTGAAGCTAAATTATTTTGTTATGAAAGGTCACCTACTATAATTTTTATTTATTTAATACATGTGGCAGACAATGCTTGCAGACTCTTTTGACCACCAAGTATTTGCAGACCATAAGGAACAAGATCACGCTTAGAATAGTATAGTGTCAACCCTGGATTAGTTTTTTTCAAACCACTGCAAACAGAAATTTGGAACTTTGTAGAGAGGCAGGAGTGCTTTCACTCTGGGCTTCTGTCTCACCCAAACTGATTCAATTGTGAACAGTGTTAAGAAACATATAGAACAGCTGAGTAAGATGACAGTTTTGAAGACAGCCAGAGTAAATCCACATTAAACCACTATATAGCTTCCTAAAGTTGAAACATTAACTTTCCCTTGGAAATTCAATCCAACATGCCAGAAACAGCTGATTCCATCCAGTTCCAAAATTGAGCTACTGCAAGACAATGCTGTACCAAACAGCAAAGATGACGGCATGCCATTTCTTTGAAAACTTAAGAAAAGGTAAGAAATGTTATGCAGCAGCTGTGAGAAAAATGTCAGAGAAACAGCTCTGTAGACACCAAGGTCAATGGAGAAGCAGAGGAAGAGCTCCTCTAGGCACTGCAGCAGATTTCTCTGTGGGTCATGAAGAAGCCCATGGTGGACCAGGTTGTCCCTCTGCAACCTATGGAGAAACACATCAGACAGGATATCCACATGGCAGCCTGTGGAGAACCCTAGGCTGGAGCAGGTGGCTGTGCCCTGAGGGAATCTGCAGCCCATGGAGAGCTCACACAAGCAAAGCAGGAACTGTGGGCCATTAGGGACCCCCACTGAGGCAGCTTTTTCCTAATGGACTGAAGAGCTGCATCTTGTGAGAAGAAACCATGAAGGACTGTGTCTCATGGGAGGGACCCCATGCTGGAGCTGAGCAACAGTGAAAAAACAAACAAGAAGCAGATATTAAGGTTTATTACCTAAGTGCAATCTTCACACCCACCTTGTACTGCTTGGGGGAGGGAGGAGGTAGAAAATGCAGGAATGAAGGAGTAAAGTGAACCTAGGAAGAAGGGAGGTGTAGGGGGGAGTTAGTTTTAGTTTTGCCTTTTTTCTTTCCATCCTACTCTATTTTTAATTGGCAATAAATTTTTCTTTGACAAGTTGAATCTGTTTTTGTAACAGTGAATAGTAAATGGTCACTCTGTCTTTATCTTGACCCATGAACTTTCTCATCCTGTTTTTTCCCTGTCCTGTTGAGGAGGAGGAGGAGGGAGATTGAATGTCCTATTGAGGAGATGAGGCTGACTGGACATCTGGAAGACGCCTGAGGTCAAACCTATCACTGATAAAACCATGTTTATTGTTTTATGTTAAAAAAATGTTGTCTCAAGACATATAACATATAGCTGAGTAAAAGGCTGGAATAGGAAACTGATTCTTTAAAATTCACTATGGAGAGGTCCTCCAAGTGTAAACTGCCTGATAAAGGCATAAAGCTCATGACAGAAGACTTCCCCACCTCCTGGTACAGAGGGAACTTGGGGCAGGCAGTTGGGAGATTGAGGTAATCAGCCTTCCATGTGTGAGCACAAAAGGACACTGTAACTTCAGCTCCAGTGCCTCACCTAAGTTCCTGGAAAAGCTCAGAACAGTACAGGCAAAAAGATGTTTGGGACAATGACTTTTATGACATTGAGTTGTACTTCAATGATTGTAGCCTGTTAGGAAGGGATGGGATCCACCTGTCTAAAAAGGGCATGAGAAGTTCTGGCAGCAGACTGGCCAATTTGGTGAGATGGGCTTTAAAGTTAATGACTTGGCTGGGATCCAAAGTGGCAATATTTTTGCCATTGCTCCCTCCTGGGGAGTGGGCCATACCAGCCAGGGTAAGCTTCACTGCCTCAAGATGAGAGTCTTAGGGCTAAACACATCAAGGGTGGGAATGGCTATTGGGAATCCTCTTACACCCCTCCTAGGGAACCTAGGAGTGCCTGAAGTGCCTGTACACAAATCACAGAGCACAGGGAATAAACAAGAAGAACTGGAAATCTATGTGTGATCACAGAGTCACGCTCTCACTCCAATTTCGGAGATATGGTGGGATAGCTCACCACCGGAATGTTGTCATGGATTCCTGTGTACTTCTTAGAAAGGACAGGTCAGCAAGGTGACGTGGTGGAGTTGGTCTTTATGTGAAAAAAGCATCAAGCTCTGCCCAGGGACAGACAAGGAGCTGAGAGCTTATGAGTAAAAATTAAAGGACAGCCTAAAATGGGTGACACTGTTGGGGGTGTTTACTACAGGCCACCTGACTTGGACAAGGAAGTTGATGAGGCTTTCTATGGGCAACTGGAAGTAGCCTTAAGATCATGGGCCCTGGTCCTCCCCTGAGAGTTCAAGAATCCTGATAATTGTTGGAGGCACAACATGGCTCAGCACACAGTCCAGGAAGTTCTTGCAGATACTGGAAAATAACTTATTAATGCAAGTGGTGGAGGAGCCATTGACGAAAGGTGTGTTGCCCTCCAGACGATCCTTCCCACTCCAATAATTCTGTGATTCTCTGAACTTAAATCTTTGTATCTTGAGATACCAGTACCCCCAGATCTCTTTATACAGGGCTACAGTGACTCCTCTATCCATTTAGACTTCTATCAGGAACCTGATACCTGGCACCTTGTCGTGGTTTGACACGGGAAAAAGAATTTTCTCGGAAAGAAGAGGTCAACCAGTCAGGGGTCAGGTTTGGATACTGACACTTGGGGTGACCAATTGAAGGTGGATACGCCTCTGAGAACACAGAGGGGTTAAAATCGGAATTCCCAGGAGCACTCGCTCTCTTTGGTTCCCGTCATTGGAGAGTGCAGACCTCCCCTGCCCAGCCCAGGCTGGGTGGGGAGGGGAACCATGTGGCCTAGAGAGATAGACCGGGAGTGAAGGGTCTGGAACCGAGCTGGGCCAGCTCCTGTGGATGGAAGGGTGGAGAACATCTGAGATGTCTTTGTGCCCCACCCCAGCCTAGAGGGAAAGAGATAGAGAGCCTGCAGACGCCTGGGAGTTTGCCAGCAGAGGAGAAGGAGAAGGGGGGGAAGATGTCCAGCATGGGAGACGGGAGACAGAGTCCTGGGCCAAGATTTCAGCCATCCGGGGGAGTCCAGGACTTTTAACCCTTTCCTGTGAAATAAAGGCTTTGTGAAATATTACTCCTCCTCAATTTGAAGGAAAAAGAGACAGCCTGGGACCTCAGATGTTACGGAAAGAAGGTTGGGGGGAGATGATGGAGTGGCTTTTGGCTATTCTTGTTAGCCATAGACTGAACCAATCCTTCCTCCAAGAGAGACTGCATTTTAGGGGGATGCAATGGTGAGCCAAGAGACTCCTTCAGCAACTACCAGTTCAGGAATGAACAGAGAAAGGCTGAGGAGGGTGTGAGGATGCCCTCCATCTTCAAAGAAGAAGAGAAGACGATCTCTGTTCTTGGACCCTCGGCCCCAGGGGAAAATGGGGGGGGGGGACTGTAGTCCCAAAATGAGACACTGGACTGTTGTTCCTGTTGGTCCTTGGCAAAGCATCCTTAAAGGAGCCCTATAAGCAGTCTCTGTCCATGCACGGTGGTGAGAGCACTGTGACATGGAGAGTGTCACACTGGCCGGTGTGTCTGGGCAGTGCCATGTGTGCCATGGAAACACAAGAGGTGGCAGCTGTGTTTCCTGGGGGTCCATGGTGCAAGGGAGACTCCTCTCTCCCCTGATGGACTCAGTATTAATTATGTGGAAGAGTGAAGACTTGATTAAGTGTCCAAATGTGTCTCATTGTGGTTTGTTAGAGTTGGGTGGTGGGAGGAGGAATGTTTTGAAAGGTTTTCATTTTGAATTTTGTGTGGTTTTTTCCTTTCTTTTTTCTTTTATAGTAGTAGTGGTAGCTTAATAAAGTTTTTTTTTTTCCTTTGTTATTAACCTTAGGCCTGCTTTGCTCTGGTCTCGATCACATTTCACAGCATTCAATTGATAGGTTGCATTTTCATGGGGGTGCTGGCATTGTGCCAGTGTCAAACCATGACACACCTCTGTACTACATGCAGAGTCCACCATTTTAACTTGTCAAATTTCATGCCAATAATTATAGCCAAATCCTCAACTATCCACATCTTTCTGCAAGGTCTCTTGTCCCTCAAGAGTCAAGAGCAACTTTCAAGTTTAGTATTATTGCAAACGTAATTGTGCATTCAACTCCTGCCTCCTAACCATGGATAAATACATTGAATTGAACTGGCTCTAGACTTGAAACCTGAAGAACACTGTGGATTGTGGGAGGGGAATTGGGAGATAGTCCCCCTGAGATGCCGTGGGAGGTTGCCAACGTCTAGCTTCCCTGCCTCCCCTGTTGTCAATCTTTGGTTGTGCCTTCCCCTCATCCCTGTCAATCATTATGTAGACCATTCCCCAGTTCTAGAAAGTTTTTTGTTCTTTGAACCCCCATTGGTTCCTTCCCTGTAACCACTCCTTGCCCTTGTCCCTATTGGTTGTAACCCCATCACTCACCCTCCACTCTGCCCCTGAACCCTTCCCTCATTGGTTGTTGTCTACCCTGACCCTCCTTCCCTGCTACAGTTATATTCATCACCCCACTCTCTGCTCGGCGCTCTCAGTGCGAGCTCCCTTCCAGAGTGGTTGTCCCTCCTCGCTCTCTGACCTATCTTTTCCTACAATAAACCCTCTTGGAAACTAAGCTGCCTGAGTGTCATCCTGCCGCTGAGAGGGAGCATCTTTAACGCTATCCGGCTGCTGAGGACCTCACCCTGTGACGTGTCCAGTGGTCACAGGACCCCAGGGCCTCAGTTGATGACTCTTTGTCAGCTCCATGCACTACAATTCTTTGAGCTCTGTCCTTCTGCCAGTTCTTTAACCAGTGCACCATGCACCCAGTCATCTCACTGTTGAACAGTTTGTTCAGACAGATATTGTAAGGGACAGTATCCAAAGCCCCACTAGGTGGGTGGCTGTATCATAGGAGGGTATCAGATGAGCTTCTCAGGGCTTTCCCTTTCCCTCATGTTGACTGTGCTTGATGGTTGTATTGTTCTTTAAATGCCTTTCAACAGTATCCAGTATGGTCTCGGTAAATTTTCCCTGGTAATGAAGTTAACAAGCCTGCAGTTGTCTGTGACTTTCATCACGCCCTTCTGGTAAACTCGATTAATGTTGGCCAGCTTCTGGTCAGCAGGGATCTCCCCACACTCCTTATTGGTAGCTCCTGCAGTGGTCTGGGATGAATCCCATCAGGCCCCACAGACTTACAAAGATGAAACTGATATAACTGTTCATTTACAGTTTCAGTGTCCAGAAATGGAAAGTCACTGCTGCTGTATGTTCTCTGACAGGACAGGCTAGACCAGTGTGTAGCAGTGTTATTAATGACTGATCCATGCTAGCTAGCTTCCTGAGCAGTTTAAGGTTTGCTATCCTGAAATCTAGGATAGCAACTCTGATGACTTGTTTCTCATTTACACCAAAAATTTTAAACTCATTATTTAAACTCATGATTACTGTGGCCAAAACAGCCATCTAAAAATGCCATCTTCTCCTTCCCTATTCACAAACAGCAAGTTGGGGATGGGGAGGGGCAGGGAGAGAGTTGAAGGGACATCTTTCATTTTGTCTCAAATTACTTGTGGCAAGAAATTGTCTTCAACACACTTCTGGAGTTTCTGAGACTTCCTTGTACAGTTGTCTGGCATTTCCAGTTGATGTCCAGGAAACTGACATTTTCCATAAGAACAAGGGCTACTGGTCTAGAGATGTCTCCTCATTGCCCATAGATTAAATAATCACTTCTAGCATTGTGACTGAGTGAACAGTATTGTGTGCATTGGTGTTCAAACATTTCAAATACTCTCTTAAACTCTCAGTGCTCTCTGCAGCTCTGTAAGCATTGCCACCCTCAGGCCATGCTATGCCATCCCTTGGCTTCCATGTTCTACTACACATCAGTAGGAATTTAGTTAATTCAGATGTTTTCATATTGCTCCTCTATGCAAACTGAAACACAGCAAGTAGGCATCACACAGCGATTTCCTTTAAAAAAGACAAAATTTCATCTGAATTAAAATGCTAATCAGCATGCAAACTGAGATGATTAAAGGTGTAACTTTGAAACAGCACATTAGAGATGGAACCATTAAAATGTGACATATTTGGTTTTGTTAGAGATTACTTAGAAGTGCACACAAATGGAAGTGTCATGAACTGAGATGCACACTTGCTCACAAGGACTTTCCGTGAGTCCTTCTGCACATTCACCTTTGAACAGTTTTCTCAGTATAGAGTTGCATATGCAGCAGAAACCTACCACTAATTATCCACTATTTTGGAAAGGCAAACAAATACTGCATTAATCCTCCACGTACCCAATCAGTGAAGAAATGCTCAGCCTCCACACAGTACCCTGTTGGATGAGAAAATCCTAGAAAGAGTCATGGAATCATAGATTATTCTGAGTTGGAAGAGGGCTATAAGGATCATCAAAGTCCATCTTCTGGACCTGCACAGAACAACTCCAAGAGTTGCACTGTGTGCTTCTTGAGCTCTGTCAGGCTGGTGCTGTGACCTCTGCCCTGGGGAGCTGTTCCAGTGCCCAACCGCCCTCTGGGGAAGAACCTTTTTCTAACGGCCAACAACATAAACCTCCCCGACACAGCTTCAGGCCATTCCCTCAGGTGCTGTCACGGTCACCACAGAGAAGAGATCAGTGCCTGCCCCTCCTCTTCCCCTCACAAGAAAGTTGTAACTGCACTGTGGACTGTCCTCTGTCTCCTCCATGGCAAACAGACCACGTGACCAAGAAATCAGAAGAGAATTTCTTTAACAGAGGAAATGTTATCAGTCCTGAAAATAAAGTAATTCTTCCTGTGGGGTGCATCTTCTAGATGTATGGAAATATAATTTCCTTCAACCTGACCAAAAATCAACAATGCTCTTACCAGCACTGTTTTGAAAGGTACTAGGGAACAGTGCCCGATTATATTCAGTTAATTTTTGCCTACTTCAGCAAAGAGGATTGCTAAAAAATATAAAATCTCTTTTAATACCTATCTTGGCAAGATTGCAAAGTGAAAAAGTCTCTATTCCTTCAGAAAGAAAAAAGTAATAAATAAGGAAAATAGTGGGATCTAATTTATTTAAGATGATAAATGTGGAAAAGTGTTGCTATATTGTTGCTTTTCCCTAGAGGCAGAGGAAAACTCTTGTTATCTGTAGAGAAGTGTCAGGGAGACAAGAACAGTTCGAAGTGGAAAGAAAATGGCAACTGTTCTGGAGGTGCAGATACAACAGCCATCAGGATCACTGAGTCATTTCAGCAATCTTTATAAAGCATGGGAAACCTGACACGCACACCCTCCCTCTTCAGAAACCCTGCTCACACTACATAATCATAATGTGTTGCCATTACTGGACAAGAACATTGTGTTATTACTAAAGAAAGGATTATCAGTTCAAATATAATGCTCATTCCAAGTCTGTTACACTAAAATATACTTTAGTAAATACACTATATCCATCAAATTTTACTAGTTTATTTTATTTCCAGCCATTCCTTCAAAGCTTCCATGAATTAGAAGAATATTCCACTCCAGCTTTTGAGGTTCCCAGATGCCACTGAAACAACTCAATTGAAACTGAATGTGTATTTCTCATTTAGATTCAGCACATTTGTAAAACAATAACACATTACTTAAAGACAAAATATTGCTTTTCATAGGAATTTTTGTATGAAGCAAAACGGTAAAAAAAAAAGCCAAACCCAATTAAAAATCTTGTAATAGAAATGTCTTTGAAATATAGCTTCTTGATGCCTGAGTAATAATATTATGTTTTCAAGTATGGACAGTTTTCTTCACTACCACCCATAAGCTTTAGTCCATACTGCTTTCTTCTTGAACTCTGCAAGAGACCTCAAGGCCAAAAGTGTAACTGTGAAGACAGGAAAAAATTACAAATTACAAATTAAGTTGTGCAGTCCAAAGGAAAAGATATGAGTATTCTTCCTAGTGATTTTACTAACACAGGTGTAGGTTTAGTTCTCCTTTTACTGACTCTTTCATAATTCTTTCACTTGTGGTGATGCACAAGGCCCTTCCTTTGCTTTGAGGCACATCTCATCTACTGAAATCATATCACATCATCTTCTAATTAGTCTACCAGTTAGGCACACAGATCAACCAACATTGCAGAAAGTTCAAACTCAATGAGCAATTCAAGCCAGGACATACAAGGACTGGGAACAACAGAACCACAAAGTCTTAAGTCTTCTGCTCAATTCACTGCCTGGAAATGCAACTCACTGATTTCTTAATTCAATTTGAAAGAATCGTGTTTAGACAAAATCCAGTAACTAACCTAGTCACAGTCTAGTTATTCAGATGGAAGTTTCATGTTTTAGTATGTAAAAGGAAAAAAACAATGGGAAGCTCAAGGGGAACAGTGATTTGTCTCTATCAGGGCACACTGAGAAAATATGGTAAATATCAGAACTCTCTGATATACAGAGGAGGCTCTCCAACAGCCCTTAGCATGACTCCTGATGGAGATCAGCAGACATTATAAGGGAGTTTATCAGAGAGTGACTAAAACTGCAGACATCAAAATAAGGGCAATTATCTTATTAATGCAAATAACTTAATAACTGGATTTCAAGAAGCCTTGTTGAGGTCCAACAAATCAGATGGTCCAAAGGAAATGCATTGTATTCATGAAAAGAAGCACAACTGCACTTCACTTGAGAATATTTGTGGTGTCCTCTTAAAACGACTTGCACAGATCCTACATATGTAAGTAAGCAATAGGATGTATGCTAGGGCTACAACTGCTACCATAACTCAACATACTGTCTATTTACCATCTTTCTTTTCATGTATCTTTTCAGCAATCCTCATTTCTCTTTCATTTTTCTCAGACCCCTTTACTAGGCTGTCTTAGTTCACACCTCTTACCCCTTCCACACAGAGCAGTCTTTACTTGCAACTAAGTTATGTGATTTGTATTCTAGTACCAGAGGATTTCACAATAGTATGTTGCATCTTATTTTAAGGATAACTTCAAAACTTCAAAAACAACAGACAGATCTATCAATTAATCTATCACAATAATGATCTATCACAATAATTTTGTGCACTAGATGTACCTCTAGGTCTTTTGGACCCTAAGTGCTACATCATAAGCATCAGAAGATGAAACAGCAAATGTGAAGTGTTACAGACAAAAATATCAACTTACCTGTGACAATTACCTCAAAGACAAAGTCTCACTCCTTATAACAACTGTATTTTGAGCTCTACTGACCTTTATGGAAAAAGAGGACCCAATTAAAAATATATTACCTTTCAGCAGGTCCTTGGAAGATTCTGATAATGCTTCCTTAGGACATTCCATCATATTGATCAGCCAGTCAATAAACTGAAGATAGAAATATGAAAAAAATCTGAATTAAAAGAGCCTCTGTATCAGAACACAATGAATTATTTTCAGTTTGACAGACAATATTTTATTTCTGCTAAATTCAGTTATCTAACCAGAGGCAGTGGCCAATGAAGCTTCTGCCCAAAGTAAACAAAATACCCTAGAGTGTTTTCTCCCTGTCAATGCAATTCTTCCCATAGCTGGACCTGAAACTCCCTTTGTTCCTTCTCATTATGTCAGCAATAATTCTTTGTAAGAAGAAGGCACACTAAACAGCTTCCTCCATCTTGCCTGTTCATACCTTTAACCTATTAATATAACTCTTTCTTATCAGTCTCTTGTCCAAATGTTTTACTGGAAATCCTTCAGAACTCTTATTGCCTTTGTTCCTCTTTTGACCTCTCTCATTTTTTGTTATTTTTTTCTGGCAGTGCAGGGTGCCTGGATGACAATATGGTATTTAAACTCATAAGGATGATTTTCAGGGCAAGGCCTCACATTCTTCCTTAAAACCTAATTAGGCACTTTCATACTAACAGCTCACCCCTGCATTCCTCTGACATTCTGAATTCTGACTTCAGAGGTAACTCTGAGAACAGAAGCATGCTCAGAGAAACCAGTTCTCAACAGATTCCAGTTTGCAAAAAACAATATTAATCTATAGATTAATAACAGTACTTCCACATATAGCAACTACATGCATTGCACAGTAGGATTGCCAAATTAGGCACAATTTTCCACTTTTATTTGCAACTCATACTTCAAAATAAATGACACACACTGCAAACTGTGAAGAAGATCTTTGACTGCTCTGAATTTACAGTGTGGTGTGTCCAGCTGCAGAGGATCCTTCTTTCAGTGTTTAAAACATTGACTTGCTACCAACACGTCCCAATTCTCTTCTGGCTGTATTTTCTTACGAGTTTGACTCCCAGCTTTGGCGTTTTATATTTCTTTTGCAACTCTCAAATTTTACTTAAGAAACTACTCTCATATCTGATTAAAAATAAAGTGAGATCACAACTGAGATGCAGTAAAATACAGAAGAAATAACTGCTCAATCTAAGATTTAAGGTGACTACCAAAAATGGAGTGCTTTCTCATGTTAAGTGCTTACCACTACATGCCTTTTACCTTCTGTGTTTGTTCTTTCCATGGTTCTTTACCCAGCAAAAGGGAAAGACTACTTGGAAGGAGAGTGAGAGTCTCTTGTACAGCAAACTTGTCAGTAGGGTGCTTGCCAATGCGTTCCTCATATAATTCTGGCGATACCATGTGGTGTTTCCACAATGACCAGTCAGCACTGAGGCCAAGGAGTAATGGTGCACCATGGTCAGCCCAGGCCAAAACAGAAGCTGCAAACAGCCATATGAGGAAATCTATGCACTAAACAGGAAAAAGGCAAAAATGCACTTCATTAAATGAATAATACAGAAATAGGAAAAAAAAAATTTAAACCTCACCAATAAAACCCAACAAAAAAACTCATCCAAAAAAGACACCAACCAAAAACCCAAGACCAAAATCTAGATGATGACTTGCTCTTAAAAACAATAATCTAAAAATTCAGGTAAAATTCACAATGTAAGAACTAAAAAGTTAATATCCTTCTATACTTTCTGTCTACAGAAAAAAAAATACAATGTCTACAAAAAGAAAAATAAAATCACACTCTTCTAAAATCATCTTTTTGATTAAAGCTGATCCAAAATTCATTTAAAATTGGGAAAGAACTTTTTCACAGCAACCTGACCGTCGAAGGAAATCAGAGATGGTCACCCTTGTGGTGCTATAAATTGTTGGGAAATGTTGCAGCAATGTAATTAATGTCCTTCTGATCTAAGCAGCAGCTTATTTTATGTCCTCAAACAGAAGACCAAAAATTGGTCTTCAACATTATTTCTCTAAAACTGTTCAAGCCCTCTCAGAACCAGAAACTACACAGTTCTGACCTGCCTAGGCAGTTCTACTAGCGAATTCAAAATTTTCCTTCAATTGTTCTAAATACAGTAAATTTAAAGGAATTATTTCCTTCAGTTGCCTTAAGGTTCTATTATAACTTAAATGTAATGGTTATTTTAAAGAATAATTTTAAATACACATCCATTCACAAAAATTGTGAAGATCTCTGTGGTGGTAAGATCACAATCTTCTAAAACACAAAAGCATGGGGAATAATTCTTCTTACTGAGGAAAAATGTGAAATATATCAAAACTTCCTTCTGTCCTTGCTCCAAATAATTTTCACAGCCATTACCTCTTTCAGATCAACATTTTGTAAGGGTGTTGACTTGTATGCTACATTTCTAATGTAGCCCATCAGGTCTAACAGCCAGTCCATTCTTTTCAGAACTCCTAGAAAAAGAATAAGAACACTGACTCATGTCAAACACTAGAATGCACTGCTTTTCATTAAAAAGCAAGCACAGAAAATCACTATAGCAGGAAAGTACCAACTGCAGAAGAACAAAGATCACCAACACTACAATCACATTTGATTAATTCTACCACTGACAGAAAACATACAGGCCCTAAACAGTACAGAAACATTGCAAATAATGCAGGCAACACACTGAACACACACACAAAAATCAAACAAAAAACTGAGTGAGAATTATTTCACATAATGGCAGCCTGCAGGACTCACTAACCAAGTCTGCACATACGACTGCTACAGAATCTTAAAAACCTCCCTCAACGTACAAATTACTGTGTAAATGGTCCTACAGTGTTGAGAGGGTCAGTAAAATATGGTCAAAGCATGCAAATAAAATCAGGTCTCAGTTCATCTCAAGGATGGAAAACATTTCATTGATTCAGATTCTGCTATCCAAAATCTGTTCTATCTCCTAGAAGGTAATAACCATGCTCACCACCAAGACCACATTACATCATACATAACTATTTCCATGTAATCTTTACAAATGCCCCCTTTCATGCTGTCTCCTACCCAAAGAATCCTCACTTCACTCAATTAAAGCTCACTACTCTTAGAAGTTCTTGAAACACAGATGGCAGCTAAGGCATCTAGCAGTAGTTGTTTAGTGAACACAGAGAGACAAAAACCTTTCTGCCATGAAAATGAGACCTCATTCTTTTATCTTTCTGTTCTTTTTCCTTCTTTATCTTCCTGTGTGATTCTCCTACTTCTCTTGCATCGGCTCCTATGCTTTGTCAGAACTAGAGCTGAGCCAGCCCAAATCATTAACCCACCAGATGACTATCTGGTATAGGTATGAAGAGGGAAAAAGGGAAATTTATTTCCTGTGTTAAACCGTGCAAGGAGTTCAGGAAAGAAAGTTATCTCCTGAGTTCAACCAGTCTCCTAGGAACATTTCTCCACCTTCTGTGTCACATACAGTTAAGTCAGATTGTAGGTCAGAAGGTTAGCAGAGTTGCAGTATTAAGAGGTCTCCAATGTACTATGTACATCTGTAACACTACCCTAAAAAGAGTGGGAGACACAGATCTAGTTAAAACTCTGGTCTGTAAACCACATTGATGAGACAAATGACTTGTAGCTGGGCCCCAGAAAAAGAAGTAACTGGAGAAAAATGTAAAAGCAGAGTTTGATACAAGTACTTGAATAATAAAAGAATTCAGAAGACAGCAGTTTCTAATACAGAAAAATTTGGTTAAACCACCTTAAAATAATTTTAAAGGAATCATTTTAGATTCATAAATATCTATTGATTGCATTGTTCATTTTTCTTTAAGCCTAATCTTACCTGTATTTTCATGTCTCACAATGCGAGCATGATAGAAACTATGCAGGAACATCCATAAAATATTTTCCTTCTGGTGATATTCTGCCACAGTATGAATTACAGCACTCAAGTTTGTCAGAGACAATCTGCCTTGCGAAACTAGATACACTTTCATAAATGTGGCCTTCTCTATATTGTTCTGCAAATGCAATAAAAAAAGTTAAATTGAAAGGTATATTTCTTGTGGAAACAGTAAATTCTGCATTCCTCTCCATAAAAAAAAGTAAGAAACCCTTTGAATGACTAGTAGGTTTCATTTTCCTCAAGACATATTACACAGAAAACTGTACATGCTACTTGAACTTTACACTGTTTGAAATAGGCCAGCAAAGTGTAACTCAGTCAAGCCTGTTTTCATACTGCTTTAAATTTTACATTCCCCTTTGAAATTGAATGAACCAGCTTAACAGTTCTGGACACTTAAGTCTTCTTACAAGACAGATACACTGTAGTGACAAAAAGAAGTTTTCTTAAATGATGTTTTCCAGTGTGAAATATGAAGCGAAAAATACAAGGAAATGACAGTTCAGCTTCCACAACCTATTTGAATGCTTGACACTCTAGTGAATTTCAAAGCAAACAGAAGGGGTGGAGGGGGGCTTTATGTCACCGACTTTTTTTTTTTTAAACTTGATTTGAAAACATCAAGTTCCTCCACACAGGTCATTTCCTTAGCATTTTAGCTGCTAAGAATTCCTCCACTAATTGATTCCACTGGTGAGCGACAAGACAAAAGCTTTTTTTATTCCATTATCATCCTCAGTCATCTTGTCCACCAGGAAAAATCTGAGTGTGAATGTAAATATAGAACACAAAGTCAAGAATGAAAGGTTTTTCAGTCAATTATTTCACATTTTTAACAGAAGCACAGATCCACCAGTTCAAGGACAGCTAGTCACCAAGATGCATTTACAGTCCAATTTCAAGCAGGTGGGTATATTAAACAAAGAGGACTGTGGTCTGCTGTTTGCATAATTGGTCTGAGATTTAGAAGATACAACACCACTCTGGTTCACACCACTGCTGTTCTGCTAACAGAAGTAATTCCCAGAATCACAGAATCAGTTAGGTTGGAAAAGGCCTATGAGATTATCATGTCCAACATATGATTCAAAAATATCATGTCAACTAGACCTCAGCACCGAGTGCCACATCCAGTTTTTCCTTAAACATCTCTAGGGACATTGTCTCCACCATCACCCTGGTGTGACATTCCCATGCTAAGGTCTAATCACCCTTTCTGTGAAGAAATTGTTTGTAATGTTCAGCCTAAATATCTCCTGGTGCAGCTTAGGACTGTGTCTTCTTGTCCTGTCTAGGACTGGTTGCCTGAGAGAAGAGGCCAACCTTCACCTCACCATGTTAGTTAAGACTCTCCCATTCAAACCTCCCAGGTGAAATCATGAGTATTTCAGTTGCTTTGAGAAAGTTTGGGATATGGATTCTTGTCACTTCTGCTTCTCTCACTACCTGCAGATTAGATCCAGAATACTCTTACCTACATGTTAGGTAAAACAATGCTCCCAGTGAGCTAAAATAGTCTGGTGACAATAAAAATGAGAAGGTTGCTTGTTTCACATGATCTGGTGATAAAAGAGCATAATTAAAACATAATTACCTTGGAGACCTGGAGAATGCGATTGATCTCTGAATCAGTCATTTCTGAAATACATCTTGCTACATCAATATACATCTCCAGTTCACCTCTCTGCAAACAGAAAAGTAAATGCATGTCTAAATGTCTATTTCTGGCCTTCTCCATCATCAAAATTCATGAGTTTAGGAGCTTGTAAATGATAATGATGAATAATTAATCTACCTTGTAACGTCACTTAATCTGTTTTAGAAATTCTGTATTTGCTGGGGAATTCAATGTATATCAACAATTCAATGTACAAGAACTATGGTATTTGAATACTTTCAAAGAGTTTATTTTATTTTTAATGGCAAAATGCCATTCTTTGAAAGTATTTTCTGTAGTTAAATAGTGTCTTTAAATCACTGTGAGAAGCTGAATCCTCTGTGGGAAAAAGAAAGCCTTCTCACTCACTGTTCATTTCTTCTCTTTCATTAAAACTCATTTCAGTACTAATATTGTAATTTTCCATTACCAAATTGTTTATGAGGGAGGCATGCACATTAAATTGGTTTCACAACACCGTATTCTAAAATAACCAAAAGTAACTTAAATTGAAATTATGCTGCTATTTTAATTAATATAATTAAAATTTGTACATCTAATTCATGTTTTGAATCTGATGCATCAGCGCAAAAAGATGGGACTTACCATCATAAAAAAAACTATTAAAAAATTATTATTACTGGGATGGGACTTACCATCATTATTTTTTTAATGATGGGACATAACCATCATTAAAAAAATACCTAGCTACAGTATTCATACACCTCATACATACTCCTTACCTGAATCTCATTTGGAAGAAGCTCATATATTTTCTCCACAGCTTGACACAAAAAGCTCCAGCAAAACTGGGCTGGGTTGGGAAGTTTCATTGCCTGGATGAGCCCCTGTAGAACACACTGGACAATTTCTGGGTTTTTTGTCCGGTTCTTCACTTCAAATTGTTGTATCAGAAGCACTTCAGTAAAAGATTGCAGTTTATCTTCTGCAACATGTTGCATCCACAGTGACAGGGACATGAAAAGGTATTTCAGACTTTTCATCTGAAAAGGAAAAATTTTTGCTCAGTTTCAAATTCTAGCTCTTCACTGACCTTGAACTATTGTTGAATAAAATTATAAAAAGAGTGGTGCAAACACAACTTATAAAAGCACTTAAAGTCATAAATATTTCTCCATTCTTTTTTTCTTCCCTTTTTTGATGAATTTTTTGAATTAAAAAGAGTTCAAACATGTCAATATTCTGTTTTCATTAAAAACTGAAGAACTTATTTTCAATAGAGATCACTTCTTCATATGGACAGAGCAATTTTTTTACATGGTGTCCACTGCATTCCTACCTAAAGCATACAGACTGTCTAGACAGTCAATGACAGAAGTATGATAGCCATAGAACCATGAATGTTGCTAGTTAGTGAAGAAGAATGAATAACTTGTACGAAATGCAGAGCTTAAATTCTCTGTGGCTCACCTTATTTTGCAACCTCAAATTCTCACTGCAGCTGGAAAAGTGGTAGTCAGAAATGAAAGCCTTTTTTGGGTACCTTACCACTTATGTACCTTAAAACTGCCAGTAAATGTTTGCATATCTAAGATTAATGAATTAAAACAAAAACCACTCCTTGAAGAGATCACAGAAACAAACAATTAATTTTCTGAGAATTTTCATTTATCTGCTCCTGAACTTGGATAAAGTGACAGAAATGTGCAGTCAAGTATTCTGTGGGATTCAGGGAGTTTTACATACTATATCATGGAATCCACCTTTTAATTCCAGAACAACAGAACAGCAATGAAGGATAAGACCAAATTTGATTATACTGTAGGTTAGTCTGTTGGGTATCTACAAAATTAAGGCAAGGTTTTCAAGACATAGCTTTTTTTAGTTAGCTAGATCAAGAGACCTTGCTAGAAAAAGTAGGTAAGCTTTTCGACAGATTAGGGTGGACTGTTTTTTTAAGACTTTTAGCTAGTATAATAAAAGATCCTTTTTCTCCCTACATGCCATGCTTTATGTCTCCAGGTTATCAGCACTATAGGTTTTAAGCAGTAAAGTAAAATGACTGTAGCAGGTCTTAAGTCTGCCTTGAATTTCAAGGCCCCAGAATAACCTCTCTCACACTATAAATACTCACTAAATTGTATTTCTGAGGAATTCTGAAATTCTGAAAAAAAAAAAAGTAATCCTTTTCTAGTGAGACAGCCTAAACAATGTCACTGAGTAATTTTATATGAAAAAGGGGTTGAAATCCCACAAGTTTTCTGATATACATACACTGAGACTGTAGATAAGGGGAGGTGCCACCCACATCCCTAAAAGCATTGCTGCATTTTGAGATGACTGGGCCTGTGTCACAGCCAGTTCAAGGCAGAGATGTTTTACATCATCACCTAAAACAGAAGAAAACAAAGTTATGAAGAAAATACTTGCCCTTTAAATTTGTTCTCAACTCATAAAATAAAGGAGGGTTGTGGTTCTACTAGAGCATTACATTACAACTTATTTTCTAAAAATCCTTCTTAAAGCTTTTAACACATAGATGTTAGAAGACTCCTCTTTACATTCATGCACTTTCAGCAAGAAGTATCAGCATTTGTTCAAGTTATTTCAATTTATGCAGGAACAAAAATGTGGGAATGCTACAAAAAAATAAAAAATAAAGGAAGAAACCGCTCCTTGCCAAATAAAGTCAAGCTTTAATCCACAGAAGGAAAAATAAGTCAATATTCCTGGACTATGATGCTGTCTGAAATCCAAAACCAGCCACAAAACAGATGTACTGTTTCCTCTGCAAATTCCCTGATTTACAAAAGTAAGACTCCTAAGTGAAAAGCAGGATAAAAAAACCCTCCAGACATTTCACAAGTTTCAGCTTTTCATAAGAATGGCAGACCTCAGTATAGGAATATTTTTTCATTATTTTGAAAGTTATTACCCAGTTTAATTTAATAGAAAGTGCATTTCAAACTAGTTATAGCTAAATGAAGTATCAAACAGTTCAATTTTTTGGAAAAGTGGCATGAAGGCTCTGACATGGGCATTGGAACAAGTGTTTAGCAATTACTAGTAACAGAATACAATTAGTTGAGTTTTATGATGGGCTCTTACATAAACAGTACATATTAAATATTCAGGCCACTTTCACCAATGTTTTAGGGAACTTCTCAGCTCTGATCTTCTTTAGTTTTTCTTCAGTTAAAACAGTGTCCACATGGTGATGACAAATATATACTTGCAAACACTAAAAAGTCAGTCTCAAAAGCATAATAAAACTAACCACTGCACTAACTTCAAGCCCTGAAGAGGATTCCAAAGTTTGTGAAAGCTGCATTAGTAAATAACTCTTGTGACAAAAACAAAAGTCTTAATAGAAAACTGCAACTCTTACCAAAGTTCAGCCTCATCAAAGGAGAAAGAATGGATGCCCAGTTTACAGGTGGATACTGATGGCTTTCTCCAACTAATGCAATGGGTGCCAGTGCTACCTTCACCAACTCAGCTGGGACAGATTCAGGGCCTAGAACAGAAGATATGGTCAGGGTCTAAATTTGGTATACACATATTTTGCTGAATAGCTCAGCTGTAGTAAAGAACTGAAAAGTGTTACAAAATCACTTCCTTTTGTGTCTGAGAATTAGCCATTTCATTTATAATGAACAGTTATGTTTTTAATATCCTGTCAAACTGTTTTTTTTGTTACTAATAAATAGAAACTTTCTGGTCCCCTGTTTTTGAGTCAATTTACAAGTTAATTATAGATATTCCTCATCTAGTAAGATAGTATTTTTTCATTTTTTATTGGGAGAACAGAAAAGTTTTCTGACACTGCTTTCCTTTCTCATCTTGTAAATGCAGGCCAAAAGCACAGTCAGGTTAAGTGCTAACCTTTGCTACATACCATGTTATGTCAACATAAGTTAACTCAGTCCTCCTGGAATCAAAACGTAGGCATTTTAATCTCCATTTAAAGCAAAGCTTGCTTCATAGGACAGCAGTGAGCTCACTAAACTCCACATAGAAGCAATCCTCTCTCTCTTACCTTCCTTAAGACTACTCTGAGACATCTCTCTTTTACCAGGTTTCCTTATGTAAGACCATACTTTCTTCAGGCTTCTTTGGATCTATCCCATCAGTAATCTTTTTATTACCACTCTTGTTATAGAGACTCTTAATCCAGCATTACTGAAATAAGGGGCAGCATAAAGTTGGTCTGATGATGGAGTATTAACTGGGCATACAGGCTAACACTTAAAAATGATCTGACTTTCATTCTCATAGGGAAGAAACATCATCTCACCAGAAGGGAAAAGGGTTTTAAAAGTAAAAAATCAGGTGGAGAAAACAAAAGTCCTAACTACACAATATTACCGTATCTTTTTGACTGTAATTAAATTTCTATTTTAAATACCTCACATTAGCAAAGTTCAAATTTGTACTTAGAAACGTTCTCTTAGCAAATAAAAGCAAGTGTTTAAGATCATCTTTTATAGCCATAACAAATTTCCCAGAGGAATACTGTAGTTTGATCCTTACCTTTCTTTCCACTTTCAATAGCAAAGTCAATGGCTGCCCTGATAAAGCTGTTTACAGGTAAGTAGCTAAAATCTGGAGGAACTGTGAAGATAAAAAGACTGCTTATATTCTAAAACATCATCAGCAAAAATTACAACCTTCTGCTGCCAGGTAAATTTAAAGCCCAGACTGAGCTGTGTTTCAGCTAACTGATTCTGTAGGTGACTCAGAATATTTAGACCACAAGATTGATAGACGTATTGGCCTTTTCACCTTTAAAGCAAGCTAAACATTTCTGGTGGTGAGAGGTGCCAGATGTGAAAAAACAAATTCTCAGATCAACTGAAAAGCCAGGGATAAGAACTTCCTTAAAAATATATTGGGCACTGCAAGCTGGGCTTTGAAAGGGAGCGCTTCAAAATTTTAGGAAATTTAATGCAGCAGACATTCCATATCTATCTAACCTTAGGCATGCATGTATTCATGCAGGCATACATAAAATCAAAAACTTTGAGAGACTTTTCTCTGTGATGTTCATCTACATTTTGTTTTTTTGGTTCCCAGTTTAGTTCACACCAAAGCAAACAGCTTCAACTTCATTAGCTTTTGCTTGTTACTGGTATTTCATTAATGATTAATTATCCAGCCTTTACTTTACCAATGGATATTGAATCAACACCTAAAGTTAGCAATGTATCAGCCACTCTGAAAGGGCACAGAACACTAATTTTTTTATTTCAGCTAACCAGAGAAGAGCTGTTCTAGAAAAATACTTCTAAAACATCTGCTTGGTCTTGTTATAGACTAGTTTTTAAGTATTGATTTTTTTATAGAGTGGGAAGTGCTAAAACAAAAAGTAGATTAATCAGTTCTAAAAGGCATGGAGTAGATGTCAAATACATGTGCTATAAGAACTACAAAACCTGTTTACAGTTTATCCTATAAAAAAATAAAGAAGCAATATACAAGTTTGACCAGAACAATTTAGAACCTTACTTTCATACTGCAAGTAAAAGCAGTGGTGGGGGATCCTATTACTGATTCCTACTGATTCATATTCCAACGTTTAGACACACAGGACCATGAGATCTCTGATTCAAAGGTTGTCATGTCACTTCCAGGGTTGCCTTGTCTAACTTATATTATCTCATGTGTCCCTCACTGTCTTTTTAGTGATGTGCTATTTCTACATGCTCTTTAAGAAGCAGTAATAAAGCATCTTACCAGATGCCCTGTTCTGCGTAGAAGACAAACAGGACATGTGAAGACGTCCCAGAAGTCTTGCTGCATTTGTCTGAAGACCAATCTGCTCTGACAAACTAATTATCTGTTGAGACAATAAACCACTCATTAGACAAATTTCCCTACACTGCCTCATTCAAGCTGGTTACAAACATTACATAGTTTCTTTTTAACAGACTTGGCTTGCTTTTGCAAGGTGTGAAGGTACACTAGTACATTATTCAAAAGAAGAAACACAGGCTACCTTCTTACCTGTGTAAGGGTTCTGATCACTTCATTCAGCTTACTGTGAAACTGTGAGGACTGAATGCCCTCAGATTTCAGCTGCAAGAGAAAAATAAAAAAAGGTTATTTTTGCAAGAAATAAACAAAGAAGCAACAAACAGAGAAAAAATTCTGAAAACAGATTACATTTGCACCCATGTCTTTCTCTGGGAGTGGGAGAGAGAAAAGGAGAAAGCTTACATGGCTGAAAATTTTCCCCAGTGGCATTGCACATGGGCCATATGATGGCAAAATGGAACAAGTCCCATTTTATGCATTGCAAGTCAATGTGCTTGGTTCATACACAACATGAATTATTGTAAAAATGTGATGTCCTGGTCTACAGCCATTGCTGTACAAATGTGAAGGATGCATCCCATCTTGCCTTCTAGGCAAATTTCTCCACGAGATTACAGTACCATTTGCTTGCATATTCTGACCTGTATCATGCCTCCTTCAGAGCCCACCAGTGCAACCAGCCCACTGACAGCAGCCAGACGGTCCATTGTTGGAGAACCCTGGAAGCATAATTCAGGACCAGTGAGCCAATGTGATGACACAACACTAGGACCAAATGCTTATTTCTTCCAACTTAAAAACCATGACTACTATCACTACTACACCTTTAATCCCAACAGCCTTTTCAGATCAGAGTCCAGCATCCCTCTCTTGATGAATGAAAGCTTTATATGGAGCTTCCTCCTCACTCCTCCAAATCTGGAATCATCATGTCAATACAAATCACCTTTTTTCCTAGCACAATCTGTATTCCACAAAATATACCAGTGCAATTCAACTCAAAACCAATTTCTTTATTGATAATTACCTTTAACTGCAACCTTAATATGTAAATTTAGAGTTTGATTTGAAACACCTAACTTTTCCAGATAAATTGAAATTATTTTAATGACTAAGGCACTACAATCACCCTTCTTTTTTCTCATTTTGATAAGCAGCACCTGATTTCACAAGACATTTTTCCTTAATAACCTAGACTTGGGCACTGTTCCAAATTAGTGAACATGTACAAATTAAGACCTCATTGAGATAAGCATTTCTCATAAATTATCCAAGTAGAAGAGAAACAGGGATTTTTATTTTTAGCAAACACCCCAAAGTTATACTCTTGATTCCAAATATTAATCAAACAGCATATTCAGATAGTCCTAACTTTTCCTAACATCACTCCTGCAGAAGCAAGGAAAATTATGTTCCTACTGTTAATTTTAAACTGCACACCATCCCTTTCCCACCTCCCACCTCCACGGGTAGTTTTACCCCTTCCCATGCAAAAAAAACCCCCAAAAAACAAAAAAAAACCCCAAAAAACCAAAAAACAAACAAATGAACAAGAAAACCCCAACAACAACAAAAAAAACAAAAAAAAACCAAAACAAAACAAAAATGAAACCAACAAAACAAGTACAAAACCCAGGATATGCATACAAACTCCTTTACCTCTGCAAGCACAATTTTTATCCAGGCTGGCATTAGTCTGTTACTCAGATCTTCAGCTTTCCCATGACCACAAGCTGACAATCCATGTACTATTGCACCTAAAGCTAAAGCGAAACTGTAGGTCTGTAAGGTAAAAAGAACTTATTAAAACAGATTTTACAAAGGAGTCTCTATTCTTTTCTATATTTATTATTGAAACATTACTTACATATTTATTTCCAAATAATTAGAGATAATGTCTTTGTCTAGAGTACCAGATGTCTTATTTGAAATGACATAAGATTTTCTGAGATTAAATCTTTGACACACAGAACCTTTGTTTTAGAGAAGATCTTCTGATATGAAGATAAAAAGCTCTAGCACAGGTAGTCAGGTCTGATTTCCTATTTTTCAGATAAACATTCTGAACAGTTGATTAATGTAAGAGGCTTTGATTCAAAATGGTTGCCTCCCCCGGCTCCTTCATTTCCTGGCAAACATTAAGCAGAAAAGAACTTGCACTAAAATATTGAGATTATTTTTGGCAATTTGTGGGATACCCTAGGACATTAGGGATGAAACACACACCTGTAGGAAGCTGTGGCTATGTTTACAGTTATGCACTGTCAGTGGTTCAGGGAAAGCAAAAATTCAGAACAGCACAGTTGTATTTTCCCACCAAGAAAAAGAATTTATAGAAACATGCTATAAAAGAGACAAAAAAATGGTAGGATATAGGGACTAAAGACATAAAATATAACAATTTCTCTTCTAAATGCAATCAAACACATGCAAGTTGCTTTTATTTCACTGTCTAGTAATTGCTATACTCATTAATGAATCAAATGGTAGTCTTAGTAATTGTGGAGTATGTAAATATATTCATCAGTACTAGTTAATGATGAAAGTAGATCAATATAATTGTCTTGAATTGTAGTTTGGGTAAAGCAGTATCCAGTATTAAATAGACAAAGAGAGAAAGAGAACTGAAGCAAAGCCCAGACACAGAACTATTACCTGTTGATTATTTTCTGCTAAGGTCCGTAGCTTGCTCATAGCCTTCTCAGCCTCAGCTGCTTCTATGATTCCCACACTGAAAGCAGAGACAGAGGAACAGGCCACAGAATAGGCAACTACCTGAAAAAAAATTTAGTCCATTAACTAGTGTCTAATCAAGGTCACTGTAGCAATGGTCACGTTGAATAATGTGCCAGCATAATAAAAAAAGACGTAACATTTTCAGTTTATACTTTCAGATATTTATTTCCTCCCTGAAAGATTCTTCATTGATGCTAGTAATGTTAAACAAACACAACTAAAGCTTGGAAGTACTTCTGATTTTACAGAGGTTAAACTCCTGACCTTCCACACAAATGACACAAATGTAGCTATTCTCTAAACACAAGTATCTGATCATTATTTATGTAACCATACTCATCATGCTGTGCTCCAATCAGGACTACAAGCAGGTCAACTAGGCCAGAAAATGAGCAAGTAGAACTGTCCCTCTCACACACCCACAACATCAGCCTCCTATCCTTGCAGAAGGATTCACCAGCAGCATTGCTTTTCTGTTTTTCTGCCTTAGCCATGGAGAATTAAGTGAAGTCGGAACTACCAACAAAGCAAGTGTGCCAAATGTCAAACCCTAACCTCCTCTGTACCAAAGTTAAGCAACAGAACAAACACATGACTGAGGGAAGCAGAGAGCACCTACCTACTGTGAAAGATTGACATCAATTGACCTGTAGCAAGTAATGTGCAGATTGTACCTTTTGCTGCAGCAGGCCAAAATTACTTCTCAAGTACCAGGTTATATCCAAGTCATTTACAGCTCTGAAAAGCCTCTTGTGCATCTCATATAGTAGCATTCATCCTAGAGTGCTGCCCAAATTTTACTCATCTCTACAAATCATTAGAGAGGTTTTAATTGCAAAGGGTAGTGAAAAACTGAAAATTCCTTCTCATCCCAAACTATCTCATGATGTTAAACAGCTGCTGCCTTTCATCTCAGAAGTTGCTGTATTGAAATCAGTTTAATTTCAATAATACACTTGAAGATCTCTGGGGACAGATAAATTATTTCATAGGTGTAAGTAATTTTAATGCATGAGCAATAAACTGCAGAAGGCTAATCCCCAACACATATATACTGCCAAAAAAATAAAACTCCATCGAAGAAGATGTTTAATAAAGAACACTTCCAACAGGGGGAAAAGAATAACACTATCAATCTCAATTGACTCCTGTAGGAAAAACAGAGGATTGCTCAGCTGCTCCAGGCTTACATTTATCATGTACAGACAGGGTTGCTTTTCTCATGCAAAACATATGCTTGTTCTGATTTCTCTTTGAATTTCATCAGTTTTCATTCTCAAGTTTTACCTCAGCAAAGTTATAGGCTAAATACATGGACCATGTCAAAACTTATAGGACGTATCCTGGAAAAAAACTCCCTGAAGTGCAGGGCTCAGTTTAAGTTTTCAAAATATAAAGAAAATAGTAAATGGGGCCATAGCAGCATGCACAAGTACAAAATTCACATTTAGCAACACAACACAATTAGCTAGCAACACGAGATTTCAAAGAAGTATACAGAAGGCATATTGAAGGATGAAGAATTAGCATTTAAGTTCTCGCTGAGAGTAACTTGTTGTCTGCGTTTAGTAGATCAGATGAGCAGTAAACAACAGTATATAAGAGACCTGTATTCATAGTTACTCATGATCCAACTTTCAACAATTTAATCTGGGGTTAAGGAATTAAAGAACACCTTTAAAGAATCATGTCTGTTAACTTTTCGGGCAGTTCCTTAATGTCTGTACAAGATATTCTTGTGATTGCTGTTATTATCACTTTTTTTTTCCAGCAGACATAAACCCATATATTGTGAAAGAAAAAATAGAAAACAAGCCTTCCAGTACCACAAATAAAAAAAAGTTCCAGCAAAAAGACTATAGTTATTAAAGGGAGGCAACAAAATTAAAGGAAGACTTAAAATTTGTGATAAAATAGGTCATACCTCCTGGACTCCTCTGCTTTGGTCCTCACTGCTGTCCAGGTATTTGCAGAGTTTTCGCAATGAAGCAGAAACATGCACACGTGATTCTGTTTGGCTACTGTGACTCATAAATGAAAGAACAAGTCCTACACCTAAAATACATCCAGTACTTTAAGACAAAACAAAAGAGAAAGATTAAAGTATGCTTTGGCCGCTCTGAACTCTCTTTAAACCCCTATAAAATTTGTGGGTAAGATGACCACTTGGCCTTGACTGATAACTAGCCCTGTAGACAACGTATTATCATAGTCAATTTTGCAAATGGTTTTTATTTCACACATCCTTTTCAGGAAACACCAGACAAAAGAAGAGCATAAGAAGAAAATGTGTATTTAAATGTAAGTCCTACACATACAGCTTCATTATTCGTTCTGTTTCTGAAGAACCAGTAGCCCAAACAAGTGCCATAAACTAGTGTGAAGGAAGTATGGATCCAAATTTCTACGCGTCCTGATAGTATAAACTAGGAAATCCCAATTAAACATGTTAATTGCAGGTTCACTGAGGGTATTAGCATCTGCTGCTGTCAGACTCCTTCAAGAGATATTTCATTTGCAAAAGTAATGAAATTAGTGATTAAGCCAGAGAGCTCCTAAGATGGCTTTCTTAGCCAGGTAAGAAATTAAGGTATTCACCTGCATTTCTTACCAGGAATGGTTAGGTGCCCATTCTAATGGGTATGTACTAAAATTTGAATATGCTACAGTGGAGCAGCTTCATGAGGGCAGACATATCCAGCACAACTAACTGTTTGATGCTGAGGATACTTAAAATTGCAACGAGAACATAGTTTCAAAGGACATAATTTAATAGGGCAGCTGGCACAAACATCTCCACAGTCTCCTCCTCTTTTTCAGATTTTACCAGAAATTCCATTCTGGACCAAAGATCTTTTACTAAGTTCTGCACATGTGCTCCCATAACAAGTTCCAAGTAATCAGTTTTGTTAGAAAACTTTCAAACATTTCTGGCTTCCATCATGAGCTACTAAAGCATAGCAGACACCTTACTCTGAAGGTGATCTCTCACTGGCACACATCCTCAATTGCTCTTATTTGTAGATTATTTTTTCCCCCCTTGCACATCTTCCTGACACTGCTTGTAGCAAGTAGCAAGCAGTCAAATAAACATGGCTAGGATATTAAGCATTCTCCTATCCAAATTAAAAATGGCAAGAGCTGCTGCTTTTACTTAGCTTGGCAAAAAAGAAACATCTGAGAATAACTTCAGCCGTATTTTTAAGATAATGTTTTAGAATAACTGGGGATTAAGGATGACTGTGCATGGCTAGAAGACATAGAGGGGTGTCTTGGGATGGTATTTCTTTCCAGCACAGATCAAACAAACCTTTTTAATTAACTGGTATATCTGAATTAATGACTAGCGAACAAAACAAGGACATGGCTTATATACAAGAGTTCTAAATTCAAGTTTTTGCTATTGCTTGTTGACAAAACTACATAGAAAGAAAATAAGAGTTTCTCATTAGAGCTACAGTATTTTATATTAATAAAGACTTAAAACATAACTGGACACTAAAGCAAGAATAAAACTTCACCTTCTCTGTTCCACTTTTTGTAACTAACAATTGCTCTCACTTGGCTACCTTATTTGTGAGCTACATAAAATGAGTATTTAGATACATTTCATCTACATGATATCTCAGATTTCCCAGCCCACTTTAAGTGTTTTACTGCCAGAGCATCAGGTTGCAAGGAGTCCTGCCTTCCACAGGATGCATCCTGAGCCTGAACAGCGCTGATTCCCACACCTGCACTGCTCATCAGACCTATGCTCAAAACACCATCAATCTGTTTTTTGTGATTCCCATTTGCCATTCACAAATTTAGCAGGGGTGAAACACTGGTGAAAATGCTCACGCCTTGCAGCTGACCATGCCTGTATCACACTGGATGAAATGACTGGAAAGGATTTTCCCTTGGAACAGCAGTTTACAAGTAGAAATGAAAAATTTGGACAACTCTGCAGCATTTACAGCTTTATGTTATTTCTCACAGAGAGAACTCGTACTAGACACCAACTTCCTCTTAACCCTTAAAAACCATAGATAGCATAATAAACTACCCCCTCTTCAATCTTCCCTCTCTTGCTTGCCATTGTTTCATATTCTTCTAGCAACCTCTTGCCGACAGAGAAGTCTGTCTTGGCTCTTCTCTGAGGCTTTGATCTCCAACTAACAGGCTGCACAACCCAGCACCAATAGGCATGACAAAGGGCTGCAGCTGATAGAGCCTCTGAATACTCTGTGTCTCACCCTGTGCCATTCAAAAGGCAACAAAAATTCTCACTAAGCTATACAGGTTCACAGCCCAGTGGTGCACAGCTATGACGCCTCATAGATTTCCAGAAAGTGCACTGGAGAAAGGAGGGCAAAGGCAAATGGGAATTATTGCTGTTTCTTTTGAACAGCAAAGAGCTGGACAGAGTAATGCTCAAAATGAAAGAAAACCTTATGCACTCACACTGAGCTGCTCAAGATACGGCGATTCCTTCCCTGATTTTAAAGAGAAATGACTACCGTGGAAGAAACATCCTGCCATGCTATGCTAGTTGTCTCATGGCAGCTGACCTGTTGTTTATTGTCTAAGGAGATTCAAATTCTAACTGTAAAAACTTAAGCCATGTAGACAAAATCTGTGACTGACTCTCTTTGAGGGAGCATGTGGACCTCCAAAAGGCTTTTCCAGCCTACCTGAGCTGGTGATTATATGGAAGTACTCAGAATGCATTGTCTCCTTGTCCTACTCTTATATTTTTCTGTGTAGAATTAAGGAAGAAAGTGTGAATTAAAAAGGTATAGTTCAAAATAAACTATCACCAGTAATAAATAAACTCACTTGTACTCCAGACTAGTGTCAAAGCAGCAGTCCTCCAACACATCCAGGGACTTCATGAGAACCAAGTTCATCTGTTGACCAGGTATATCACTACAAAACCAAACCAAAATAGAAACAAACAACAAAAAGAAAACAACCAACCAAAAAAAAAACCCCAATGCCCAGTGGGAGGAGGAACCTGATAAAAGATCATCTCAGCTAGATGTGTAACTATTTATAAGCTGAAAATTCATGACATTTTTACACTATTAGCTCTCTCAATCTCTCTCCACCTCATTGCCTAATTTACTGATAAAAAAATACACGTTTACAGGTCACTCCAAAGATATCATATGGACTCCTCTTATTAAACATATACTCAGTTATCCTAATGAACAGGACATCTTCAATGGAAACTAGATTTATGATCTGATACAAGCCATAGCTACATTCATATGAGTTTTGATTTGTTGCAAGATAATGCTTTGAAGAATGTGTAAGATTAAGCTTTCAAACCATGCAGAGCAGTGAAAGAGTAAAACTAGTCTGCAAGAAAAGGTTAGAAAAATGTATTCACTTAACATACCTCACCACAGAAATTAAACCCCCCAAAATATTGATTCACATACTCCAAAATACAGGGCTGATTTAACTTAATTCTCTTTATGAGTCTTTTAATGCTTGTATGCTTGTATGCTTTAATGCTTGTATGTCCCACAGACTAAACATACAGAGGTAGTCCATTCCCAAATTATGTGGCTGAGGCAGTGGCCGCAAGGCATCAAGACACCAAAGCATGAAGATGAGAACTCAGCAATGCTTCAGTTTTAACAAAAGCAGGTGCCTTGGAAACATTAGTTTCACTGAGTAAATTAACAACTGCCAATCAAATATGTTTGGTACCTGTGCTTGTGTACTAATTAAACATTTTTTAATTGGTATACAAGAAGAAAAAATCCCTAGCAGTCAAAAAACTCTGGAGGAATATGAAGCCAAACCTATTTTTTAATTTCTCTGTAATCACCAGAAATTTGCAGCTGAGGCCAACTTTTCTGCAAAGGAGGGATTTTCTAACAACTTCAGAACACCTCTGCACTGCCAACACAGCTGTAACAGCATGCTTTAAAGACAGTTCACTACACTACTTCCATCCTCACATTTGTAACTCACATGATGTAAACACTGTCCCATGTCCAGAGCACCACTTACAAAGGAACCAGTGAGAGCTGTGAATTATTTTACAGTTACATCTCCAGTGCAACTAGTCCCATTTAAAAGCATATGTGCTCTTCTAGCTGACTGCTTTGCACTTTGTACCTTAGAATATTACAAAAATTAGTCACTCATCCTGAAAGAATGACAAAATATCTAGGACAGCTCTGAAGGGGGCTAAAGTGCAGGGGGAAGACTGATAGTAAGAGGCATCTTTTAAGAAACATTAAAAAGCCCTTCAAGAATCATTTGCCCATGACTTGTAAATACTTTAATAACTCAGAGCTTAAGGCCACATGCATACATTGAATACGGTAGTTCTCACCTGACTTTTTCTTCATACAAACGTGAGATGAACATCCCCAAACCAAGACCCATGTGGATTTGAACAGCTTGAGACTCGTCAGCATTTGGTTTCCCAGGTAACCTGTCAGTCAGCATACTCAAGACCTCCTCAATCTTCTCCTTGCATGACACAATGAAAATTGGAACCAGGAGAGACAAAGCTGTGGCTGCACAGGATCGAGCTATAATACTAGCAGTATTTTCACCTGAGTAAGATTTCTAGAAAAAGACAAAAGAGAGCATTTTTTTTCTCTCACTCATTTCCAGGCAATAACATTCAGCATTTGAGGAATTTAGAATAAACACCTACAGAGCAAACAACAGCACAGACGCATTGCAATCTGACATTCCTTGCACATGGCTTTTACCATTTTGATAATAAAGACAAAAACTTCAAGCAAACACAGATATAAACAGAAAGTGCAATGAAAGAAAATTAACAAGAACAAGAAAAGTCTTGATTTTCCCCTATTCCAACTACCACAGCTCAAACAGAACCAGGAAACTTCATTATTAGAACTCTAGGTATGAAACACAGATATATTGCCTTGCCTTTAGTACCACAGCACATACCTGATAGAACCATGGGAAGACCTGACCTTTAGGCTGGTAGCGGCTATTCACAATACTCAAGAGGGTCTCCGTGACCATGGAAATCCAGTGTTTCATAGGAATAAAATCACGTTCCGTCTATAAAAACCAAACCCAAATAGTCATCATTATTTTTTCTTAAATCAAGCTCTATCTAAACAGAAGCTCAGCTGCTGATGTTCCAGCTGTGACCCATCATGAATGAGATTATTTTGTAATTCCAATGTAGTGTAAGTAGCATCATTTACTTGTCAGTGCTGGCTCTCCAGACACTACTTTTGATCAAGTACTATTCAGTGGAGCCAAAAACTAAGAAAAAAGAGTTTGGCTGGCTTTCAGTGTCCATAGAGTGACCTCTATCTCATCTGTCAAAATATTCAAATAAGCAAGTTAGACATTATGCTTCTTGTGACAAGGCACATACATACTCCACCTGCTTTGGTATCACAGAATCTGACAGATGGCATCCACTAAGTATGATGAAATTTGAACTTGAAAATGTAAAGTACTTCACATGCACTTAACCAGCCCCCAAACACTTGGTCATATTACTTCTCTGTATTCCATGAAGAGAAGGGACCCTTTCCCAGATTCACTCACCTCAGGCACCCCTTCAGTGTCTGAAGAAAGGCTGCTTTTGTATTTGGCTACAGCAACTGCAAGGCCAGTTAAAGCAAAAATAGAGTTTCCTTTCACCACTGGGCTGTCTCTGAACAGAAAAAGGAAAACAGTTAAGAAACATAGTAGAGATGCTGGCAACAAAACATATATCTCAAAGCAGAAAGGTTATGCTACAGGTGATCCAGGAGGGAAGGCCTTTGCCGCTAGCAACTTAATCAGGCTCTCTTGTAGCTCAGCAGCAATCTGTTACATTTCATCTTCAGGAATTAGAGAAAGAATGGAGGGAAAACATGTTTCAGTCTTTTTATTTCCTTGTCTGTCTTTTATATAAAGCTGTATTAAAACAGAAGCTTTCTTCCACTATAAAAAGGGATGCTACCTTGCAGAGCAAGTAGCACTCACAGAAATGTAGCAGTTGGTCTTAGCTAGTACCATTTCCATGGAGGACAAAACAAAAACATCTTCAAATGGAGAATGCTGGAGAGGCAGATGCCACTTCATTGCAAGATGCCACTTCACAGTATGAGAAAATTTACCAGAGAAGCCATTATTATCAGTTTAAAAAAAAGGTTTTGAATTATTTCCCTACTAACATAATGGAAAATGATAGGATTCATTACTTTTATGACAGTGCAAACCTTTAAGGAAATCAAGAAAGAAAATCTGCCACTGACAAAAAACAGGGAAAACATAACTGTAGTTATGTATCAATTTTGTAGAAGGAAGTATATTTTTCCCAGAAAAATATACTGCAATATAATCCTGATGGAACTCTCTGACATTATTTTACAAAAGCACCTGAAAAATATGACTGTATAAGATCTCTTATAGGCCAGTAGAGTCCTTTCATCAGTCTTCCATTTCTAAAAACTTACTTGACTGTTGCTGTGAAAATATATCGACACTGCCAATCTGGCATTTATTCCAGATCCAAAGATGTCATTATCACAGTAAAAGTATTTTATTTTATTTTGCTTTTTAAAACAAGAAATATGAGTCTTAGTGGAATGTCATCATTTGGAACAGTGAAACTACCTCCTTTCAGATATGAGGTGCTTGCAAATAATTACAACAAGGTACTTGGTTAAATTCTTTGAAGTCTCTCAATATCTTTTGCCTTGAATAATTTCCTAAGCTTCTAAAATGCAACATTTCATTATGTACCTCAGAGAGAAACTTCTAAATCCACACACTCATGAAACCTGGATGCTTTAAATGTAATGAAGGCAAAAATCATCTTAACAAGATCTAGGAGGAAAAGGAGCAGTGTCCCACTCTTTACATAAAATATGGGAAGAAAACATCATCTGTAGTAATTTAGCAGTTCTTACTTGGAAGCACCTTTGATGACATCGGTCAACATATCTCTGACCCTGCAAGAGAACAGAAAGAATTTACACCATGTTCATTACAGTATAGCATGAACTCAGTTAAATTCCTCTTCTGTCTCACATGTGTCTATTCTAGGTTAACAACTGTATCAGCCTATCAAAAGACTTAGTGCAAAATAATTACAAGCATTTAATCTATAAGAAATCTCTGCACCACCCCAAGTTTCTTCATGCTTGTGTGCACTCCCAGTGTTTTTTATAAAGGACACTTATTTGACTTAATATGATTTTTTGTAAAATGCTGTAAATATGCTTTTTGATCGCATCAAACACATAAGTTTCCAGGTCATTGTGCAATGTTCTAACATAATGAAATCTGAATGTTTTATAAAGGACAAGCATCACAATTTATTCAACACTTACTGTATTTCTGGAAACCACTACAGACAGTTATGCTATGACATGGTATATAAACCTAAATAAATTTAAATTAAATACATAGGAGTGGTTACAATTTCTTACACATTACTGTAGTTGATTTATAACAGGCTATTCATTTAAAATTGTTTAGTTTTGCATTCATATCAAGACTGAAGCAGAGATGCAATCAATCTCCTACACTGAAAGGTGTGGATGAGGCAAGAGATTGTCTATTCTAAAACATACAATTCTGTCATGGCCATGATTGTCATTCTACAGAAAAAAACAACTTTAGACTGAAAATGCATGTCTCCTAAATCAGAGCTGTATGTTATAAGACTGAGTTACACTCAAGTTTTCAAAGAAACCTACCAAGATCTTCCTTCATAATCAACTGCTTTTGCACACAGTTTCAAAGCCACCACGCGAGAAACATTTACAACTTGGTAAATACCAATGCAAAATTGCACAAAAAAATTTGCACTATTTACACGATAAAGGATTAACACTAAAGTTTATACCACATTGTCCACAATTAGGTTAACCCCAGTGAGCAATAAAAATGCTTAAAGGCTACTGAAGTTATGGCCCTGAGGAACCAAGCAAATAATTGTGAACTGTAAAAGAAACTAAAGCTACTACTGGGCTCCAGTTAATTTCCTACTTTGATTTTTCCCCAATAAAGGGAATTATGTTCATTTTTTATATAGCTTATACATTTTCAGCATTTAGGAAATAAAGACCAAAAATTCTTTCAGGAGAAATATATGAAAGCAGTATTGCCACAGGCCTTTTTATACCCTTTCAAGAAAGGGATCAGTCATTAATACAGGATCTTTTCTACAACACTGTAGTATTCTGGATCTTACAATGCAAGCCTCTATTCCAGAATTAGCTGGAATTCAGAACAAATTCTGAATTCCTCTTGAGTGGGATTTAATAACACACCTTTTAGATTGAAACAGACAAAAAGCATTTTGGCTTTGCACATATTTTGCTTCCAATACACTTATGAATAAGGACAAACCCAGATATTTATACTGTCCATGGATAGATAGTTTTTTCTCTTATAAAGCCTCCCACTTTCCACCTTCTTCTCCTGGCCATGCATGTACTTGGCTAAATCCTGACAGACTGAGAGACACTTCTCACCTGACTGAAACAGAATTAGGGCAAAGTGTGCATCATGTGCTTGCTTTTAAACAACATTCTCATACTCAATAATGGTAACTTAGCATCAGTCCACCATGACATACATCAGATTGTGACTTGCATTTCTTTCATCAAGGTATTTTCAGTGAAATAGCTCATTAAACTCTCAAGAAGGAAATTTTTATCTTTGCATAACCCTTCTTCTTTAACATCCTGTCAAACACCTGAATTGTTTCACTTTTTCCAGCTGCTCACCCTACAAAGTTTTCAGGTTCTGCAGAGGGGAAGATACTTGTGAACCCATGCATATGGAAATCCTTACAGTTACCCAATATTCTTTCTTTCCTCTCCCCTCTCCCACCATGGTCACTGTATCTGGTGGTTTTTTTTTTTTTTCATTAGTGCTCATACAGCCTTTAAATTGCAAAATTAAAAAGTTTAAAACCTTGTCCTCCCTGTCCCCTTACTTGCCACTACAAGTGGTCAGGAGTACACAAGCACTTCCTTACCATAGCCAGGCCGTAAACTGTTTGTATTGTACCTCATCAGGATCCTCTTTTCCATGTTTTAACTGCATCTCCAGCTCTGCCTGCCTCCCCTGCAGAATTGCAAAAAATGTCAAAAACTGATCGTATATCATAAGCTTTATTTACATCATAAGATGTCTTCAGAAAATACTCAGGTTACACATGTAGCCTAACCTAAGGGCTAGTTCATAAGTGACCTTAACTGCTTTGCATAGGGGATCCCACTTTAATATACAATATATTAATGAGAAGAATCCATAATTTTTTGTTCTGAGTAAGAAAAACAAACTGTAGATGGCATAAATGACTACAAATACTAAGGCATCTATCTACTACATGCAGAGCCAAGCTCCCCTGAGAAGGGCTACAACAAGCAGGGACTGAGCTTTAAAAACCTGATAGCTAAAATGGATTCTAACAGCAATACATCGCTTTCTTGATGCTCTACTTAAGGTAGAAATAATGATTATTTTACTTTACATAACTCTGACCTCCCTGTGATTTCCTACACCATTCTTTCTGTACATTTAAGGAGGAGATAGGGATTCTGTCCTCTAACATCTTGTAACATAACATACATATGTTATCTAAAAATATCTAAAGCAGCTTTGTTTTAACATTCTGTCTACAATTGAGAGAACTATAACTTAATTTGTTTAGGTTGTCAATTACTGCTCCTTAGCAGATTATTAAGCCTTAAATGAAAAAAATATAGGCACATATGCTGTATTTTTCTGGTATTGAATGCTTGTAGTTTGGTGTACATACCAATCTGAAAATACAACACCGTGGATCTTGAAAATCCAGGTCTCTCTCAAAAAGTGACCCTCCAGAGAGATTAAAAGAGTACATCAACACTGACTAAAAAGAAGGCAGTATAGCAGCTCAGAAACACTGAAGTACGTACTATTCAGACTACTTATCTTGTACTGTAGTCTCTTCTGCCACCTCTGAGGAAATGTACTACAAAAGTGTAAGGATTAAGTAAGAAGCAACAAACATAGGCTCAACTGTCCTGTAAAATGGCAATAAATCCTTTGCAAAAATCGAGTACATGCTAAGCTTCTTGTGAAATCTTGCCTTGGAAGGGAAGCAAAATAGGAAAGTAATTGAATGCAAGTGACAATGTCCCCCAGGACCTAAACTTGCAATTTGAATAGCTGCTGCTTGTTTTGTAATGGGGCTGGCTTGGTATAGGATCTCGCATTTTGTTGACAGTCAAGATAAAAATTGTTTTGAAAATGTGAGAGAAGCATATGCTTTGCTGCACAGAAAACAAGGAGCAAAGCTTCTAGAATTTGTTCAGAAATGTGAGCTGCTCATGCTGAAACAGCTGATGTGGCCTGGAAAAATAAACAAATAAGCCTTCTAGTAACACAAAGAGAGCATTCTGGAAGGAAGCTATTTGCTAAACCTGTTTTAGATAATTTTCCTGTTGAAAATCAAATTATACTACATTGGTCCAGATACCAGGTCAGCTAACTTAATGAAAAAGAGAATTTAAGATATTTCCTAATCATTAGATAGGGTTGACAAATTGAAAGAGGAGTCTCTTACAGTGCAGCAGGATGACATGCTGATTAAGGGTAAGTTTTTTAAATTAATAATCCCTCAATAGCTTCTATCTCCTTTGATATTACTATTTCAAACTTCCTACCCAAGCAATAGCTCTAGCTAAAATTGCATCTTCTAAAAATTCTAAAAATTGACACTTTCTGCAAGTTGACATATGAATAAATCTGCATGAACCTGAACTGTAAATAGAAACTGCATTTCTACAAAGTATCCCAGACTGTGCTGTCAGTAGCTGAAGACTCATTTTTTCTTTTTTATAAATGTTATAATCAAGAACCTCGAGCTTTACTTTTTTTGTAACTTGTATGAGTGCTCTTACTGGTAAAATTAAAACCCATAACACTTGAATAAGCATTAATGTCCACAATAATATATACCTCAAAATTACCTGCAGGACTGCACTGTAGGTTCGATTCATAAATCCTAACCAGGTCTGTGGCAGCAGTATGGAGTGGTGCCATTCAGAAGGCTGAATATTAACCTGTGCAACATACCATAAAGGTTAGAAGCAGTTACATTAAGTCTAATATATGCAGAATCTATGTTCTCCAGTCTGTGATTTGCAGAGAAACATTCACTCATTTCCACAGGCCATTACCCATGGCTGTAGGAAATTAAAATTATCATGTACTTTATTCTCTTTTCTGATTTTACCCACACCAAGTTGCTTTCAACTTCATTACCCAGGTCTGTCAAAAGTGGTTGCCTGAGGCAGTGCAACAAGTAATTGATCCCAGAGAGACAGTGGAACTGTATGAGGCAATAATCACAACAACAGTAGCACTGGCAAATGTCTCTTCACAGTTTGTGAAGATCTTAGAAGTTTCTAAAAGCAGAATTGTTAACCAAGATAAATAACTGACCTCTCCTTGTATCATTATTTTCCTGAGTCTTCCTGCTTATTCACCTCTATTTTATGCCCCTAATTATCTAGGTAAAGCAGTCAGTTTTCTTTCTTCACTTGGACTTTATAGCAAAAAACAAAGGACCATCCATAAGCTCCATGCCCACTGCTTTCAGTGAATCTGAAAGACTTGTGAATAAGTACAAATACACCTACACAAATAAAAACATTCTAAAAGTCAATGAAAAAAGAGAACATACTCCATCTTGCAGACAATACAAGTATGACCTGTAGTAAAAAAGGGAAATCTCATCCTAGTAATGACTAATGAACACTAGTCCTTCCTTTTAGTTAAAATTACATTCACACCTCCTGTTCATCTCTGCCCATCAATTCCTCCAAAAGTTTATGAGCAGTCAAGGTTTCAGTTAGAATTGCTTTCTTTGGGTTCCTGAGGAACCTGCAGCAGGTCCAGTCTTCCCCTCTGCCTCTACACTGAAACTATTTTAGACTTGTGCATTAGACTACCTAGTCTAAATCTGCTAGTCAACGGACAGCTACACATGAGTCAGTGCGTGCCCAAGTGGCCAAGAAGGCCTGAAGCAACAATAGTGTGGCCAGCAGGGCCAGGGTAGTGACTGTCTCTGTGTCCTTGGAACTAGGGAGACCACACCTTGAATCCGGTCTTAATTTCTGTAAGAACACTGAGTGCTGGAGCATGTCCAGAAAGCAGAACTGGTGAATCATCTGGAGCACAAATCCTATTTGTTAGGACTGACTAAGGGAGCTGGGGCTATGCAGCCTGGAGAAAAGAGGATTATCAGGACTGCTCTCTACAACTACCTGAAAGGAGGGTATAGCCAGGTGGGGATGGCTATTACTCCCAGACAATTAGGGACAGGACAAGAGTACATAGTTCAAGCTGTGCCAGGGAAGACTCAGGCGGGACATCGGGAGGAATTTTTTAATCTAAAGAGCTGTTAAGCATTGGAATGGACTGTCCAGGGAGGAGGTGTATTCACCATCCCTGAAGGTGTTCAACAGATTTATGAATGTGGCACTTAGTGCTATGGTCTAGATGAGAAGGTAGTGACTGGTCAAAGATTGGCCCCAATGAGGTCTTCTCCAACCTAAATGATTCTGTGATTCAGGTTTAACTGGTATTGTAGTGATTTGTGAAGTTTACCATGTAATCCACACTTGTGAAAGCCAACAAAAGCAGGCCTGCAAAATACTGCAGGTATTCAAGCAGGAATTAATTACAAAGCTTTAGGCATCTTCTTGCATTTCAAGCATCTAAGACAATATGGTCTACCAGGAACACCAAAAATTTGTCTATGTGTTTGATGACAATAGAACTGCTGTGGTGCTTTTCATTAATTAATTTTCTTCATGGCAGTAAACATTTTGCATGTATGTGGATTATGAGGAAGGAAAGAGGGAACTGAATATCTCCACATGACAAAGAACATTCAAAATTCATCTACAACTGAAAATCACATAGTGCTGAAGAGTTTCATATAAGCCTGACTGCAACCTGCTATTTTAGTACAGGAAAACCATCGCCTTTATTTGTCATCTATCGCTGGATATCAAGGGTAACAACAACTAGACTAAGGGCTGAGTAATTAATACTAGCAACCACAGGCAAAGGTGACAAGTGAAGTTCAGATTGTTTTTTAAGTGCACAATTTATGTGTAAAAAAATATTGGCTGGGTGGGGAGGTGCAGGGAATGAGGCTCAAGGGAACTGAAAATTAAGGACAAGTGCTTGTGGAACACTGCCACATTGATGTGGGGTTTTTCTTAGGAATGTCACTTAGCCAGACCAAGCAGCCAAGCAGTTTTTAAGGAAGAGCTGCAACCTGATAGCTGAGGCAGTAAGAAATGGCATGAACTTGGAGCTAGTAACCTAAGCCTGTCAACTGATGCTTTAGAAGGACATGTCTGCCTGAAAAGACACAAAATCATAGACCATATTGGCCAAAATGCAAGATGAGTAATGCTGGCAAACCATAGGAGATACTATTCCTATTTGGGACAACACTTTTATGTCAATGAAATGTTTAGACGTATTTAAATGCCCTGCTTGCATATGGGATATATAAAGTGCCACCCTAGTGATTTCATAAATAAGGCTAGCATTATGTATCTGTATCAAGGAAATAGTGAGACAACCTCTCTTTTAATTTTGAATTTTGCTTAGAGGATCTTTTTAACATACTCGCATACATACTTCCAAATCCACACCTTAACATTTCTTTGCGAGAAAAAACTTGTCTTTCTCTAAGGTACAGTAGACTGAGGAAAAGAAAAACAAAAATCTGTCAGAAACTTGATTTTTGAATACTGTCTTATCACCGAATGCAATACGCTCAGTAAATTCAGTAGTAGAAACCAGCACAAACTAGTTCATATTTGTAACTACATCCATCTAGGCACAGAAGAATACAGTACAATGAATAGTGCTCCAGAAAATCGAATTGTCATCTTAAGGTACTTCACATTTGAGGTGTGAATAAACTCTTCAGTATCTTGATTACATCAAAACCAACCAGGAAACAAAAGCACAGAAGGAGCTTTTCACTTTACTTTTCAAAGATGCATGTCATCACAGCACATCTAATTGAATACACTTAAAAAATATGCAGGGACTAGTTCTTCCATGAGTATACAGAGTGACTATCATGATTATTACTTGCAGGGAAGTAGTTAATACTGCATAACTCAACTCTGCAACTCATCTTTGCAATTGTGCCTGCAAATATGATTCATAAATAGGAAAAAGTAACTTGTGCTATTTCCAACACATTGAAAACACTTGGATACTCAGAAACATGCAAAGGCAAAACCATTCTCCATTTAAAAAAAACCCAACAAATTGCACCAGTTCAGAGTGCCAAAGCCACCATCTACCACACTGGGCTGCCAACAGCAGTCTGCCTCTGTGCTTTTTGCAAGCAGGATGAACTGTCCTCTTCACTTCCATTAAAGAACAAGATGGACAGCTAGCTGAAAGTCTAGTAACTCTAACCCAAAACACACATGAACAGAACCATCAAAATATATGGTACATGATCTGGTCATAGGTGACTATTTGTTCTCAATCATTTTTGCAACAGATTAAGTGAATCTGATATAAAATTATTGATATGAATTTCAATGAAGCATTTCTTGCAAAACCTGAAACAGTCACAGGCAGTATTTGGAGACTTCTTGTGCAGTGTGCTCCAGGGCAGCCATAGGAAAGAAGAAAACCCATGGTCTATACTTCTGACCACTATCACTACAGTAACTTACATGTTCCCTCAGAGAGAGGCTAACAAGATCTGTTTAATAATCAATCAGCAGATCCCCATTTCTAAGGGAATGATGATCTTCCTCTTTCAACTCACCAGTGACCACTAAAGAGCAATACAGCCAGCATTTGATACGACAGTTTATTGATCCTATTTTCTTTTTCCTGTGAAATACCTGTTCAAGAAACATCAAAAAAAACCTTCTACATCTTAATCTGATCCTGCTGACAGGTATCACAGATGCATCCAATTCCTTAGCTAGAATAGCACCTAGGTCATAGAATAAGTATGGCCCATTGAAGTTGAGTAGTAAATTATCTTTTTGTTGCTGTTACTGTTCAATTTGAATGGCAGCTAAACCCAGGTATTTATTATCTCTATGTTTTAAAAGACTTTTCCACATACAATAAGAAAATCTTTCCTCTGCACAAAATCATCATACAACTTTTTTTTTGGTAGCAGAATACCAGGCATCACAGTTTTACACATAAAGAACCTCATCAAAATGAAACAGGTATTTTCGAGCCCCTCACCTTGCCCCAGTTGCCAAAATCCAATTGCAATACTGGCAACTATGCATACACAGATACAGATAGATACACAACCTGTAGGTTCCTATTTTATAGCTGTGGGCATAGATTAAACCGCTGAAGCCATAAAAAAGTTATTATCCCAGTATGGTTCTGACTGCTTATTCCTAACTAAGAAAATGTCAACTGGTGGAGATTTTTTAAAATAAAATGAGTAGATGCCTGCTATCTCAAATTAATTGCATTTTCTTGATGTTTACATCAACCTCAGAATTTATTCAGAGCTTTACACAGACTCCAATGCTTCAAAAGCAACTGTACGATTTCTTATTAATAGAACACTCCTTACTTAAAATGTCACTATAAGGATTAACCCCTACAACTTCTTCCCTCTCCCAAAATAATGAGTCAAAGCTGTAGCAAAAAAAGTGTCATTCTGATAAGTTAAATCCCTAAAACACAGCATGATGTGTTGTGATGACTTTGCAAAAACACATTAATTCCTACAGGACTGCAAGAATAAGATGGGCCTAGGTCCTACTAACCCAATTTTCTTTGACCAATTTGGCAGTTTTATAGCTTAGGCTCCCTGTCTTTACTGTTAAACTCTGTTCCTCAGAAGAACATTGAGGACCAAACAAACATTAAAACATGAAATTTAGTCTGATGAGCCCAGGGATTTGCCAAAGTTCCGAACAACCCTTTTCTGACCACCCGGTCTCTATATACAAAGGGAAAAAACTAGAAAAACTTTGATTCTTAAAGCAGTGTAAACTGAAAACAGAAACACTGATTTTTTAATCAAAACTTCATAGTTACTGTAGATTTTTGCTAAGATGGTGCAGTTAGCATTGTCTGAAGATATTTTGTGTTTAGGTTTAAAATATAAACATATTTGGAATTATTTTTAGTTTTAGACCTTGAATTAATCAACTTTTAATAATCAACAGTATTTTACTGAGCGACTAGGTAAAATATTTCTGTCTCCAGCCATTCTATGTATTCACTAACTTGATCCAGTTCATCACATTCTCCACTACAAAACTGCCATGTTTTGTCTGGCAAACCATTTTAAAGTTCTGTTTCTATGAAGATAGCTTGCTCATACAAGAAAGTCAATTTTGGATATGCTGCTGGATTTTATAATCACTGCTATTACACACAAATATTTTTTTTACCAGGATTTTATTTGATGCTTCAGGGCAACAGGGAAGTGTTTAAAACAAAGTTCAGAACTGATCTGCATCCCACTATAATTGGATTTCATACATGCCTTCTATGATAATGTAATTAAACATGTTTTTCTTCAGAACCACTGTTCTGGAACTTAAATCTCTCTGAATGAAGCATTAAATGCAGTGCAGAGCTTTTCGTTCTGGATACTATGGAAGCTCATGCTTCATTCCTAACTCATGAATCTGAATCTGTTCCTCTCACATATGAAGCATCCCTGTGGACTTTCCCTGGTGCTCTCCACTGGAGCTTCCAAATAGTTAGAAAACATTCACTAATTTACACTCCTGTGATAATGAGGGTCATTATCTCCAGTTTCTGTTTTCATTCTTTAGCAGCAAAGATGTCAAGATGGAAAACATCTATTAAATTTGCATATATAGTTAGGTATCTTGACATAAGTGTTCAAGGGTGGGTTTTCTAAATTTTTCTAGTTTGAGAGAAGAACTTTACATCTGAAGTACTTCATAATCCCATTGACACTGACTTCACGATACAGAGTCAGGGATGGATTCCTATTCTCCAATCCAACTGGTGTAGACTGGCCTAAATTCCACTGGAAGGGATCCACAGACACTGGTGTGTCTGTGGCCATAAGACATGATTATTATTTTTTGTGTCTTTTCAGTCATGAAGGACCAAAATTGTTAATATGTTACATGGAAAGCGTTGTATATATATGCTAGCAAAACAGAAGTGTTTGAGAGAGGGTACAGAGCCAGAAGACTGTACTACCCAGAAGCAGCCAACTTCACCATGTCACACATTTGACTGGAAACTTCAGGCAAACTGCACTGCAGACAGGTTTGTTAGAGAGGGAAATGGTTTCCTTGCCCCAGAAAGATTGAGGGAGTTAACCAGTACAAACACAGTGCGAACATGCTGAAGGAGGACCTGAGAGCAAAGCCCAGAGGGAGCCATGTGGGTGTACCACAGGATCAGAATGTAGTCCACATGCATTATCCATGGCATATGCCTGTGTTCTGCCATCAAACTTTCAGTTTGTACACAGAAAACTCTCCAAACTCTGCACACACAACCTTCCCACCCAAAACTTGTGCTATATTTATTTCATAACTGAGTGTTTGCTATCAGTGATTTTAGTAGCATCATAGAAAAACTTCACAGCAGATATGGCTCACATCTAGGTGAAAGTCACAAAACGAAATCAGGACCCCGATCACCCACACAGATACATGTAAGTAGCTCCTACAGAAATCTAAAATTACTGTATTAATAGAATTATTTTATGACCTTTTTAAGAGTTTAACACACTTTCACTTGTGTTAAAAACTGCTCCCATTGGCATAAAGTTAGGAAATTAACACTTATTTCCCCAGATCCAGATGAACTGTTTGGATTTTTTTTACTGTTGTCCAAAATTTTCAAAGATGAACTTTGATATTCAAAAGTACCATAATTCAAAATGCTCTGACAGACTTCATTACATGCACTTTATTTTCCATAATGATTACGTGAGGGCTTATTTCATGCCATTTTTCTAAAACCACACCAAAGGCAAATGCAATGCAAGGTTTTGGTGGCACAAGCCTAATAGGTCAGGGACCTGAAGTGTTTAAGAGACAGAAAAAAATGCCATATCTTAGCAAGGTGTAGATATTGTTTCCACACGGAGCCCCATCATTGCTCAGGTCTGGTATTCACCTACAACTGGTTACACATGACAGGTATCAGGCATATATGTATAGCAGTATGTAAGGCAGAAAAAGGCAAAGCTCCTCTTTGTTTTGATTTTCAGAAGAGGCATTTCCACAGTGAATACTTAAAAATAAAGTATTTACATGTTAAGTTCAAGTTCGTGAGGGTGGGTGACCATGGTGGTAGGCTGATGATCCGACTTGATGATTCTATGATTCTAGCTGTCCCTCACTACAATTTCAGTTAATTATGATACATTCACACATGCCACCACTAGCTGATACAAACACCCAATGCGCATAAAGAAAAGAGACAGTAAAGCAAGGAAGGAGGTGTTATAGCTCTGAAAAGCAGAGTCAGCAACAACTTACCTCATGAATGAGGGCGACCAACATTTGCTGGAAATTGCGGCCCCTGCTGGCCAGGAATCGATTAATAGGCCTGCCGTCCTTGCCCATGTGGACTGGGAGGTCGAAACACAGCAACATGCCAGCTGAAAGAGGGAAGGAAGTGGAACAGAAAGATCAAAGCCCACGCTCAAGAGTCTAGGGAGAACCCAAAACAAAGTAAGGTTAACTTAATAAAGCCAACAATTCAAAAGAATATGCAAACATATTTAAGGGGCATAGTTTCTTAAGTTGATTCACCTTCAGATTCACAGAAATCTTTGATTCAAAATATGCATACTTGTCTACTTCAAGAAAGTGACAGCTTACCTGCAAGACCTGGTGTCATGCCTGGTTGCTTGTTCCTCTCATACATTTTCAGCAAGAAATTTGGAACACCTGCAACTGTCTTCCCCTGGTCTAAGCGTGCAGTCCCTCCTCTTAATGCAGAATGATACACAGCACGCGGCATGTTAGTCATCTCTTGTTTCACAAGTGATGTTGCAAACTCTTCAAATGCTTGATGAAGTGGAATGCAATGACATGAGAGGAAAGGGAATGTGAGAGGCTGATAATTGTAAGGAAGTTCCAGTATAAACCTACTTTATTCAAAACTGACACAGGTATATTGAAGATTGGAAAGAAATACCTTAACTATTCTATGAGCTGCTGATTGCTGCCTTTGATTGCTACAAAAGTAAGAGCAATGATAGCACATGAAGAACATAGCAGAGTCTAAATCATGTTTCTGTAGCATGTCAGGAAGGGCACCTGCATCTTGGGATTTTTTTTTCCTCTGCTTGTAATGCCAATATCCTTCAAACAAAGCCCATAGAATGCAGTCAGCAATTTTCTCTGCAGTGATATAGACTTTGTCTTCAGCCTTCAGTTATGTTGGAGGAGGAAATATTTGTTGACATGAAAACACTATCCACCTACCTGCTCTATACTTTTTATAAAAACCTTTTTGTTTAGGATGGCTGCAACAATAGAGAAGAAATTTGCTTAAAGTGGGAGCTATTTCTCTTCTGGAAACCATTCACATTGATAGAGACACCTTATCACTACTGTCATATTACTGCATTCACTGGTTATGCCAAAAGACATAAATACAAGCCATTCAGAGGCAATTCTTCAGGCAGGGGACAAGTCAAGTCTCTAGACTGACAAATATAACTCAAACTAAAACTAAAATCTGGATAAATTTAGTGAAACAACTAGATGTGCAGCAAATACTAGAAATACAGTATTTCAATGATTGGAATCAATCTGACAGTAAACAAAGATAACTAGCATCACATGAATGTTATTATTATTATCGGTGTTTTTACAATTGTTATTATCATCATCTCCTCTGCAGTAAGGATACTACCCATATTACTAACAACAACAATATCAAGTTGATAGTTCTTTTATTAATTGTTTTTAATTCTCTGACTACCAGATCTGAGAAAAGTCTAAGGCATCCAAAATGAAAAACTATCAAAAAAACAAAAAAAAAACAAAAAAAAAAAAAAAAAAGGCTTTCATATCCCTTCTGACATCCTAGGAATCTAGTATGTAGAAACAATATGAAAACTGATGTGACAAACCAGTTTTAAAGGAGCATGAGACAAAATACTGCTTAAAGCTCCACATTAAAATGCTTCATGTAAGTAGTTTCAGGTTATTAATCTCAATAACATGCACCACTAGAATTCCAGCAAATGAGATGACACAGATTCAGCTCCCATAGAACAGGCTCTGTGGCTTTTGGCCTGTCTTGGACATTGCCTCATTAATCCAGTTTCATACTCTTTCAGTGAAACAATTCACTCTCAACAACCACTCCAGCCAGCCACTAAAGCTTTTGCTCAAGTGTTCTGGACTCTGTTAACTAACAATGTTAGAAAACATCTCTGAGGAAGGAACTGCTTAATGAATGTTTTGAGTCAACACTTTTGATACCAGTCTGTGGTTGCTGCAACTCTGAATCCAGCCTATTCACTTTAAATTCAATTTCTATCTTGCTAGAAAATTGGCTATTTCAGCATTCATTACACAGATTGAGTTTTCTGTCAAGATACATCACTCTGTTTTCATTGAACTAAGTTATGTCATTCTCCTCCACAAAGCTTCCAGGATTTAGTAGATAGGACTCTCTAGGTTAGGTTGCACACACTCCAGAGGCCAATGCATTCAGAGTTTGACAGATGGATTCATTTAGAAGCGTCCACTGGAGGAAAATGTTACAAAACACCATCTGCTATATCATGGCAATGTTTACAGCCTGCAATCACACATGAAGATCCCATGTATTCTACAAAGAATGAAATAACAACGTCTATGTCCTGGCACACTATCTCAAATGTTGTAACTTGTAAGATAAGATAAATCTTATCTTGTAAGATAATGAGCATTTCTTGTAATTCAACTGCACAGGTTTCAGAACAAGTGTCAGACACCATCTGTTGAAGCATACTTCAGTATCAATATGCATCACTACAGTTACGCATTAAACATAGCACTGATATCTCAATCAATTAAGCAGACTTTGTGTATAGCATTGTTTTCATACCATTAATACTCTGTTTACAAAACAATAAATATAAAATTCCTTTTACTTCCATCTGTCCTGGGCTAAAATACACAGTCGCCTTTAGAAAGATCTGTTCAGTCCTCCCTACTGAGGTCACTTTCATGAAACAACGAGTACTTGAAGTATATAATAAGGAACTGGCTTTCCCTTTAGGACGTGTAAAGAATTTTTAATTATAAACAATTTTTCCCCACCATCAGGACCTCTGTCACATGGTCTTCCTAGAAATGGGTTGTGGGCTTTATTTTTTACTTTACAGTTTTTCGCATCATTTGTTAATGAAAAAAAGAAAGGCGCATTTTAATATGACACTCCATTCTAAAAGAGCCACAGGTCTTTACTATGATTCCTTATCTGCAAAGTGACCTCAAACACTGGCTATATTATACCTCCTAAAACAGTAGATGGTGTTAGAGAAAGCAGCTTGATATATGAAGAACCCGGAACAAACAGATTTGCCTCCTGATCCTCTTCATCTTCATTCATGTCTATCTCTTCCAATGAGTCCACTTCTGGTCGTGCCTGGAAGATTCAAAAAAAATTAAATGTCAGCAGAAAATCCCAAGTCCTCATTACCATTCATGATTCCAAGTGCAAAAATACCAACTAAATATGAAATGTTCCCCATTTCATTATTTTCACTCCATTTCATAAATTTGAAGCTTAATGAATAAAAGCTTTTCTTCTACCTGCCTAAAAGGTGACACTGGTTGGTAAAAATCACAGGGTGTGTAAATACGTATCTTTTATCTTTTTCAAAATTAATCTTGACACTTAACAGCTGAACAAATATTCAAAAAACTTTACTGTCACCCTGATTCTTAACAATGCTTTATATTGGCACTTTAATATAAATAAAACATTTTTGCTAGACACTACTTTTACATATTAGTTTTCGGAATTTGAAAAACTGCAACATATTTACATTTCTTTCAATTAAAACACAGTTACTCACTTTCTGTAAAGTACTGCACCAGTAATACAACTGCAAAGTAACTGCACTAGTAATACAGAACTATATACTACTGTGAAAGATTTCGTCTTGCAGCAGAGTTTACACTATTTCCCCTTATTCTATCCTGTGGTTGTCTATGTGATACACATTTTTCATTTGTAAGGTTTATGATAAACTCTTCTCACTAATTTATATAAAATATGTTTTTTAAAGTTGCATATTCCAGCCTTTTAGTAACAACCAGTTACAACATACAAATGGAGCCTATTATAAAATAAAGCAGTAAATAAAACCTTTACTATAAAGCCATAGGATTCACTATTCCATAAAGTATCAATGGACTACTGAGTACTGCCTAGTCTCTCATACAATGTAAAAAAAGAGTCACACAGATGACCTTATGCTCGTCTTCCTTGTACTCTTTCATTCTGTTAGGTTATTGAGTCACTGATCAGAAGATTCAGAGTTTAACAGCCCTCTGCACACTTAAAAAGTATTTTAGTAAATACTCAACTCTTTTCTGACTGCCTTTACTGACAAAAAGTAAAATGTTATGCTGTAAAAGTTCACCAAAAAAAAGGGAAAACTTTCAGCTTAGTTGCAAAAATTGCATCTACTTTTCTAACTGACTTGCCTGTCTTGTGAACAAAAGCCCCATCCACAAGTGTGACTGCAATGGAAGAAACAGCAATCACAAGAGCTGCTTAGTGCCAAGACTCAAATGGCAGCACTAACAGAAGAGCATAAAATGCATATCAGCTGCCCCAAAAAAAAGTCACTAATTTAACAACAAAATAAGAAAAACTACCTCCTAACTGCTTACCCTTAAGTTTCATTTGTGCCTTTCCCTGCTTATAAGATTTAGCTATTCCAATCATACTTGATAACATCTCATATTACCAGCAGGAGCTAGTAGAATTTCTGGCAGAGAGGTCACAAGGACTGGTTTCCCTTTCAAGAGAATATAATCCATGTCAGATGGAAGTGTCAGATGTGCTTACTATCAAACATATAACATGGTTACCTGTCCAGGAAGATGAAGAATTGTATGTTCTTCAGAGCCAAATGATGAGAGTGATTTATAGGCTGAAATGGCTACAAGGGCATCCTAGAAAATTAATAGGAAGAAAAAGAAAATCACAAACACAGCATATGGTATTGCTACTGGAAACTCTGTAAGAGCTTATCAAGTAACCACTGAATGCTGAAAAAGAGTTCAACAATATTTTCCTGAGGCACATTATCAATTGCTTACTTTTTATATATACAATGCAAAATAGCAAGACCAATTATCTAGGCTTGATAACAACCATTGTGAGCATTTCACTTCAGGTAGAAATATCCAAGCTATGAGAATAATGTTGATAACATATTGATGTTTTAGTTGTTGCTAAGAAGTACTTACTCTAAATCAAAGACTTTTCCACTTACTCTGCCAGTGTGCAGGTGCACATGATGCTCAGAGGGAGCAAGGTCAAGACAGATGACCTGAACTGACCAAAGGGATATTCCACATCATAAAACATTATACCTAGCATATAAACTCAGGGAAGTTGGCCAGAGAGTACCCATTACTGCTCAGGGATGGACTGGGCATCCCTCAGTGGGTGGTGAGCCATTATATTGTGCAACACTTGTTTGTAATTGAGTTTTATTCCTCTTTGTCTTTTTGCTATATCCCCTTTCTTTACTATTATTATTGTTACTGTTATTTTGTTGTTATTATTATTACACAGAAACTTATGAACCTGTACTTGTCTCAGTCCATGGGGTTTACCTTTTTCCAGTTCTCCTTCCCATCCCACCACAAAGAAGGGGAGTGAACAAGTGGCTACATGGTACTTAGCTGTCATCTGGGATTAACCATGGGACTGAAAAATTCTGAATAACTGAAATAGGCTGACAAAAGTTTTAGTCTTAAACTAAAAAAAGTACTTCCACCAGCACTATGGTGAGGATGGTCCAATATTCCCACTGCATTATAATACTCCACAAGTGAATTTGTCAAGAATGCTTCCTGTGTTAAGGCTGAGATTTTCCAGAGGACTCAAACTAGTTTCACAGAATCACAGAATATGCTGAGTTGGAACGCACCCACATAGATCATTGCCTCCAACTCCTGGCCCTGTACAGGACATCCCAAAGAGTCACATCTTGTGCCTGAGAGCATTGTCCAAACACTTCTTGAACTCTGTCAGGCTGGTGCTGTGACCACTGCCCTGGGAAGCTGTTCTAGTGCCCAACCACCCTCTGGGGAAAGAACCTTTTCCTGATATCCCACCTAAACCTCCCCTAACACAGCTTCAGACCATTCCCTCAGGTGCTGTCACTGGTCATCAGAGAGCAGAGATTAGTGTCTGGCCCTCCTCTTCCCCTTGTGAAGAAGTTGCAGACTGCAATGATGTCTGTCCTCAGTCATCTCCAGGCTGAACAGACCAAGTCACCTCAGACATTCCTCATTCAGCTTCCCCTCAAGGCCCTTTGCCATCTTTGTGTCCATTCTTTGGATGCTCTCTAACAATTTAATGTCTTTCTTATATTGTGGTGCCCAAAACTGCCCCCAGAGCTCAAGGTGAGGACATAGTAGTGCAGAGTTAGTTTGTAAATTCTCCTTGGAAATGGCACAGACGTTAGAACCTTCAGTTATGACCCTTTACATCTAGTACATTGCTTCAGAAACAGTGTTAAACAACAGAACAAAACCCTATTAGAAAATGAGATTACTGACACTTTCTTGACGGAAAAGTACAAAACTTATATCCTCTTGCTGACATCAGAAATGAATGTTTTCACTTATATCACTTACCTCATTCTGTGTATTGTTCCAAAGGAAGCTGATAACTTGAGCTTTGAATTTCTACAAAAGCAAAGGAATTTTCATTTCTCTTTGACCAAATAAGCAGTTGAAATACAGACAGTTACCTGAAACAATTTACGGCCACATCAACATAGATTGAGCTAGGAAAGTGGAAGGAGTGCAGCCCTGAACTCCAGACATATTCACATATTCACATTCTATTAGAGGGAAACCATGGATTAACCTTGCACTGTAATTTCCCGTCTAACTCTCAGGACTCACTAATGCAAGTGAAAACTCTGAAACTGTATGAAACACAAATCTGACTAATCTGATCTGGGCAGTGGGTGCAATTTTATCTATATTAAGCAGGCTTATGTAAAAGTTATATATGAAAATACACTAAAAGAAAGAGTTATCTTAGTCCATAAGTACACACCTCAAATTCATTTGTATTCACTGTTAATGAGGGAACCAGGGAAAACAATTCATTCAGTGCTTTTAAAATGAGTGGTCTTGTATCACAACTCAGCTTTGGTGACAGAGCATTCCATGTAGAACGGATGCAAACAACCTGCAAGCAAAGAGGGAGACATCATTACTAACAGCTATCCCAACTTCACTTAAATAACATTTCTTTCCAGTGCTTGTCCTTGCTCTTCCTTCTTGAGAACAGGAATTAATATATAGGTTCATAAAAAGTAAAACAGCAAAAAAAAAAAAAGTTAAAAATTCACTTGTAAATCAACTAATGTAACATAGTAATACTGTAAAGTACTTCATCAGGGAAAGTAGGAATAAATAACACACTGTAAGCAATGCACAGAGCTGTACATGTATCTTCATACCACATTAATGTTCCACTTAACTTGGTCAAATTAGCTAAAAAGCAAGCTGTCTCTGGGACAATAGGATGAAAGCAGAGGAAGCTACCAAGGAATCTATTTTTGCTGGGAGCCCTCCAAAACAAAATGCCTTTAATCTTTAAAAACAATAAAAGCAAAAAAAAAATTGCAGAACAAAAATGCAAACCACAAAAGTTCATGAATCCAGAAACTGCTGGAAATTGTCAAACTACAATAAATACTAAACACTAATACCTAATACTAATGCATTTACAACAGGATACATAATTGATCTTCCAGGATACATAAGTTTCCTCCTGGAAACAACGCACATCTCACCAAGCTGCTTTTCACCTTCAAAGATCTGCATGACAGCTTGACAAGCAGTCAGTACAACATTTTGCATTTCCAGGCACTGAAAAAGTCTGTAAGATGTTCAGTCAGTGGTACAGTTCTAGCTGAAGAATAAAAAGTAGTAGTCAAGTTTCTCAGGGATGTTGAATAGACAGCAATACTGGTACTAAAACTTTCTCCTTTTTCCTTGTGAGATGTTTTCTATTGCCCAGGCTTTCTCTTGGTGACAAGCTGTGTATTTTCCTGAAAATATCTTAAGTAATTTTCATGAAGCATTTCATCAAACCTTAATGTTGCTACCTGTGAAGAACTTAACATTACAGAATTTTACCACCATACATAAAATAATTCTGTCTATAATTTATCTGTTGTTACTACTTGTCTTTCAGATTTCACACTCCACTGCAACAAAAACAGTAAAAGCAGGAAAAATACAACCAAATAAATAACAAAACCCCCCAACAAATAGAACCAAAACCCCCAAGAAACTGTAATTCAGAACTACAGCACAAAGAAAAACCCCAAACCCCAAGCCATGTATGCTTAGAACCAAAGTCTAGACAAAAATTTTAAAATAGCAATGGCAAAGCAAAGCATAATTTTCAGCCTTCTAAAGTGAAAAATTGCAAATCAAGACTTAAAAGTCTGAGAAAATACCATGAAAATGTCTTTCAGGCATAAAAAATTACAACAAAGCAACAGAAGACAAAGAATTAAGAAATACAAACTGATCTATGTAATGAAATCAAATAAAGGTATGTTTATGAAGATACTCCACAAAGACATTGGGAAAGGTAGTTTTAGTATTATTCTGCACTGAAAAAACAGACTGTTTTGTATCTCTGAATGCAGGCAATTGCCAAATTAAGCAGTCACTACAGTGAGTGCAAAACACATTTCAGGGTGCAGTTTAAAAAGCGAAAGATGTATTTCAAGATGTACCCATTTCAGGAACAGCAAACCCATGAATGTGTTTCTATGGTAACAACCACTGATGGCTAGAAAGACCTTGTCTGATAACATTCCAAGGGAAAATGATACCTCTCTTTCCATTCTTTCAAAACAGACTGTTTGCAAGAATAAGAAAAAAAGTCTTCCAGTGTTCAGAAACACAGAAATATCTATTAACACTAGAAGTTCTTCCTCAACTATCTAGAAATGTTAAATTTGTAATGCGTTAGTTGTCTGGAAAACACAACATGTATTAATATGTAGAGAAAAAAAGTTGTGCATTTGAGAGATTTGATACAGTAATTTAGGAAGACTAACAAATCATGAGCTAGCCAAGCAAGTTTAATTTCATTCTTTCCCATAGTAACACACATATTCTCCAACTTCACCCAAGAGGTGAAAAAAGGCCTCAAAAAATAGCCAGCATCCTAACAGCTTAAGACTGTTCAATTCCTTCTCAAATGGTACTTTCTAGACTTGCAACTTAACACCTGTCAGACAGAAAACTCCTACCAAATGATGTAAACTAATGAACAGGGATAGGAACAGTGGGGAACTGGGACTTTTCACACCATAAAAATGCACAGTAAAAATAAAGAAAGGTCATAAAAGCAGTAATAAGCTTGACATGGTGTCTTCCTGGAGGAATGGGCAACTGTGATAAATATCTTGTGATAAAATTTATCTGCTAGTCATGAATCCTCAAGGAAAATGCCTGTGATCCCATAGACACTGTTCAGCTTCACAAAGCTGTCTTCTGAAAATGCAAAATACTCTAGAAAACTAGCAAGATACGAGAACTTTACAACCCTGGTATGACAGTTTACTGTCTGAAAAAAAAAAGGATAGATGCAATGCAGAAAATGTGCATTTAAAAATCTAGACATGCTAGTGCCATGCTTTGGTAAAAGTTCTTAAGGCTATTTTCATTTTTTTGTTGTGTGGGGTTTTTTCATGTCGGTTTGTTCAAATTAACATATCATTGTTATCTGGAGACATTAACAATCCCACAGTGCTTTTGGTACAATACATTTTGATTCAAGTTTATCTTTTCTTGTAATTTCAAAACTGATTTTAAAATAGCAAGCTTGCCACTCCACAAAACTGACTACTAGATGGGAAAAAAATAAAATCTAAATTTTACAGATGCTGAGGAAAGACAAAGCACTTCTGCTTCAGGTTACCCATGGCCCTAAAAGGGTGAGAAATCTTAGGAGAAAAACAAAGAACAGCAACATTTCAATGGAAAGGGAATTTAAACACTATGCTTAGAAATTTTATTTTTGAATGTTTCTTGGCTTGTATATTGTACTTGATACATGAAATAGATTAGATGCCAGTATAGCTTCAAATGAAGTACACTAGCTTCTGTTGAAATCGCTGGGGGAAAAAAAATTACATGCCGAAAAAGAGGAAATGCAATCTGGCAAGAACTGCGTGATTTTTCTCCATTTTTGATATTCAAGTCATTGTGCATTATTCACTAATGAGCTTATGTTACACCTACCAAAAACAAAGAGGGGGGCGGAAACAGCAAGACCTTCTTTCAAGTCCTGCAAAAGCTAAGCTAAGCTTATACTCTTAACACTATTCATATAGGATGCAGTTTGAATGAAGTCACTGTCTTTATACAAAACAATTACTGCAGTCAGTCGAATGGATAACCATTCTTACACAAGAATCAACAAGAAAAAGAAACCAATGTTATAGCAAATTTTGTTATTGCATTACTTTAACAAAGGAGCATTTCTGAGACTCTCAGAACTCAACCTTGACAAAGCCACATGATGTATAGGGTTCAATTATCAACTGAGTCAACACTAAACATATGAAAACATAATTTATTATTCTGGTTCAGAACATGACTTAAAGTTCGCTGCCCTCTAAAATCCTACATCTAAGCAACTGCACATCGAAAAGCTTGGATGCTATATCCGTTTCCCTTAAGTTAGTGGCAAAGACAGAAAACACCAAAACAAAACCAATGTCTATGATTATGTCCTTTTTGCACTGCAAACTATAGTCTAAACAATAAATAAGAGACAGATTAAATTACTTAACCCAAATGATTACCCAGCTTGCCAAACCACAAGAGAATTCCCTGTTAAAGTTTCAGAATAGCTAGGTGGTAGATTAGGCCTCCCAGAACATTACACTGTAGTTAGGGAAATAAGGCAAATAGAATTTGGACAGGGAAAACTGGTAATATCCATAAAGTTTATCCATCTCTCCTTCCTTTCTTCTTTCCTTCCATTTTGAGTAGTCTTAGCCTTCCAGTCCTCAACAGTGGTACACTATACATCTGTTCTCAAATGAGGCTATTATAGTAGGATGTGAAATTTATCATATACCTAACTCTTACTTCTTTGCAAGACAAAGTCTAAATATAATCCAGCCTGGGAAAACACTGATCCAATACCAAGGCCAGCATTCAAAGACTCTACATGACCTTAAGAAGAGCCAAACTTCACAGCAAAGGCAAACAAAAAATTACCCTAAATAAATTGTTTCTTAGCAGCTACTGTCTGACGATTTTTAATTATATTGACTACAAATATCTGTGGATGATTCACCATATTGTTCTTGAACTGCTCAGCGATTTCAAATAATGTGGCAATGGCTGGAATTAGTGCAGTGGATAAACATAAAATTGCTGTTTGGAAGAGAATGGGTAATCAAATATTCCTGCAGGATATAATTAGTTCACTACTCTGATGGCCTGCATAGTACAGTTTTCAGCAGCAGATTCACAGCATGTCTACGCCTGAGTCACAACAGGATATCACCATCTGGGATGTGGAAACAAAGAGCCTTGTCTTCAAGATTAGAGATATCGTAGCATCACTATTTGGGTTCAAAGGGACTTCACAATATTTCCAGCCCAGCCTCCTGCTCAAAGCATGGTTACAATGAGATCAAATCCAGTTGCTCATGGTTGTATCCAAAAGAAATGAGAAAATCTCCAGGGAAGAACACAGCACAGTCTCTCTGGGCAGCTTGTCCCGTAGCTTACCTGCCCTCTTCATCAGTAAGCAATGAACGCATTATAGTAAAAGAGAAGCCTCCCAGCTCTAGTGATTTCACTCCCTATCTGGTACACTCTATGAATGAGACACAGCAGGGCAGGCTAGTAAAGAAAATACAAAAATTACATTATTTAAGTGCCTTTCAGCCAATCAGAATTATGTACCAAACAGTCTTCTTTTTCAAATCTCAAGGAAAGATGCACAGAATGATGTCTTTGCAATAAACTGCAAAGCTGATTTAAAATTTCAGCTCATGCACTGAAGGGCTGATCTGCTGTGGTGGGAGATCACAATACAATTTCCCAGGAACTATTAACTTATGTTGGAGGAGGGGAATTAAATTTGTCAGAAGAAAAAGAAATACTGCAGCAACTCAATGTACTCTTAAAAAAGAGCCAGCCGGGAAAAACTACATGAACCATGAGCAAAATTCAAAACACAAGGACAAGCCAATTTATTCTTACCTCAGCCTCACAAAGTGCCTGTAGACCCTGTAATACTATGGCAGCGGGTGAAGCCTGATCAGGTTTTGTGCATTCATTTAATACCTGAGAAATTGCAGCCAACATGTCTGCTCCATGCTGGTATGGTCTAAAGGAAAAAAACCATGAAAATAGAAGGCAATATTCACACATACACACAAATTATAATTTATACTCAAAAATCCATTAAGTGCTAGTTTTATTTAAGTGACAACTAAAACTGTCTAGAACTGGGAATTCACATACACTCACACACAAAAAAAACCATACAAGGAGGATATGACAGAGCACTCTAAAGGCTGAGTGACATGGGGAATTAAATCAGCAGGCATCAAGTTCCAAATAAAAGATCACTGAATGTAAAGTTGTAGAAGGTTTTGCTTAGGCATGTTGTGTTCACTAAAGATTACATCATTCACGAAGGGATAGAGAATGAAAGTCCAAATGCACTATTTTATGATTCTTTGTTGCAATCTCCTGCAAGTAGTCCCTACTGTGTATTGGTGGAGATTCTGGCACCAAATGTTTTCTGTCCTTTTTACATCAGACAGATATGTTTTCCCTTGGTTTTTTTCCCCTGCTGCAATGCCACTTCTCTTTCCCTCAGTGACTGTATGGGCTGCTTTAACTTTCCAGTCTTTTAACTATCCATTCAGTTTTATCGGGTTGTGGGGGGCAAGGTGTTCAACAGTTCCTCATACATTCTCTGTAAGAGATTCTGGTAAATGTTATCTGGTAGGTGATTTATAAGCATGGTAAATTGTGACTTATCTATTTGTTCACACTTTCTTCAAAGTAATTTCTAAATGCATGAAGAATATGCATACACCTGAACTCCACTTAACTGGCAAAAGGAATACTACAGGTGCTTTGAGATTTCTCTCTTGCTTTTCATTTTTAAAGTGAAAAATATTATTGGAAAAGTCGAAGAGGTAAAGGAAAAGGTATTTTTTAGGAACTTCTTTTTAAATGATACTTAAAAGTTACTTGAATCTTGTCAGCTGTTAGTAGCTGACCTTCAAACAGGAAAGTGAAAACTAGAACCCAAGATAGGTGACAAACAGAGATGATGATGTGGTGCACATAAAACCTTACAGGAAATACTAATGCACTTAAAAATACTCTTTAAGGAGCTGTAAATTATTATCAAGTACTGATATTCATGAATTGTTAGAGCTGGAAAGGTTCAGTGTATTATCCAGTTAGACCTGCACAGCAGGGTTCTGTGGCATTATACCTAAGTTAAGCCCAAAAAAATACACGTGACAAAATATGGTTTTCAGAAAATAAATTCTATCTTTCTTTAAACAGATCAAAAGAGAGACAATTAGTCCTTACTTCTATTTTTCATCTCTTCCTTTTGCTAATCTGGGAGTGTTATGCCTGAAGTTTCTACCCTGGACCAGCATAGGATGCATCTTTTGTTCCAGGATGAAGATCATTTAATTTTAACAGCACTTATATGTGTGTTCCATTAGCCATAATAGAAAACCCCAAACTTTGTAGCTGCTCAGATTAGCAATGGCTGAATCAGTGTCTCAACTAGAAAAATATTACTCACAATTAATGTAACAGAATAAGAAAAATAATGATGCAGCTTTTCTGAAAACAACTCTTTTCCTTTACAAAGATATATGATAGGTAATGCTTGCACTTACCTCATCCTACATATATCTCTTATACAAGCAGCTTTAGCAATCAGCTTTTCCCATTGAGCATCTTTGTCAACAGACACAGAGGGCATATCAGACATTGCCAAGAACTTCTGCAATTCTGGATAAATTCGGTCCTAGAAAAGATTTCATTACAAATGATCATCACACCTTTAAAATCATTACTGGATTTTCAATTGGTAGCACTTCTGTATACTTCTGCATACCACTTTGATTTTTATTATTGCATACCATATTTTGCTTTTTTTCATTATTTGTCTCTAATGCTACATTGAGATCAAACTGGCTTTTGCAGACCAGGTCTCTATTGCATCTTTTAAAAAATCAGAAGCAAATTATTGCACATAACTTGTGCTGATTTTGTCTAGGATAGAGTTAATTCTCTTTGGGATAGGGTTAATTCTCTTAATTCTCTTCTCTCACAGTGGCTGGCATGAAGCTGTGTTTTGGATTTCTTCTGAACACAGGGTTGACAATACAGAGATGTTTTTGTTATTGCTGAGCAGGGCTTACACACAGCCAAGGCCTTTTCTGCTTTTCATGCTGGGGAGGAAGTTGGCGATGCTACAGCGGTTGGGACGAGACACAGCCAGGATGAGTGACCCAAACTGATTAGAGGGATATTCCAGACCATATGACATCATGCTCAGGATATAAAATGGAGGGAAGAAAGAGGAAGGGAGAGACATTTGAAGTGAGGACATTTGTCTTCTCAAGCCACCACTACATGCAATCTCTCTCCTGGAGATGGCTAAACACCTGTCTGGAAAGCATTGAATTAATTCCCTGTTTTGTTTTGCTTGTGTGCACAGCTTTTGCTTTCACTATTAAATGTCTATCTCAGCCCACCAGTTTTCTTCCTTTCACCCTTCTGATTTTTCTCCCTAGTCTTTACTGGTGGTAGAGGTGTGAGTGAGTGGCTGTGTGGTACTTGGTTGCTGGCTGGGGTTAAACCACAACACTAAGATCATGTTTTTACTTGCATATAATGAAAAGCAGAAAGATATCCTTCAAGCAATTTTTTCTAATCGCAGTTTGAGATGTCATGAAATTAAATAAAATTTCATTAAAGACATACTATTTAAATATTCTACTAGAAGATCAGTACAGACACTATTAACACTATTTACTTCATAGTGCTGATAGCGACATACTACTACAGCAATGTTCTACAATTACTTTCTTCCTTGGTTAACAGTAATGAAGCTTTTCAACTGGATTTATTATAGTGGCACTACAAGAAGTTTCTAACCTGTCTTTCCCATAATGATGTCATCAGCCGTGAGGCAATTGCTCTGAGCTTAGCTGTGCTCCCCAGCATGTGTATGGCACGTAGAATCTGAGCTACACAAACCTGAAAGAAAATTTTAACCAAGTTTGTTATTGTATATGTTTTAAGGACAAAGAGTAACCTACAAATCATTATTTTACAACCAAGTACAAAACCATCCAACTGCAATACCAGAAATAAACTGAAAGTCATTTTCCAAAAAACTTTAGCAAATAACAAGTCCAAGAGCATCCTCTCATGACATATATAATGATCATACATGGTAGAAAGTAAAGTGTAACGTACATTTAACTTTAAAGCAAATATCATATCCCATCCAAAATGTTACAAAGTAATGCAGACACTTAAAAATCAGTTAAGCAAGATATACATTGCTCAGCCTAAATAGTTTTTATAAATACATGACCTTTTATTGATAGTTTTCATTTTACTAAAAACCTTTCATTCTGACCTTATGTACACCAAGTGTAGGCAAAGTATACAATATCTCCCTGTAAAGTGCAGGCTCCAAAGGTCTTCCCAATTTAAATATCAGAACAGGGATCAGATTTGGGACCTAAAATAGAACAAATGCAGGAAATAAATCGGAATTTGCCAAATTTGCCAATATGACACCTTAGAAAAGACAATAGACTTGTCACAACATATTAGAAAAGCATATCTTATATGCATTTTTTTCCTGCCTGCATATACGAGAAACCTGTCACATAATACAATATAATTTATTACATTCTTACTATATGGTACAAAACTTCCAGAGAGCTGCTAACACAGCAACCTGCATCACCATGTTAAGATTCAAAATTCTCTGGGAGGTCACACATGCTCCTCCACTGATTCACTGATACATAAGCTTTTCATGCAACTGTTAACATGTTAATAGGGAAGAAATGTCTTCTAATAAAATGATCCAGAAAGTTTCATATGTAGCAGAATAACTGGAAGGCTCTCAGCTCAGAAGATAAGAGGATTTTGTCAATTCTTTAAATAAGATCCATCCCTGATAAATGCTGTGCTGGGCAAATAGGTTATATAAGACAGCAGTAGAGATGACAGATAAGTCATTATAATGATCAATAACCTTACCTAAGTCGCTTACTTCCCATCTCTTCCCTATTACCCCTTTCTCTTGCCAGAGGCAGGTTCTTAGGCAACTCAGTCTAGTCAATACACTACTTCCTTATTTTTCTCAGTTGTAGCGACACTGGACTACACATCAGCAGTGAGACCAAATGACATTAAAAAAAAAGATATTCATAATCCTTAGTTGTAATAACATTCAAACCTCTAAAGTCATTCTGCTTAAGCCCAGCTTTCATCAGCTGTGATGGGAAGCTCATTTCAAGTCCCGTGTCTACATTTATTACCTTGTTATGAAGTTTATTCTACAGTAAACACATATTAAATCAAAGTTCTACAATTGCTTTTATGCTACCATCTAGTAAACAGATCCTAAGTTTGATCTACAAAATTCTCAAGAAATGCTTATGCATGTGCTACCGTTAAGACAGTTAGAGACTTCTTTAAAAGTCTTATCCTTTACAGTCTGTTTTGTCCAGTATATTTCAAATGTAAGATTAGGAAAAACACCAAAATGTTCCAGTACAGCAAAGCTGCTCTCATCTCCACCTACCTCATATAATAGACAAAACAATGCTGGGATTAATTTCAATATTAAATTTATGCTACATCTTCATCAAGGGCATAACAGCTCCACAAAGCTGATATGACAATTCATTAGCTCCCAGTAGGTAGGATCCTGTGGATGTGACAGCCAGGTCAGAGAGTGAGAAAACCAGGTAAGTTTTCTCATGGCTGCCTTGTGAGACTCTAGAGAGCTGTAGAGAAATTATGATAGCTTGTTATTGTAAACACCCTGCAAGTGGTGTTTTTCCTACTCTCTGTTTTCCTGTTTTTCTCAAAGATTATTTATAAGAAAGGTGTTTTTGTTAATTAACCAATCAGGTGAAATATATTGATTGACCAATCTGGTCTATATGTATCAGAACAGTCTATAAAAAGAGAGAATTTTCATATCAAAGTGGCTGCTGTGCAAACCAGCCTTCTGGTGAGTCTGTGTCATTTCTTACTCAATAGCAAGAGGAACCAGCTTCAGAATGGGAGGCCTGCTGCCTGTCAACACTGGTACCAGAGGATGCAGAAGTTAAGTCACAACTGCCTTTAGGAATCTGAAGGGTTTTGACATAATATTTTTTGGTTTTAAAATTAATTTGAATCATAAAAATGTTAAGATTTCTCAATAATTTTCCCTTTTAAAATAAAATTAAACATGTAAACCAAAATTATATTATTTAATAAATATACCTGAGAAGCATTCTCTGCCATTTGGTGGCATAACTGCTTTTTCCTGAGCTACGGGACTACTGTTCTTTTTCAAAAAGCATCAGCTAAGAGAGAAGAGCAGGTTCCATTTCTGGGCTGAATTTTGGTAGATCAATCATCAACCTAGCTGTCCAGTAGGCAAGACAATGAAATGGGAAGATTTCTGAAAGCATACAGTACTTAGGCATTTCTTGCTTCAATGAACAAGACAAAACTACAGGCAATTCAGAGAAATGAAGAAACAAGTTCTTCAGATAAGTGCATAAAGGTAGCTAGGTTTCTCTTCATAAAACTATAAAATAAATTTCTCTCAAAAATGAAACACAAGCTAGGTTTTCTAAAGTTTCATGTACTCTAGCAGGATCCCAGTCAATAAATTAGCATCATGAAGAGTCTGTTCACAAGATAGGACTATGACATGATTCTTTCCCTACTGCTACTCACTAAAGTTTGCATAATGAATCTAACAAAAAAAACCATCAGGCACTACCTGAACAAGACAAATTTTGTTCAGTATGTTCTTAAACACGTTTTCTACATGAATAAAAACTTATTTTACATTTTTGGGTATTAATGCACTCCCAAACCTCAAAGAACTAAAAAATAATGTATCTTCAGATGAACTTCCCAGAAGATGTCATTTACCACTAAAATGGTTCGTTCTAGCAGCTGAAAGACCATAAAGAATGCATGTCCTCTGTGACTCACAATCCTCAAATAACAGTAATAGATCTTGTGCTATATCCACCAGTGACTTAGTCAGATAATTTAATTTCTTCTCTTTGCAGCACAGCAAGGGTTTCATAGAGTGTAATAACAATTTCTGCACAAGACAATTCATCCAATTAGATCAATTAAGTCCTTCATGTGCCTCTGCTGCCTGTGCAGAGATTTTACTTCTGAAAGCCTAACATCCCATGTACTACCCTTCATTTCTCAGCCTTTACAAAATTTTTCTGGGCTTTAAACCATAGGGAAAGTCTAGAACCACTATCCCAGAATGCTTCAGCTAAAACCATTACCTTGCTTTATAAAAAGGCTTTTGCTCAGTGGGGAAAGAAGAGATACATGTTGAGAAACACTCTGTAGCCTCCCTTCATGGAGAGGATAAGGGGAAAAAAAAAAAGAAACAAAAATAAAACATAACCAGAACAATGTTTGCAAGAGCTATTATGGTATAATAATTAAACCTAGTGATGTTTTTTAAGTGCTCCACCAGTTTAGATAATAGACTCCTTATAAAAACAACATTCAGTGTGAAAACAGGAGCTACTGTTAGTGAACTCTGTGAAGAGTTGGAATAAACACGAAAGCAATCTCTTTCTGACTCCATTTTGTTTTGAAACACAATTCTTCAACTAGATTTTGCACAGGAATCACCTGTGGCTTTTCAATTCAATATCCACAGCTATGACCATTGTGCCCCTTTGTGAACAACAAAGTAATAGAATTTCTCTAGCAGCAGAATTCTGTGACTATCTAGATCACTAAAAAAACCAAACAACCAATAACAAAAAATCCATCATACAATTCTTTTTATGCTATGACCTTCACCACATCTCAGCATTATATACTCTGCTGGAATACAGGTAATTCACAGTGGCTCCAAAGGAGACACTTCTTAATTTTAGCCTTTATTCATTTAACTTCTGCAACATTAAGTTCTGAAGTAGTAGCCAGTAAACTTCTAGCTGATGTTTACTTTGATTTGGACATGATTCAAAGAATTCAGAATATACCTGTTACAAATATCTGGCTGTAAACTGAGTGTTATAGTGCCACTCACACCAAAGGAACAGAGTCAAGTTGATACAGATGTGACTGTCTAAAAATAAGATTGGGCTTAACAGCCACTTTTTGTTTTCTTCTTCCCATACCTGTCTTCTGACTTCCTTCTTCTTCAGAACAGCCTTCTAACTACTATGCTACATGCCACTTTCCACTGCATCCTTCAGAAAATACCCTAAGGAAGGAACTGAAGACTCAAAATGTCTAACAAGTTTGTTATGATGGGTTTTTCACTTTCTTAACTTACATTCCAACCACTTACTTCCACCATATTTTATACAGCACCATTTACTTCTGTGGTGAATAAAACACAGAACCAAACATAGCAATTTCTGAAGTATAACTCTGCCATCAGTATGTTAGTGTTAGTTGCCATCATACTGCTGACTGTATTAAAGTAATATCCTCCAGTTATATCCTCCATGCAGGAACTTCAATGCTTTCTCCTGCTGTACTGTTATTGCAAGAGAAAGATGAGACAAGTTCTACAGTAATTCTTCTGCCTTAGCGAGAGCAATGAACCTACAAGAAACAATGTGATAATCTTTCAGTGCAGTGCTGCACTGTAATAATCTCTATGGAGCCATTAAGTAGACTCAGAATTAAAATAACTTGTCAGAGACAAGACAGATGCCAGGTGATGCCAAGTTCAAAGAAGACAGACAATAAGTTCAAATTTCAAAGCATTAAAACATTTTGGAGTAAAATACATCTTTTAAAAGATAGAAATGCATTAAATTGCTAACTGGAGAATATGGTGTCCTTGGTTGCAGTTAATTGAGGATGAGGAACAGAAACATCACCCCAATGACACACATTATTTTTCCCATATCAAATTTTCAAATACTACTCAGGAAAACATCTGCTATATTACCAGTTATACTGACTGCTTTATATGATACTATGACAAAGATATCTGATTACATCACATATTTTGCAGAAAAGTATTTTAAAGCCACAGTAATTTTAAAATTTAAAAGCTCTCCATCTACATGCCTTATAAATTGACAAAATGTCAACCAGTAAGAAAGTATCAATAAATCAGGTTGAGTTCTGTATTTTTGCAATAGTTTCTAATTCACACGGACTTCTGCTGATTGGTGGGGAAACAAAAAATATTATGAAGTCTGAACTTCATCTTCTCATTGCCTTTGGACACAAGCCATGCTTCCCAGTGCCAGGGAGGACTTTTTCATGAAGGTCCTTAATTCTAAGGAAGGTTTCTTAATTCTAAGATAGTCTGACCACAATAGTTAGCTCAATAGGATATGTCAATTAATCTTACTTTTGTTCATTGTATTGGTGAACAAAACCTTCAGCTTAAAATAATAATAAACAAAGCAGAAAAACCCATTCACATAATGCTAAACATGAATAGCTTCAGGTTAAATCACTCTCCCTATATCTGTCTAAAGCTTCTGTAATTCTGCTGACTTGCTCTTTGATTTGTCTCTAAGCCTGTTCATTTAAAGTCAGTGGAGCTACTTTAGATTAATCTAACTATATTCACAACAGTCATTCCCTACAGTCAGGCTTCAGGCCATTCTGTTCAGGTACCAGATTACTTCAGTGGTACTTTTTCAACAAGTTATTGCTTTTCTTCTATCACTGTTAAACTGCATTTTGAACGACTATATCAAATAGTTAATAAACAAAGCATTATTCCTCCCTTTCCCGTAATATGCCACTGATTCATCATCCAACTCAAAGACCCAATGCAACAAAACAGGTTAGATATAGTCCACAAAACCCGAAACCCAATCCCAGAGCATCTGGAGTTATCTTTGTAATTTTTACACAGCTAGCTAGGCACAAGAAGAAAACTGCCTTGCAGCAGCTTGGATCAGAAGTCAAAGCAAGGTTTCCACAACAGGGCAGATGTATGTCTTACTTACCTTTTTCCTAGAGAATAATTAATTTACAAGGACTGGGACCTGGATCCCTGGTTACAAACTATTTAGTGGACATGTCAAGCTACTCACAGTTGAGGTGTACCACTTCTAATATCTTTGAAAGCTGACTTACAGAAACATTTTCAAGAAAAAAACTAAGTTAAAGAAGAGGTACCCAGGTGGTTCTACGTCACCTCAGCTTTGCTTTAACACAGAAGTGCAATTCATTTTGCTTACTCCTGACCTTTGAGCACAGTTAGGTGCTTTCTACTTAAGTGAGAAACTGAAGTTTTAATAACTACTTTGCAAAAAAAAAAAAAAAAAAAAATAGGTCAACAAAGCATCTGTAAGTTTCCTTAAGCTTAGTGTCAATGTCTTTCCTCAAAAACCTGTCTCAGTTACATGAGGAAATGTATCTGGAAAACTCATTTCTGACTCCTGGCTTAGGAACACATTGTCATAATCAGATCACAGTTTTCATGACCTCTAAATTTTACATACTTTCCCTTTTCATTGACCCTTCCTCTCAAGAGGTCTAAATGGCTTGTATGAAGTAAAAAGTGTTATTTTCTGGAAAAAACATTCCACTTTTAACCTGCCTATTTCTTAAAGGATTTTGGTTTTCCTGGAGATAAGATTTTTTTTGCTACCAGATTTCCAACATGTACTTAAATAATACAGTCAAAATTGTAACCTTTTTAAACTCTTGTGCTGTAGAACATGTACTCTTTGAGAAGAAAGCCATTAAAAAACACCAAAGAAAATAAAGCTCATATTTTATGGCATAAATTAAAGCTGAATCAACACTTCTTTCTTGCCTATTTTACAAGTAAGTTATGGTTATTTCTGCACAATGCCTTCCTCCATTACATTGCTGTTTCCAGATAAACCCCTTCCTCTTTCCAGATTACTGAGGTAAATTTATGCATCCTGTATAATTCAAGCTTGAATTCAGTAGTGAAGTAGACAGACTATGCACATATTTCTAAAAAACATCAATAAAGGTGTCACAAGGGACTTGTCAGTCTTCCAGTAACCACAAAAGAACATAGAGAATAATTCATAAGGTCATCAGAAGTTAGAAATTATTTGGTAGCTCCTTTTCAGCTTCCTCATGTTGTATTTTCATGCTTCCTGGATAATACTAACAAATTTGCCAGTCTGCTTCCTAAGTCACTTGTTGGACCTAGCATCATGAAGCTGCGGCAGACTTGCCCCTCTCAGGCTTCAAAATCCAACACAACTCCTGAGAAAAATCCCAAACCACTAAAAATAAATCTTTACCTGAGAACAATCAGCCTTGGCTATTTCTGTTGTAGCCTGGAGTACATCACGAAGACTATCTCCATTTTCTTGAATCAGCAGATAAGCCAACAAAAGAAAAACATGGGCAGGTACTTGAGTGCTAACAGGTAGTAGTGACTTCACTGAAGATAACCACTTAGTAACTGCAGACTTCTCCTTCATGAGCTCCATGATCTTCCAGGTTGTATACAGTGAACTGTAAGAGCTGGTTATGGGGCAAAGGAGTTTGCAGAGCACCTGAGAACAAGTGAAACAAATCAAAGTCTCAAACAAATAAGATACCATGAAAGAACAATCATAACATCCAAAACATTTTTTATGGTCCCAATGCAATAAATATAAATAATATACTGTGATATATTTTTTCAAAATCTTTTATACGAATTCTTGCACTACAGATGTTTCAATGGGTTAATAACTCCCTGCTCAAAAGTTCCCATTTTGTCTGACATCCATCACTCCTGTTCTTGATTGGAACTGCTGTACTACTTGCCCACTAAAATGGGCACTGTAATTCTCAAGTATGTAAAAAACTTACATTTCTGACAATGACCGGACAATCCCAGAATTTCAACTATCATCTGTATTATTTTTAAATCTGTCTTAACTCTTAATAATACTTAATACCACAGGTTTAAGTTAACCTGACTTTTCATTTTTTGTTTAAGAAATGCTTTGCTTCTCAAAACAAAATGTTCTACAGTTGTGCCACCAAAAACAGGGAACTAAAACTCTCAATCCAATTTTTTAGGTTAGAAAGCTGACATTACTTTAATCACATTCCTGGAGGCATAGGGAATTCTCCTCAAAGCATTCATGCCCAGTAACCTAACAGACTGGGCTATATTTCTGAAACAAATACATATACATTCCATTTATGAATACATCTACATGTTAACTATTTCCATGGATCTATTTGGATACGGTTCCCGATCTTCTGGTGAATCTTTTCTCCTTGAGAGTACCTCAAATATGTCACCAAGTCATTATGAATTTCTCTCATCATTCTTTGGTCTGACACACAACCCTTGTTCTCGAAGCTAGCACATAGTAATCACTAACACAAATAAATAAGGAAGTATTAGTGGAACATGACTTATTAATCACACTCACAGGGAGTTAAGACAAGGCCACATTAACTTCTGGCATTTGTACTAAGCACTGTAGGGTAGGAAATTGGCAATAATCAGGAATATAGGGATAATATACTATCATGGTGAAGTTAAAAGGATTTTCCAGCATCTTCCCTCACTGCTCCATAGATTTCTTCTAACAGAAATATAACCTTTTCAGAAACAATTGCAGTCATTAAAGATTTAGTAGCAGGAGAGGTGTAAAATACAAATGAGGAATTATTTTAAGTCAGATTTTTATATAAGGGTAATATATTTTAAAGCTCCTGTAAAATAAAGTTCAAAGTTTTTAATTAAACAGGAAAGCTTAATACAAGACATGACATCTCCTTCCCACTAATTATTTGCTTCCTTAGAAAATATCTTTACATTATCAAGAAAGTAGTTAGCAGGCAGTAATCAGGTGAAGAACATTTATACAAAGATAAGGTGAAAAAAGTATTTGAGAAGAGATCTCCAAATGAACATTGAAAATGGAATTCAGAATACAAAAGGCATGGGCCCACTCAGCTTTAATAACCAGGGAAAAAAAAAAAGACTTTTGAGTGGTAAAAGCTGTTCTAATTAAAACTGCAGAATTTCATTTTAATCACACTGTTTGACTCAGTATAAATTTATTTTGGCAAATGGAAGGTAGGATGCCCTTGAATTTTAGTTTACTTTTTTTAAATTACATTAAAATTATCTTATTCCATTACTTACACATTACAACTAATGTATGTGAAAAATCAGCAATCTAAAGTGTTATCTCCTCTGGCTGGCAAGATTGCTTGGAGCCAAAAATCTCTTTTGAGTACAGCTATGATAATGTCATTTATTGAAAAACGTATTTAAACTTTATCCAAGGACATACAGAGGTCTAGTAAGAGTTCCAGGATCCATAAGATGTACTGTTTATTTGCCTGCCTGTAGAAGATAACAGGTCTTGATATCAAGAGCAGACTACGAATGGTTTTCTGCTGTTTGGAATTCTCTTTGGGAGGAGAGAAACAAAGTTTCTCTTTGTTTGTGGGATTTTTTTTGTGCCTGTGGTAGCAGTGTTCTCATTTTTTTTCGGTTTTTATATTTTTTAGGTGCCTGAGAAAAACTGCTAAAATTGGTAGAGTCTGAAATATTATATTGGTATTTCCCATTCCACATTACATTCCCAAAAGGTTTTGCTACGTAATTGTACTCCCTCCCTTCTCCCTTTATTGGGAGGCTATGATCACAATTTTATTTTATTGCTGCACTCTAGTCAAGCAAGCTAAGTACAGAATTTCAGTCTACTAACACAAATATATATAGAGGGTTGTGTGTCTATATACATACAGATACAGATATACACATATAGATACACATATAAAATCCCTCAATGGCAAAGCATACATGAAGGCATAGCCCCATCCTAACTTCCAAATCATGGCATGGAAGGTAGAAATGCTCCCCACTACCAACAATGCAAAAGAAAAAAAATACCATTGAAGGACATTTAACTTTTGAATGCTGTTAAAAGCAAAAAAGAAGCACACTCTCAATGGAAAGGTGGCCAAATACCCACTGGAGACTACAAGATCTTTACTAGGATTTGCAGGTGATCCTTGCTAGGATTTATCACCTTTATGTGGTACACATGAAGGTCAGGATTCAGCTGGAACTGGAACTGGCCAGTGATATCAAAAAGAAGAAATGGCTGATCAGATACATAAGCAGTTAAGCAGAATCCTGGGGAAGACATAGGCCCATTACTAGACAGGACAGGGAAAAACTACTGATAATGCTCCTTCTCAATAACTCCTTTTCTCCTGATACACATGTTTGTATTGAGGCTGGCAGCCTATCCCAGCTCGGGCCCCCCAGGGATCAGTACTGGGCTCCACATTGTAACATCTCCATCAATTATCTGGATAATAGGACCAAAAGCACCCTCACCACATTTGCTGTGTCACTAAACTGATGTCAGTTGAGAGGGATGCATCAGCAGGGAGAGCCACCTTGCAGAGATATGAGCAGGCTGGAAGACTGGGCCACAAGAACTGTGTAAAGTTCAACCAAGGGAAGTGCAGAGTCCTGCACCTGGGAGCACAAAACCAAAGAGCCTGGCCAGGCTAGGACCCAAGAGCTGTGGAACAGCCTTGCCAAGAGATGCCTGAGGGTTTCAGCGGACAACACACAGACACCAGGTCAGCAGTGCACTGCTGCAGCTACTGAGGCAAAGTGGATCCTGAGCTGCATCCATGGGGCACTGATAACAGAGAGAGATGTGGCCATCCCTCTTCACCAGCACTTGTCACACTGCACATGGAGTGGTGTGTCCAGTTCAGGCCCCCACAGTTTCAAAACAGATGTGGATGGACTTAAGATGGGTCAAAGGAGTGCCATAAGTCAGGGCTTTTCACCCTGAAGTGAAAAGAAATGAAGACTAACGAAGAAGTGAAGGCTCAAGGGGGATGTCATTATTTTCCAGTACTTAAAGGACAGTTATTAAGAGAAGAGAAGCTTTCCCTTCACAAAGAACCACATGGAGAATACAAATGGCAATGGATACAAGATACCTGGGAGAAGGTGAGGGATAACATTACAAGCAAGACATTTTTGATAGTGCAAACATCATTCACTGGAACAACCTCTCCAGAGACATGGTATAGTCCCCATCACTGGATATTATCAACGTGTGATTGGATAGGATACTGAATAATCTTATCTCGGGTCCCTTTCCTATGAAAGGCTAGACCAGATGATCTTGCAGCCTGGGCTGTTCTGTGATTCTACTAAAATATAACCATGTTTGCTCTTATATACACTTGCTTAAAGCTTCCTCACTGGGGACATAGTATTTGCTTTCTTTTTACTACTTCTTTTCTTGTCTATTTCCAATATGAAGCAAGTCTAAGGATAATTCAATCAAGATTTTATTCTCCTAGCATTGATCTGATCCTACAACACACACTGACTGTTATGGGACCATTAAAGAGAGTCTACATTTTTAAATCTTCTAGTTGAGAACCAAGGGCTATTGGCATAATTATTACAAATAATGATCAGGCAAAATGATTGCCTGATTTGCATTAAGAACCATTAATTATCAAAGATCTGCCAAGCTACTTGCTATGAACTCTGCAAGAATTAGGGAGACACAAAGGTAGAAACTGTTAGGGAATTCTCAGCAATGATAACTGTTTCACATTGTAACAAAATAAGTAATTAAACAAAAATTGATTAAACCCTTAACATAAAAACTTTCACATGTTTTCTGAAGCAAAGAGAATACCAGAATTAGGACAACCAAGTCCTGTTACAGGAAGGCAGTGTAACACAGTGTACTGTAATCTTGTTGTACAATAACACAGTAGTCTTATGACAACATTAAAATAGTTTCTAAAACACAACAGAAAACAAAATGTGTGTGAGTGACACAGACCATAGAGGACTGACATGTGACGAAAACATTTCACTGAAACAAACCTCCACTGGCATCTGTACAGGTTGGCACCCAGAAAGTCCCATTAGAAGGCAATTAACTGTAACCACTGTCATCCTACTGTTTATTCTTTCAGAGAAGACTATGAAATTTAAGGTTTTGTGAATTTTAAAAAAGTGGGGTTTTTTTTCTATTAGGAGCACAAATAGGCTTGCTTTTTCAGATTTGAAGAAATAGAAGATGAAGTAGGTGAATGATTCCAGGTCAAGGAGAATCGGCTGGACTCAGAAGTGGCACTATGTCTGGCTCCAACTTGTCACATCACACCCTCTCTACACAAAACAGGGGTGTAAAGCAGTAAGGGAGCTTAGCCCCACTGCCAGACACATCTTGATTAAAGAGATTTATTGTCACCTGTTCATGGAACAGTGCAGATAAATGAATAGATGGCAGGGAGGTGGGACATAAACAAATAACTAAAACACACAAAAGCCCAACAGAACCTATAAAAAGATTCAGGTAAATGAGACAAAATTTGCTGACACTTAGGTGCTCTGTAACTCTCTTCAGCCAAGGCAGAAAGAATGGTACATAACAGTCACATACAGCAGGGAGGAAAAAAAAAAGCAGAGAATAAACAAGTTTGAAAGAAACAGAGTAAATATATGTAACCTTGATTTTTGCTAAGTTTCTGTTACTTGCTTAGCAATACAGGTGAATTCTTCAATCTATATGGTCTCTTAAAAGTAAAAAAAAAATCTCATTTGCTAAATAAAACCAATATCCAGCAAAAGAAACAAACTTTCACTTCACCACTGCTCTAGTTTTATAGACTATACATATTTTCAAGCATTTCCATAAAATATATTGCACAAAGAAGTTCACACAAGCAGAGTCTTTCCCAAGCAGCTAGGCTTCATGCAGAAAAAATTTTAAATGCCTCCCCTACCTGCCCCCAAAAGAGGAAAGAAACTCTATTACTTTACCGATTCCTGTTTATCTTTCACACCTTTCTCCTTTAATATTCCCAAAAGATTTACAGCCAGCTGCTGCCTAGTAGTTCCAGAAACATCCCCTGATAAGCAGTCTCCAACTGTTGTAGAAGATAAGATCTGTAGCACAGGCATCACCAGAGTAAGGGCTGTGGTTGAGATGTCCTGGGCTTCTGAACATGAAAGAAGCTTGTAGGCTATTAAAGAGAAGATGAGGAAAAACAAAGGTCAAGGAGGAAAAAAAAAGGAATGAACATTGGTACCCTTAGGCATGACACAGGCATTTCTAGGAAACACTTCATTTGAGCAAAGAAAAGGTCTCCAGATTTACTGTATATGTACAGTACTGTATGTATTGTATAAAAAGAGTAAAATATTTTTTGTTGTTTTTCCTTTAGAGACATACAGATTTCTGTTTTTTAAAACAAAGTACTTGATGGCAGCAAAAAATACAAAAATTAAATGGTGCACGGACCTTTGTTTTTACTGGAATAACTACACTACTCAAAACTTCTAAGTCAAAAGCACGGCTAAACATTGCCATGATTGTCATGCCTGCTCTCAATACCTGTAATAAAAAAACACTCGGGATGCATGAGCATCAGCTAAGAATATCCTGTTGGCTCAAAAATGAAACCAATAAGCTCCAAGACAGCAGGGAGCTTAAAATACAGCAAAATTGATGGAATAAGTCAGTGTAGTAGGAAAAATAATTTTTACTGCCATTACTTTTAAAGTTTAGGAGAAATTCTGCTTATAAAGAAATCGCATTTCACCACCCAATCCAACTCCAGGGGAATGCTGTGTTTATTTCATAAATATGAAGAAGCATAGACATAGTTTTAAGAATGTGGATTCCTCTTTCACAAGAAGAGCTTTACCTAGACTCAAGACAGACTTTTGCTGACTTTCTGGAATTTGCAGCAGTAGAAGTGCTAGCCCAATTATATACTGGTCCACTGGAAATACCTACAAGGAAAAAAGAAAAAAGTTCCAAGTCTCCTCTGTTTCTCAGTGACAATAAACAGAATGAACAGGAAATGACCAAAACTTTGCAAGATTATCTGCATGAATCACAGTAAGTGTACATGCAGTGACAGAGCAATGAAGAATATAATTGTATGAAAATAGCATTTTAACTAATTAGAACATTTAGTTACTATGTCCAAACTGCTGTAACTCACTTTAAATAAATTTTTGTGCTAAAAGATTAATTTAGTATTAATTAATATTAAATTATTTTAATTTAAAACCAAGTTTTTACTTTCTGAACGCATTCAACCAGAGAAAAAAATTAGAAACTTTTGAAATAAACAATGGTCACCTGCAGGCAAATGTCATGTATTAGCGTCTCTACTGCCTTAAACATGATAATCTTTAAATTTAATAAAACTATTTTACATTTTTAACACATACTCTTACCTCTTTTAGGAGCTCAAAGTTGTCTTCTATTAGGGAGATCAAAGATGAGCATTCTCCTGTCACATTTAAACACACTTCACAGAAGCATAACAGTTGTAGACTAAGCTGGGATAACTGAATGTCCCAAAACAAAGGATAGCGTAGTAGGCTGAGGAACAGCTCTTGCAGGAAAAACAAGGCTTCTGTAACTTGCAGTAAGTCTTTAAGCTGCAGAGAAGTGGTTAAAATGAAACAAACCCAAAACATATGATGATTTAGTTGCCTTTCCCGATCTATGCAGAAGTTACAATTAGTTCTATTCTGCTATGTTTCTATTGCATATAGTACCAAATCTTTGAAGAAACATCTGTATAAACTAATGCCAGGAATCCCTTATTTAACTTCGCCGAAAAAAACAACTTATGAACTGCTATTTGATATTCCGAAGTAAAATGAGAAGCATATGAAAGAATTAAAATATTTCTTGGTAGCTGTTGAGAAAAATTCCCTTTTCACTCAAAGCAACAGCAATTAATTTAGCTCTTGGGGTTCCCATAACAACACAAAAAAGTGAGTAGGGATTTCATTAAGCAGGTAAATATTCTTATAACAGAAACATCTGGCTCTACAATACTTCCTTTATAAAATAACCAGGATTTTAACATTTGTCTCGAAAGAGAAAGGCAGTGGTGTTACTTGAATCTAGAACACCATGCAATCTATCACAAAAACTATAAGTTGAGTGTGATACTCAAACATATTTGAATGCCTGCTAAAAAGGTTTAAAGAAGCAGATTGTCTCCAGAAAGTCCCCATGTGTTAGATAATAGTGTTTTCTGTTCTTGAAAATTCTACTTCCAGATAAATGCACTGTTCCAATCCAAACTCTGGAGACAGCGTTAAGCATAGAACCCTGATTTTTATTACCTTTTTGTTCTATAAATAATCTGCTCTAATCAGAAATCTCATGTCACTGAATTGAGTAGCAGAAAAGTCTACAAGTGAAGAGCTGTACTTCTGACAGCTTGCTTGACACTGTCAGAAAAAATGACAGGGAAATATTCCAGCATTTATATTACACAGAGGATTAAATTAAGCTATGCTAAAATGCAAGGATAAGAACAACTTGAGGTTCAGAGAAAGAAGAGGAAGGAATTGACAGGTTATAAAATAGCCCATCAACTAGGCTTCTTGAAGGAAGTACCTTCCATTGTGGAAGCTGTATCTCAGGCAGACAAAAATGTTCAAGTATTAATACAAATTCAAAAAGATGTGACTGATTTCTTGTCAAAAAAAAAAAAAAAGTAATGCCAACATGTATGAAGGAAAGAAAGGTTCATAACTAATTTTGTAAGTTTTATTCAGCGCCGTTTTTATGGCTAAATGTTTTCAAGTCTGAAGCTTGGTCATACATTCATAACACAATGTTATACTGAAGCTCAGGTAAAATTGAGACAAAATCAGAAATGTCTCTGCGACTAGAAAAGGTCAGCATGTACCCATCATCATACGGAATAGACCTGAACCCAGATAAACATGTATAACAGAAGTTATATGTTTTACAAAAGATTGTGAAAAGTAGCTGAGCGTACAAAGAGCTAGCAGAAATATGCAACTAATATATCTGAAGCTTTGTCCTAATATCAAAAGAAGAAGGAAAAGATAGGGAGGGAGGGAGGGAGGGAAGGAGGGAGGGAGGAAGGGAGGAAGGAAAAAAGAAAAAAGAAAAAAGAAAAAAGAAAAAAGAAAAAAGAAAAAAAAAAAAAAAAAAAGAAAAAAAAAAAAAGAAAAAAGAAAAAAGAAAAAAGAAAAAAGAAAAAAGAAAAAAGAAAAAAGAAGAAGAAAAAAAGAAGAAAAAAGAAATAAGAAAAAAGAAAAAATGAAAAAAGAAAAAAAAAGAAAAAAAGAAGCTTAACTGGTATCAAAGGAAAGCATGAGGAAGAGCAGAGTTTTTAAGTTTGCCCAACATCATAGGCCTGTAACCAAAAGGGACTATGAGATTAAATCCCTAGCTTCTATCATGTATCACTGTGTAACTTAAAAAAAACCTTCAAAACTTTCACTATAATTCCAGAACAACTAGATTTTGTGTTCAGAACCACTAATCACTGTTACAAAGAGTGAAAAAGGAATATCTAGAAGTATTTAGATCATGCTTCTCATGCAGTTTGTTTAATTTTAATATTATCCACTTTAAGTTAAAACTGTATGGCTTTTACAAATATCTTGCTATTTAAGAAAATTTTATCATGACTGTCTTTCTAAGTTTACTGTATGTTTACTGAGGCAACTAGATGGAAGTAATTACAGTAAACGTATTTCTATTCCTATCATAACAGGTGTATCAAATTTGAACAAATGAAGTTTTGTCTTCTACCAGAAACAGACAGTTTGTTAGATTTATATATTATCAATAAATTGCATCTGCAGAAAATGGAAAAGAATGCCGTATTTGCACACTTTAAAGACAATAATAATAATAATACTATCGCTGTTTTTGATAGCTGTCTGTAAAAGGTAGGGTCAGGCAACAACTGTACCTGCAAGTGTGGAATAAAATCACACAGAAGTTTAAGGATCTCACATTCCAGCATGGAGGGTGCTTCTATGTTCTTTGGCCCATGAGGCTGCAGTAAGATCTTTAGTAAACCCATTCGCAGTCCAGCATATTCCCGTAACTGGGATGGTTCACAATACAGGTATCTTAGAAATGAAGCCATTATGCGAACACATGAACCCTCTGCCCTGCAATTCAAGAAATAAGTTTGCCATGAATGCTTTCTACTGAAAGCATAACAACAAGGAAACCCAAGTAATTTGACATTACCTGCAAAAATTCACAGAACCCAGTTAACAGAAAGGTGTTGAGAAGGACATGTCTAAATCTCACAAAAAACTTGGACTTACCATAACTAAGTACTGTCATGACACCAATATCATAACCATACCTCAAAGTGCAATTTTTAAAAGACTCAACCTAATTTTATTGGGTTTTTTCTCATCAATTCAAGAAAGTGACTTTCCTTGCTGAATGTCATAACAGACTATAGTGCCATTCTGAAGAAGTATTTGGATAAGACTACTCAGAAATATATTTTTAAAACACATAAACCATAATTTCAGTAAAAAGAAGACAGCCTTTACTTATCAGTTTTTGCAGAATGGTCTTAATACAATTAAGTGAAACAGGAACTGTTTTAACCAACATGGCTTCTCAGTAAAATATTTGATTTTTGTTCCCACAGAACAAATTTTTTGGCTTGACCATGTTTGGAATATAAGTTGTCCTTGACATTACTAAAACAATCAAATAAAGCTGATGGCCAATACAGTATCAAATATGGAATCATAGGATTATTTAGGTTCAAGTCCAACCAACACTGCCTTGCCCACTGCTCAACCATGTCAAGTGCCACATTTCCAGGTCTTTTTGAATACTTCCAGTGATGGTGACTCTATCACTTCCCTGGGCAGACTGTTACTATGCTTGACAAAACCATGATGAAATTTTTCCTGATAGCTAATCTAAACCTTCCTTGATACAACTTGAGCCTATTCACTCTCATCCTGTCACTTGTTACTCGGGAGAACAGGATGATTCCCACCTGGCTTCAACCTATTTTCAGGCAGAGAGCGATAAAGTCACCCTTCAGTCTCCTTTCCTCTGGGCTAAACACCCCAGCTGCTCCTCATCAGATCTGTGCTCCAGACCCTTCACCAGCTCCACTGCCCTACTCTGGACTTCCTCCAGCACCTCTATGTCCTTCATATCCCTCTGTGTCCACCTCTATGTCCCCTCATGTCATGAGGGGCCCAGAACTGGATAAAGGGTTTGAAATGCAATGCACTTGGCTGTACCAGAGCCAAGTACATCAGTGCCAAGTGCATGGGCACTTTGCTAGTCCTGTACTTGCTGGCCACACTATTTCTGATCCAGGCCAGGATGCCATTGGCTTTCTTGGCCACATGGGCACACGCTGCTTCATGTTCAGATACTGTCAACCAGTAACCTCAGGTCCTTTTCCTTTGTGCAATTTTCCAGCCACTCTTCCCTCAGCCTGTAGCACTCCATGGAATTGTGACTACAGTGCAGGACCTGGCATTTGGAGTTGAACCTTGTTGAACTTCAAACCACTGGCCTCAGCCATAGGTTCATCAGTCCAAATCCCTCTGCAGAGCCTTCCTATCATCCAACATCAACAGGAAATCAAAACTCTGTTTTAAACAAGTTTCCACAGTTTTGCATCGAGACTGAATCTTGATGCAAAACTGTAGAAAGAGTTCAGTAATAGGTCTACATCAACATAGCTTGTTGACATCACACTTAGGGACACTGTTTACTGGAGGACTTGACAGCACTAGGTTAACGCCTTGACTCCATGTTCTTCAGGGCATTTGCAAACCTAAATTATTCTGTGATTCTATATTCTCAGTCTGGCACTTTACCCACAGAAACCTTGAATAAGGAACACCCAGAGGAACACCACATATCTTCCTTTTCACTAAGAAAAACTCCTGCTTTAATTCAAAAGAAGCCACATGCAAAAAATCCACTGTTCACTCCATCATTTCTAAACCTGAAGGGACTCTATGTGAGTCTCAGATTTAGCAGCTGAATGAAAGAATTAACAGCATTTAAAAATACTGTGATTAATTAAATTGAGCAAAATATACTTTTGCTTGAAAGTCTTACTGTTGTGATCATGTAGTCTAATCCCACCAGAAATTTAAGAAATTAATCAACTTGGTTCTTCATAAAGAGCAAGAGAACAGAGCTCTGCACTATTACTCTGTTATTAGTCTTTCAGAAAATGGGAAAAAATATATTTTTATCTGAAAAGCATACATATAGGTGTAAAATCATTGAAAACAGTTCTCTTTGAGGATGCCACAGATTTATCTTACACTGAAACTTTATTAGACAAGTTCTTTAGCGGTAAGCATGAAGAAAAGGCTGAGATTGTTGGCTGTTGGGTATTTGGTCATTTTAACGATGTTTTATAATACAGCTGTGTCACTGATTTTTTTCTATCTTTTTTAATCAGAAAGATACATTGTTTTTCAAGACTTCATCCTTTCTTGTGATTTAATCATCTTCACTTTTCTTTCATCATCCTATCATTTTGTATAGATAAGTTACAGCTGCAATGTATTCACTTTTTATAACTAAGCAGTCAAAATTTTTACAAAGCTGATAAGACAAATTGTGTATTAAAAAAAAAATCAAATATATTATCAATTTTGCACCAGTTATTCTATACCCATACAAAATTTATCTACAGAGTTGACAAAAAGCTATGAAATTGATTTTTAATTTATTATACCAGTATTTAATTAATTATTATTACTTATACTATTTTAAATTGTGAAATGGTATAATTACATTTTACAAGTATCTTTCACAAAAGAAAGAATTCTTACAGTTTGTTTACCTTCAACAAAACATTTACAGTGATACGATTCAGCTGTCTACATTTGCTAGGCTTTTTGAAATTTTTCATTCATTTACCTCTCTGGACACTGATGGAAAAATACGGTTATCTGCTGTAGCAGAACTGGCCAGCAATCAGGTCTGTTTTCTAGAACAGTGATTAATGGATGAGGAGTGTTCCTGAAAGACAAATAAATCACATTTATATCTATGACACAGAAAGGAAGTATGCAAAACAACTATCTAATAAGCATGGATGTAGAAACAGCCAGTTTAACCTCTTTCTTTTACCAGCTTTGGTAAGATTGCTACACTGTCAAAAGAGGATATTTTCTCAAAACTTCTGAAATGAGATTAAAATTTCCTCCAGGTGGAGGAAAACCTGGGAAGGTGAGAAGCCTGAAGCATGTAACCTGTTCTGCCAGAAACAAAACCAAAGTCATTTAAGTAGAGTAACTTACTGCCCACAGTTCTGGATGCCCCATCCCTACAGGTCAAGGACAGGCTGGATGAGCCTTTGAGCAACATGGTCCAGTGGAAGGTGCTTCTGTCTGGGGTCTAGGGTGCTGCAACTAGGTGATCTTTAGGGACCCTTCCAACTCAAACCATTCTATGCTGTAAGTTAAAAGGTAAACAGAGAAAGGCAGCATAAATCTGCTGCAAACCACCACCTTCAGTTTGGTTAACCATTTATCCAGCTCACAGATCCAACAAATCTGTCCTACACACCAGTGAGACCTTAAAGGAGTTTTACCTACAGAGGAGAATGATTTCAGAACCATCCTTTGAAGTGATGTATCTCAAGAGACATTGCCTCAGTTTCAGACACTACATGAGTGACAGTCAGATATGCCTTTCAGGAAGGATTTAAAACGGTCTTTCACTTACTACCATTGTTTAAAAAACTTCTGAGGAACAAAACGTCAGAATTTCCAACAGTCTTATTAGAGAAGACAACATTCACTGAGACACACTCATATCCAATAACACTGCAATACAACAATGGCTTCATTCTTAAGCAGCACTGAACGAACCCAGTTACAAGCAAAAGTGAGTGAAATTAGAAAGAACACCATGAAAGAATAAAAATCTAATTTCCCCCACTATCTGGCAAATTTGAAATGCATAGTGTGAAGGTACATTAAGAATTTCTTTAGCTAAACTAATACTTACCTACTATAATCAGGAATTTTTAGAGTTATGCTATGCCTAGCAAAACACTATTTATGAAAAAACATAATCTAGCAGACATATTCTTAAATTAAAAGAGGTGTTCCTCATTATGTTTTTTTTTACTTTCTCAATGTTAACATTTTTTGAGTCCTAGGCAACTGACTGGTTGTGAGGATAAAAGAGCAAAGAATTACATAGCCATCAGCTGAATTAAAGGCCCACCAAACTATGAAAGCTGTTTGAAGAATATTTACATACCTAATGACGCTTGTTTTCTTTGCTATGTGGTTACACCACAGCTAAAAACACAGGGTTTTTGTGTTTTGTTTTTTTTTTATAGTGGTTCCCCATCTGCTTGTCAAATCATTTTTCTTCTGAAGATGTGTGTTTCTTTTCAGGGAAATAAATAATCTGAAGACAAAAGTTCCTTCAGAAAGCTGGCTGATGCTATGGACTTCTTGAAATATGTTTGGAAAACAGATGCTATCTACTAAGAACACAAACAATGCATATTACAGATCTGACCCTCATATTTGGGGCTAGAAGCCTCACATTAATCTCTCAAAAATTTGTCAATTTACTTATGTTCTTCATACGTCCACTTTCCTAGATCTTGATTTTACTGAAGTAAGAGTCTTTTACAATCTGTGCACAAAGACTAGAAAAGCTAACGTTTTTGCTCCATGTCAGCTTTCCAAACATGACAGCATGCAAGAGGCAAAAAGTTGCTGCTTGTCTAGCACCTGAATCCAGCAACATCATAGACTGTATCCTTATCAGACAGTAAGCTAGAAATACTGCCCACATGCAATGCCAGGACCTTGAAAGTACATATTCCTTGTAAAGACATATAGGGTTATAGTGGCTTCTTATTTCAATAACTTTGTCGTATTTTAAAAATAATCGTCTTTCCTAATCAAGAGAATATGTCTCCAGTCATCATTTAAATGCTGCAATGACACCAAAGCCAAGAGAACCATCCTAAAGTCAGCACCTGACACATCAAGTTTCAAATTAAAACAGCTTACTATTTAGGAAAAAAAGCAATCTTTTTATTACAGATCTTCTATGTTGCGAAACTAGTAAAACTGCACTGAAATGGATGATGAAATAAGTCAGCTAAGCTCCACAACAGTGATTAATAATAAAGCAGTAAAAACTGCAAACCAAGAACGTTCTGCTTGATAGTGCTATTAGCAGTAAGAAAACTGAGGTGTGTAGATGCAGTTTATTGTCAACAACATCTTAAGAATTGATAGAAGAGCACCTTAAAACATGCATCTTTAAATGACATTACAGCACCACTACCCTAAATTACTGCTAGTGGGTTCAGGATAAAGCAAAACACACAAGCAAACCACTCAAAATATGGAAATGTGCAGGCAAACAAAGATAAACCTTTGTGAGAGGTAATAATAAACCATATATTATTTTTAATTTATAGGTAATCTGAACTTTGTTACATCTCTGAACAAAAGTGAACTCCAATCTGATTTAAAGGACAAATTCAGTGGCAGACTTCTTTTTCTGTATGAAGAAACAATATCTGCAGTCAACATACCTTTCTGTGTATGCAGATGTGACCCTGGCCCTTTCAGAAAGCTGGTCCTTTCAGGAACAGCACTTTACTCCATAAAACATACATTTTTAAAGCATTTTGCTACCTGATCTGAATCTTGAATTCAGAGAAGTAGCGGTTCTCTATGACTTTAAAACAGTAAAATCATGCATGATTAATCATTAATAATATCATAAAAAAAGGCTAATAGCTTTCGTAAAAAATCATATTCAATTTTTTGTACATATATATCATAAACCACCTGCACTGAGAATGCTAACAGGAGCCCTTCCCAGGTCAAGATAAAGGCATTTTACTAAAGAAAAGCAAAGACCACAAAATAAAGCAAGGAAAAAAAAAAAATATTCTTTACTTTCCATCAGCAGGCAATATCTAGCCACTTTCTGTGCAGTAGGGCTTCAGTATGCATAGCAGTTGCTTCAGAAGACAAAGACAAAGACCACTCCCAGCTCCTTCTTCTTAGTTTTTACTCCTGAGCACAGTGTTATACAATATGAAATATCCCTTTTGATAGATTGGGTAAGTTATCCTGGCTATGTTCCATCCCAAAGTCTAGACCAATCCTCCCTCACTGGCCCTTTGAAGGATGGCAATGGGCTCAAGGGACAGCACTTCTCAGCAGTGCCCAAAATTGGTGTGTTATCAACACTGTTCTGGCTGCAGATGGCTGCTCTGGAGAAAGTTAACTCCATACCAGGAAAACACTATATAATAAAATGCAGAAATCTGCAACACATTAATTTTTTTCCATTTCTTTTCGGGAAATGATCATGATATTATATCATCTCAAGAATCTGTATTATAAAATGAATTCTATTGCCCAGAATTAACATTGGCCTAAACCACATTTATTACCCTTTAATACTGGTGACAATAGCAAACAACTTGAGAATATACTGTTGTATTTTGATTCTTCATTGATGATTTCCATATGGAATACTTTTGCACAGTGGACACCATAATATATATACCCTGTAATGGGAGATTTACTGTTAGTGAGCTACTGAATACATTCTTAAATTCATTACAAAAAAATCAGGTTTTAATGGCATTAAATGGAGCACAACTACAAAAATTGTTATATAACAATGAATAGATAAGTTGTTCTGTACACAGAACAGTCAGGTTTCAAAATCTCAGGACTCTGACCCTATGTCAAGCAATCATTTCTCTTTATTAAAGTTAACTATAACCAAAATGGAAAACAAAAACCATACTGGCTATATAAAAGTCTGCTTCTTATTTTTATTTCTCTATTAATTTACACCATTCTGAATCACCAGATTTCACCTTCATGTGTCTTACCAGTAGCTTCTCTTTTTGTGAGTGTGAAAAAATGCAATAACTTTTCTTTGCTCTATTGGGCTGAGACTATTTCTTTATTCCAGACACATCCTACCACCCTCTTTTTCATACAAAGCCAGAATTAAGTTCCTTTAACTTAACTTCTTCTACCAGAAACTTTTAAAAAAGGTTCCGTAAGAATTCCGTCTTCCTTACTTACCTTTTCATTTAAAACTGCTCTATACAAGCAGGGATTTTGTAATGAGAACTGATATAGCCACATGAAGGATTTCAGGAATGCAAACACATCCAGCACACCAAAAAGCTGCTTCACTTCCTGCACTATTTCATTTTGCTCAATTAAAGACATGATTCCTGTCTGTCAAGTAATGCATTTTATATCCTTAAGCTATAGCTACAGCCCCCTACAATGTAACCTCTTAATTGCATAAAACGTAACTTGAAAAGCATTCATGACATCTACCAAGCTTTTCTGTTCTTCAGAAAAGATACAATAGAGGCTTTAAATGTCAGTACTGACTCATGGTTTCTCAAGAGATGATGAAGCCACTACGATGTCCTCTTCAAAGTCTGCTATTGCATGATAAGAAGCTTTAGATAAGTACCTCTACATGAGTCTTTAAGTATTTTATTTTTACATGTCAATCACCTTAACAGCAAAGACAGTTGGGAACTTGACTTTTATAATAAGAACAAAGCATGAAAAACAAGTGAGAATGAAGGATTCAGAGCTTTAAAATAAAATACTTATCAAAAGAAATATCAGAAATCATACAGTATTTGAACAAGTACTAGTACTTGTTTTCTCCCCCTGTCTTGCCTCCCATTGCCCCACTGTCACTGTCCCTCTTGAGCTTATGGTGGCAATCTTATCCTTGTATTAAAACTTCTTAAAACTTTCAACCAAAAAAGAAACCCAAAACCCACAGAACCAAATCATCATTTAGGTTGAAAGGGACCTACTCAGATAATCCAGTCCAACCACATGCTCAAGCAGTCAGCTAGTAGAGTCAGGTTCTGTTATCTCTAAGGACAGAGATTCCACAACCTCTGTGGGCAACCTGTGCCAGCACTTCATTATGTGCACAGTGTGCACAAAGCAAAATACACAAAAAAGAGTAAGATCAAAATCCAGTATTAAATTAATTTTCTTTTTTTTTTTCTTCTCCTGGAAATCATACAGAAAGTTATTATTGTTTCTAAATAAAGGAATGTAAAACTAACCTGATTCCATACAGATTCCAAAAATACTTATCTTCATCTTTTCCCAGGTGAACAGCTTGAATTTGTATTAACTTGCAAATAGTCTTTACTAAACCGTGCACATTCCTGTTGACAAAAAGAACTGAGTTACTGTCAAGTATGCAGCTACATTAATTGATTTATACCTAAGAAAAGGAATAAAACTGACGTTTGAGTCCTGGAGTTTTACTTAAGGGCACCTCTTAACATATTCCCATACTGTTCTGGGCAAGTTATGCATTTATGTGTCTTTGTTGTCTTTTCACATAATGATCAAAACAGCAAAGAGAATATTTGCCCATCACTTAAAACTTTTTACAGGCTGTTTCTACCATATATTACAAAAATGGGAATACAAGGCAAACAGCACATTTAACTGTAAAACCTTTACCATACTTGTCACCACCTACAGAAAGACTCTTTTCTGTAAGGTGATATGGTATGCCATGGAACATCTAGAGAGTCCCACAGTGGATCTCCTCACCATTAAATGCTTACTTTTATAGTTCAGATACAGGCAAAGTTCTATATTCTCTCTTCTGTGCTGGAAAACTTTGACCGAGATCAAAAGTGATAGAATGTGCTTGCATTTCTCTCTCTCTTTCAAAAACGGACCACTTATAAGATGTGCCTGTAATTTTTAAAATGACTGGCTGTTGTGACACCTGGCTCTCAAAATACTGAAATCTGACAATACAAGAAGACATTGAAGTTTGGCAAAACTCTGCTGCAAAGCAGCTAACAGGAAGATGTGCCGTAGTCTTCTAAATCCCAATATCATCAACCTAAAGCACAGAGGAAGATTATTGGATGGGTGTAGGGGAGGGAGAGCAAGAACAATCTTTTAGCTTCTTCACTGCTAGAAAAAGCCAGTGAAATGAGAATTTGTAATTTTATTTCCCATCTTCAACTGGGTAACTGCAGCAAGGAGGAAAAAAATGAACCATAAAATACTTGGTAAGAAAACCATCTTTCCTGTTATGAAACTTCAATACTCCTGGTCCTAATTTCCAAGCAGGAAGTGGGGAGAGAAGAGATGCTTTAGGTTTTGCAATCATCTCCTGAACACAAGCAACACAAAGGCATGTCATATTGCCAGGATTTCCATCTCATTTCCCATCTCCTACAGGCATGGATGCTCAGTAATAAAAACATTCTGAAAACGTGCCACACAGAAATCCTTCTGACAGCGTCTTTTAGATTACAATAATTAATTGTTTCATAGGTTTTTCAGTAGATTGATTATTTATCCTTGTTCATTACTGAACACAGGCAGTGTTTTCCCACCATCATCTAAACAGAATACTGAAAATCAATCCTAAACACATGTGAAAACACACATGCATGTATCTACATAAGTAAACATATTTCCTATATATGCATAAACACACAAATATGCATGTGAATATGATGTTCTATGGAGTTTAAACACTTAGGGCATCAAAAGAAACACTTAAGATCCAGTTACAGTACAATAATATATACAATGAGAAGGTATTGCAAACCACACAAGTTAACTTATATAAACATGAGATCTTCATCTCTGCCAAAACAAAATGTCTTTTCTAGGTTGAATAATCTGATAGACCTGACAAAATATAATCCAGCAGGTGCACTTAGCCTCTGCAAAATTCTTTGTAACAGAAGAGAAGCAAGAATACAGCGTGAGTAGTCTTTGCCAACAAAATATACACCTGACTCCACTCAGCATTGAAAGTGCTCCGTGGTTGCAAATGCCTTTCTGTTAGCTGCCACTGGCTGCTAATTTTTGTTTTAGCAACTGTGTACCAAGCACTGCAAAGTCACACAGGTGAAAATTTGGCAAGGCAAAGGATGATGGACTGCAGACTACAATTCTAAGGCAAGGTAAAAAAAAGTACTAGCACTGAAAAGAGTAAATCTGAAATTGTCAGTTTAATGAGCTCCTGAGGCTACAAACATTTTAAACCACAGACTTCTGTGGTTAGGCAACATAAACCCTGCTTTGCAATCCATAGTGTATGCGGTTTCATTTGTAGCAGCTTGAGGGAGGAGGGGGGTGGCAGTGGGAAAGAAGCCAAAAATACATAAAAGGTTACTATGTAATTTGCCAGCACTTCGTATAGCAATCAGTCATGCGTTGGTTTCACACATGAAAAAGAGATTTTGAGAAGTTTCAAATAGTGTAGAAGTGGGGCAGATTGTAGTCTCTTCAATATTTAACTCTGAATTTGCTTTTAAGGTTAACTTAATTCTAAATATCCCATTTTATACTTTTTATTTTCCGAAGTACAAAGCTGTATGAATATTTCATAACCTCATAAACTGTTAGTACTGTAACAAACCCTCAGCTGAACAGCAAATTCAAATTTCTTAGTCTGCGAGCCACAACTGATGCCTTTTCCCTAGTCCTAGAATTATGGGCCAGACACAATTAAGGCATAAAAGCGTTTTTATCTTTGTATTTAATAAGGATCCTTAGATGCAACAATTCATCAAGGTGGAATACACCAAAATGCACATAGACAGTATACCGTGTATATAATTTCAAAGACCTTGCAAATCAGTATATTTGACAAAGATTTCCCAATGAGGAGCTGAAATGAATGGCACGATAGCTCCCCAGTCTAGAGTAGCCCCCCCAAGATGGGCTTGAGTGTAGTTTACAAAATACATTCTAGAAAGAGCCATGGTCTTTCAAGATAACGCGAGGCTTTCCAGCCCTGAGCTGTGAGGCTGGGGCATGTTTGGTTTTCTGGCCTAGCAGAATATCAGCACTTAAGCTAAGATACCAAAACAAAGAATTTCAGCTATGTATGCTAAGAATACTGAGAATACATAAAAAGTATATAAAAAGAAAACACAAAAAATCATGATGGCATCACAGCTAATAAAACTTTTACTCCACCTTATGCCTCAGGACTCAGGTTCACACGGTCTTATCACAGGTACTTTTACTTATTTGTTATACTTACGTAGATCCTCCCTTAACCCCAAAATGCCCCAAAACTTCATCATTTGGAGGACAGTGGTTTGCAGAGATTACCCATACTATAAAAATGTATTTACAAAACCTCTTCTAGGAAACCGTAGTCATTTATAGCAAACCCAGCAGAGACTTACCATCAGCACAGCAAGACTCTAGCTGTAAACAAGCAAGTCACAAGCTGTAAACAAGCAAGAAAAAGCTCACATTTGGCTCACACTGAATATGAGAAACCTTAGCTAAGGTAAAACTGATTATGTGAAGGTGAGAAGAGATGAAGAACCATGTCTTGGAAGGCATGGTTCTTGCAGCCTCTCTGCTGAGTCTACCAGCATAACATATCTCATATATAACTAAATAGCTGGTTTAGCTAAAAACAACTCTACTAGTCTCTAGCAAGAGAATTACACAACTTGGTGCAGAAATCCACTTAGCAGTCAAAAGGAAACTTAATAAAGTTGGTAAATTTCTCCCCAATCTCCCCAAGGTTGGAAATCTCTCCCCAGTCATAATTTGATTTCCTATTTCTAAATGTTATGCACAATGCCTCTTTCCCTCACAAATGCATTTTCTCAGTATGTTGGACAGGCAGTCTAGGTCAAAAGACCACTACAAGATGTAAGCATTCTATTTGCAGAATTGTGTAGGAGGAAGTAGCTTCAAAGGAAAGTGATTTCCTCCTCAGCAGACAAGGAAACAAACTGCAGCGTTTCTAATCCCAACACACATTCTTATGATGACTTTATTTGAGCAATCAGTTTTTTGACAGACTGATGAAGTTATTTCCCTCTGTGCTGGTTTTAGCTGAGATAGGGATAATTCTCTTCACAGGTGCTGGTATGGGGCTGTGTTTAGGACTAGCGCTGAACACAGGTCAAAAACAGGGCTTATGTACAGCCTTTTCTGCTTTTCATGCTGCCACACAGGGGAGGAAGTTCGGGGTGCTTGGCAGGCTGGGAGAAGACAAAGCCAAGATGGGTGACCCCAACTGACCAAAGAGACATTCTGGACCATATGACATCATGCTCACTATATAAAATACACAGAAAGAAGAGGAGTGTTTGGCATGATGGCATTTATTTCCCAAGTCACCATTACATGTGATGGGGCCCTGCTCTCTTAGAGATGGCTGAGCACCCGCTTGCCCATGGGAAGCAGTGAATTAATTTCTTGGTTGTGTTTGCATATGTCCACAGCTTTCACTTTTCCTTTTTTCAACCCACAAGTTTTCTTCCTTTTTACCCTCTCCCTAATTCTACTGGTGGGGAAGTGAGTGAGCAGCTGTGTGAGACTTGGCTGCTGCTTGAGGTTAAACCACAACATATTCTCCTATACTGGAAGTTGCTGAGATAGAGGCAACAAAACTAAGCAGTTCATTGACTTCTGAGGTTCCACAGTTCAAAGTTCAGAGCACTAGCCTGAACTACTGACAATTTCAGCTTACATCCATAGAATACTCTAAGAGTTTTTATGTCAGACCCACACTGTCACATAGCAAAGGTGAAAGCAATATACTTCAGCAGAGTGGCAGAGCAGTAGCAGTCCTTAATGTCATGATGTGTCTGAAGAAACTGGCACAGAACTTCTCTTCTTCCTCCGTATTTGTAAGGGATAAGCAATGGCTGATAACCACCTGACAAAAATTAGGCAACCAAACACTACCTTGCTGAGGGAATTCGGTCAAGAGCTCCATGAAGAACATAGTCAAGCTCAGCATGTTTCTCCACCACAAGTGCCACCAAGCCCTCACAGCAGGCTGTTCGCAAGGCAACATTCTCACTGCAGCACTTCTCCCAAAGCAGGTTCAGAGCAGGAGTCTGAAGGCAAAAGCATGGGACACAAGTAATGAGAATGATCATACTGATTCATTTTCATTCATCTCAAACACACTTTTAAATACAAACCATCTCAATTACTTCTTCTGAAGCCTTAGAGAGCACAAGATGAAGCTGGGGTACAGATTCTATCCCTGAGAAAGTCAGGACAAACCGTCAAAGAAAAGTCAGGAAAAGTAGGGACAGCTCCCACTTTCTTGCCCTCTGCTGTCGAGGCCCATGGTAGGGCACAACACTTAGTGTCTCTGACAAAAATGGTAATACAGATGAGTTTTTCAGCTGTGCCTACGCAGTTAGAATAATGGAATGGATTGTGTTGGAAGTGACCTTAAAGACCATCTAGTTCCAAGTCAGGGACATGGAAAGCAATGCCACTCCCTGTCAGATTGCCCAGGTTCCCATCCAACCTGACCTTGAACACATCCAGGTATAGGGCACTCACAGGCAGGTTATCATCAGTTTCTCGATTTAAAAAATAAGGATGCAATTGGAGACAATTCAGAAACTGCCATGAAAAGCTGTCTCTACACCAAGGTGTAGCAACACGCAGCTAAAGACAGGTGTACAAAGGGTAAGTCGCCTTTACTAAACACTTAAAGTTCTATTTGCTAGTAAGCATGAAGATTTGGCAGTAACCATCAAAGCTGCTGCTGGTTTCCATGATTCTCAGATTAGTTTGCTGACTTTGTGACTTTCAACTGGAGAACATAGAAGGTTTTAAAACAACCAACACGGTAAAACACTCTTGAGTATAAAGGGAGTCTGCAATGTCTAACCAGCACAATCTTCTGCTTCCTAGCATATTAGAATGTGTTGCTGTATTTCAGTCTAATACCTTAATATAAGCAGCATTAAGGGGAAAATATCAACTTGTAGCTCAAAATCAGAACATAATTTGGGAATTTGATTATCATCAGGACTGTGAAAGAGCTTCTCTTAGATAAACTACACACTTCCAATACTCCCTCACATCAAAACTTAGCACTTTCCAGGTCTGGGTATGTAAGTCCCCAGACTGGGGAACAAAAATCGACAGATCAATTTCTGTTCATTTCTAGACACTTCAACTTTTGGGGAGAAAAAACAGAGTAACAAATCCTAACTAACACCTTTCCCATTTGCTGTGACACTTGCAATTGCCAACATTTTATATACCTCTCTGTTAACAAGATGTGCACTTAAGTAAGCTTGACTCGTTTAAAATGCAAATGCTAAGTATGCCTTTACATCCTGCTACCTCCTGAAGAAATACAAGGTCTACTTACCTGATATGAAATATAACATCAATGCAGGTATGCAAAATGCCATACTTCTTGAAATTTTTATAGCAAAGTAAACAAATTTCCAACGCAAGAGACAATATCCCAGTCTATGTTCTTCACTCTCAGTAACATAACTAAATTAAACTCTCTTAAACTGAACATAGCAAGATATAGGTATTTTGCAGGATTAAGACTTCTGCCATTAAGTCTTGTAATGGAAGTAAAACTGTTCTTCTGATGCCAGAGTTTAATTGTTCCTGTATGCCCAAATCCATATTGATAACTACCTTTATTTAACTTCTAGAATTGTATTAAAATGACACAGTGGAAAACTGAAAAACCTAGAAAAAGCACACAGAATAATCACATAAGGATGAGAGAGAGACGAAAGTGAAAAAATGCCACAGACCTGGTCAGAAGCCTGTCTGATTGTCTTTGAAGAAACTTTTTCTTTCAGAACTGCAGCAATCAGATGGCTCACTGCCTAAAGAGAAAAAGAAACAAAAAACACACACAGATGCATTAAAAGAAATAAAATTAAAATAAGTAAAAAGCACATGCATGATTTTTAAATTCTCTATTAAGAAGTCTTTATAATGCTGCTGTATATGATAATTTTATTCTGATTGAAATACCAAGCTTATGGATGTGTAAGCTGAAATATGCTTTACGGTCAAAAATTTCCATAATGTTGATATACTCACTTTTACAGTTAGGCTGAGGCAGAAAAGAATCAAACTTCCACAGGACTCCACATAAGTCCAAAGGCCTCTTTTAACAGGTACATAGCTATTTAGGAATTGCAGATATTTTCATGCAATGACTTCAATAAACTTTATACCCCCACTGCTGCACAGATCTCCATGTCCTTAAAAGCACTAGTAATTACTAAATCCTGTACTATAGAGGAAAGCAGAAGCAAGAGAGGAAGCAGAACACTGCATATCCAAGCAAATTGCCCAAATTTTTGCACCACAAGTTTTGCCTTAAGCAATTTGCATATCTCCTTATCACAGCTCCTGCCAGAAATATTTCATTTACTTTAAACTGGGCATTTGACATTAGCATAATTCCTCATTAAGCTATTCCATGGCAGAAATCATTAACAAGTTTTAAATAGTCAAGGTCTTCAAAACAAAAAAAGCTTCAGTTCCCCAAAACAGCCCAGGTTTATTCTTTTGAGGTAAAGATTAAGTTCCTCATTCTATTTTAGTAGAAGTCTGATTTCCTGAAACTGTCTTTCAAAAGCTAAATGTGAACTGAAATACACTCAAAGGCGTCAGGTCGTTTGAATCTAGGCTTTCAGTTCCTGACTCATCTATAGTGTCTTACTCTTGTTTCATAATTATTGATACTGTTACACAGAAAACCCATTTTGTGAAAGACAGACATGTTTTCATAGTAACAGCACAAAAATGTTTCAGACTATCAATGCCCACATCTACTCTTTTCTGCTAATGACAGATCATTACTTTTGTAAAAAGTAAACTAGGCCAGCAAGGAATAAAAATAAAATTAGCATTTCAGTTTTGTTAGTATATAAAAAGACAGGAACAGACTATTTTCAACGTTTCAAGGTTCCTTTCTCATTTCAAGATTTATTTCCACTTCAGTCATGCACTAGTTGCTAACCTGTCATAATAAACTGAAATAAGAGCTTATATTTCTTGCAACGACAGCACCTGAAACACTCCTAGACTACAAGGACTACGCTTTTCACAAGCAAGGAAATAGATTCTAATATATTTAACTTAAAAAGACCAGTTATTTGGAAATCTTACTCTTAAGGAAACAGAAGGAGAAAAAAAGTCAGTAATTTATGTCTGGTTACAACTAACCCATCACAAGAGCAACAGTGTGCTCCCCAGACAGATCAGATCTCTTTCAGTGCACTTACAAAGGAAGCCTACATTATCTTTTCTTAAAAAGACCATCAGAAGTTAATTCACACCTACATCCTTAAGACACTTCTGTTACACAGGAGAATGAGCTTATCAGTAGAAACTTGGCTTTTGCAGTGACATTTGACAGAAAAGTCAAAATGCAGACTAGCTCTCTGCACTCATAGAACTTGATTAAGCAGTAAAACTTCTTGACCTACAAATCTGTGCTTAAGTTCCTCACTTTTCTGATTGTGTGTAGACTACACACTCTGCAGAGCTTGGTAGAGCAGATATCTTGCTTGGTTCCAGAAAGAGAAGACATCTCCCATGAAGTTGAATCCTGACCTGATTATAGTTTGAAGATTACAGAATGCTTTCCAGGGTCAGAATACAAGTGGAAACTATCAAAATAGCCCAACAGGACAAAATCAACCAAAGCACATTAGCAAATCTTAATGATGTGCAGCTGTAATGAGCCAAGATATTTAAGCAGTACAACAGGGATAGTACCACAGGGACATTCTGCACTAAAGAAAAATTAACTGCTTTGAAGATGCTGAGCCCTATTCATCAAGGCTAATGGTATAAACTCATCTGCAGTGCAAGACTCTTTGCTAGACCTTAGATGAACTCCATCTTTCAGGAACATGGCTTTCTCTCCCAAATGCTAAGCTGATGACAAGTGGACTTGAATCTCTCTTTCAAACCTAATTACTGTTAAACCAAGGTGAACTGACTGAAATGAAGAGGCAAGAAAGACACCAGGTTGCACAGACTGTATTCTGATCAACCTATTTCACCAAACAAATGGGTACATATTTAATCCTCAATTCAAAACAGGATGAGGAAGAAAACAGGGAAATTAGCAATGAACTTACAACCAAAGAGATACATTTTTAACATTGAAATGAGAAATTACCAGAGTAAAGAACATGTATGTTTTAACCAGAGACTATTACTACTATTACTCTTTTCCTGTCCATTAAACATACTATGATAAACACTTTTTGTATGTTGTAATTTCAGGTAAAAACAACGAGGAGCAAAAGTGTGGATCAGAAAATAAAGGGGGCTGAGCTGAGCTGCATAGAGTTATCCCTTGATGACAGACAAGACTGCAGTAGTTTGTGACCTCTCACCACCAAGGAAGAAACAGAGCAGTTATATTACAAAATATTATGAAGTATTTTATTCAGATGTAATAATATAAAATAATAGAATATAATAATACTTCTATTACAGAAGCATTACAAAGTATTTCAGCCCCACATACAGCATTTGATAATTCCTGCTTCTTGAGATCACAAGGTCACTAAAAACCACTTGGCCACACTCCAACGTTCCAGTCATGGAAAGTTTTGGATTTTCGTGAAGAGACTTTATAGCGATGAGCAATATGTCCTATGTTTCAATTACATGGAAAGGGCAATTAGAATTTGATTGCAATTTAAGAATACTCTGTTTCTCTGGTTTTCTGACTTTGGAAAAGAAACATATAAGCAGCAACTCTTGGAACAAACATTTCCACAGACAACTTGATTTGTTCTCATGCTTTTTAAAAATTACCTGTGACTGAACAACTGCATTAGGAAATTCAAATCGCTTCTTGATGTCATCCAACATTTTGGTTCTGTCATATGACACTAAATTACACTCTGCAAGAGAGATTCAAAAAATATACTTAGAAGTAGGAAGGACAGCATGCTACTTTTTACACCCTCCCCATCCCCCTCCAGATTTATGTTGATTTAACAACAGATGCAAGCATTAAAGCATTTTCTTCCCCCTCTGAAGTCTACCATATCACCTTGTCTTTTGGGCTTGAAACCAAGAAATGGTGAATACTCATTGGTCCTGCACAAAGAATGGGTTACAGACATTTCTTAAAGCTGCAACAAATATACCATTCCATATGGCAGAGCATATGTGTACTCTGAGAGCATGTATTCTTGAGAGCATTTTAAGTATATTTCATTGAATTTAAAATGAGACAGCTCAAAAGGAATGTTCACAGTCTCACAAACATGATTTAAAATGCAAAATTATCCACAACCTTTCCACCATTTCATGCAAAACCAGAAGTAAAACAAACAAAAGACCAACCTGTGAGACTGCAAATGGTAACTGTAGGCAATAGGGGCTGGACCACTTGAAGTGAAAACCTCTGTAAGTTGGAATATGCAGGTACTCACAAGCACATAAGAACCTACATTAAAGAGAAATCAGAATTCAGTCACACCAATGAAACTGATGGCCACTGCAAATACTCAAATATTTCAGTTTACTATAAACTTACCTCCAGTACTTTGGAATAGCTTTCTCAAAAAACCAAAAAAAAAGCTAGTACTTGTTGAAAACCTAAGTGTAATCCTTTGCACTAAGCACTGAGGAAATACATACATGCAAAATACTCAAATTCCAAGACGTTATCAGTGTGATACATTCAGAATCTTGCCATTGACTTTAAAAAAAATGATGGAATGAAAGCCTGGATACAAGCAATGTAGCATGTATCACAAAAAAAAAAAAAACAACATTTGTGACAGGAAAACTCAAAATTAATAGTAACGTTAATAGATCAGTGATTACAAATTCCTTGCAGTTAAGCAGTGAGGTATTTCCATACACTTGGACTACATGTCTCAAAGTGCAGGAGAAAAATACCAACACTGATGCTGGTATGGGTATGCATAATTTTAGAATAGATGTTATGGCATTTTGAGACAATAGGTGTCCATATAATAAATCAACACATATTAAACTAGAGCTGATATGTTGCTTTAAAAAAAACCAAAACTTGCTACAGCAAACAATTCCAGGCATACCTAGATCTGTTGAGCATGGCTAATAACTCCAGTGGATCTAGATGTATCAGCCTATCTGTAGATATAAACCTAAGCTCCCTCAGTTCTACCCAATAAGCAGCAAAATGAGGTAAGGCTCCTTCCTGGACAGTTTTGACATGAACACACTGGAATTATATTTTATCTCTCATCAGATAACTTTTTTTACCCACATTAAAAGAAAAACCTACTACAGAGAAACATTACAAGCACAGAACACGCTTTCAATGTAAGCGCAAATCAGCTATTCCACATAGACTAGAAGTCTGTTACCCTTGCATCAGACATAAATCCTACATTTCTAGCCATCTAAATGAAACAGCTACAGCACAGTTACAATGTAACAGCTATATAAGTGCAATTAAATACTAAACAGTTCCTCGATCTTCAGCATTCACCCTTAGTAAAGGTAACTGTGTATCCACATGGAATGCCCATAAAGTTCACAGGACACATGGATAATCAAGACTGGCAGAGACCTAAAGACACTTTTTGTTCAACCTCCCATTCAAAGGAAGTTCAGACATGTAGTCAGACCTGGTTGCTGAAGGCTTTGCCTCAGTTTGGGCTTGAAAGCCTCTCAAGACTGGGGAATGCACCACTTTACTGAGCTGTCCTGATCAACAAAAGCTTTATCTCAATCACTAGTCTTTAGCTCGTTTTTCCATGAACTCCTGTGAAGAGCCTGGCTATTCCTTCTTTCACCCCCTCCCATTAGTGCCAGGGCTGCTACTGGCTGCCACTGTTCAGCTGTCCCTCCTCCCAGCTGAACAGTCCTGGAAACCACAGCCTCTCCTCACAGGGAAAGGGCTCCAGCCCCATTATCTCCATGGTCTCTGTTGAATTCAGTCCCTGTGGTCACTATCTCTCCCTACACGAAGATCCAGAACTGGACATGGCAATATGACGTCTAAGGTGTGCTGAGAGGAGGTGGACAAATCTCACCCTAACAAAGCTCTGTCACACTTCCTAGGGCAATTCCTGCCAGGGCCTATGGCCACCCCATGGAACTGCTTCCCAGCCCAAAAAAAGTGGTGGGCCAAGACAGGGCATTTGTCATTGCTGAAATTCCTGAGGTTTCCATCACCTGTTCCTCTAGTCCATGCAGAGGGCAGCCCTGCCAGCAGGCAGACATCCTACCTCTGACACAGGAACAAGGTGGGAGACAGTGTTGAAAGCACTGTTCAAGAGGAGGGAAATGACACCTACTCTCCCACTCAACTCCACAATTATTATTTATTAAAGTCAATCATGTGCATCAGGCATAATGTTTCCTTGGTAAATCCACACCCATGTGTATTATTCCTAGTAAGAATCATTGAATCAGACAGCTTAAGAACAAAAATTTTCAGAGCCAATCTAGTCCAATCCCCTTATCAAAACTGGTCTGAACCTTCCTCTCTACCAAATCCAGTGGAGTCCTGAAAACCCACAAGGGTAAAACTGGCGGGGTCACCATCCCTGGAAGTGTTCAAGAAATGACTGGATGTGGGATTTTGGCCTATTGTTTAGCTGAAATCGTAGTTTTCAGTGACATGCTGGACTTGATGATCTTGAAAGTCTTTTCCAGCCTCCACGATTCTATGATTGTGGGTCCCTTCCACCTCAGGACATTCTACAATACACCATCAAACACACACATAAAAAACCATTCACCCCAAAAAACCCACTCAACACAGACACACAGACATGCAAGATAAAGAAAGAAAAAACAATGTATTGAAAGGGACCCTGGTTTGCTTACCCAACTTAGTCAATGTAAGTGATAAGCATCTATGTAGCCTTAAGCTTAATTTATGGCAAGATAGCCACAAAGTTGCTCTATCACTGCTCCTCAGCTGGAAAAGGGGCAAAAATATGATTAAGGGCTTATGACATAAGGACAGAAAGATCACTCAGCAATTACTGTTATGGGGAAAACTAACTCAAGCTAAGGAAATTTATTTTCACCAATGAAAACTGAGTAGAATACTAGGAAATACAAAAAAATTTAGAAACACATTCCCTCCACCTTTCCTTTCTTCTGGGGTCAACTTCACTCACTACCAACTTCTCTACCTCTTCCCCCTAAATGGAGTATAGGGTCAGGAAATGAGGTTGCAGATGCTTTTCCCAGCTCCAGCACGGGATCCCAAACACAGTCTGCAGTTCTTCATTAACTGCTCCAGCGTGGGTCCTTTCTATGGGGCAGTTGTTCAGAAACAGACTGCTCAAGTGTGGATCCTATGTCTTGCCAGATAACCTATTTCAGCATGGGTTCCTGTCTTCATGGTCCCACTGGTCCTTTTAGAAGCCTGTTCCAGCATGGCCTCCTCTCCATGGAGTCACAGCCTCCTTTGGGCATCCAACCAGTCTGGCATGGGGTTCTCCACTGACTGCAGGTGGACACCTGCTTCACCACTTCCATGGGCTGCAACACACATGCTACCTTACCACGATCCTCACCACAAGCTGCAAAGCAGTCTCTGCTTCAGCACCTGGAGTGTCCCCTCTCCCTCCTTCTGGACCTTGGTATCTGCAGGGCTGGTCTCTCATGTTCTCACTTCTATCCTTGGGCTGCTGTAATGTAGCAGTTTTTCACCTTCTTAAACTTGTTATCCCGAGGTGGTGCCACCATCACTGATGGGCTTGGTCCTGGCCAGTGGCCGATCCGTTTGGAGTCAGCTGGCATTGGCTCTGTCAGACATGAGGAAAGGTTCTGGCTGCTTCTCTCAGAGGCCACCCTTGTGAACCCTTCCGCTCCCACATCCTTGCCACACAAATCTAACACAGCATCCTGACAGAAAGCATTGCTAATTCAAGTGAACCACAGAAAGGCTGTCACGGCCCTACACCTTCAGAGCCGGTCCAGTTCCCCAAAAGAAACTCTGTCAAGGTGAGTTAAGCTCCGTAACAGAAAATGACCGCATTTTCCGTCTGCGGTCTCAGAGCCTTTGGCTCCTTTTCAAGGACTCTCGATTCAAATTGGTGTTCCTACCAAGCCAGGAGTGAGAACACCTGCACACATCCTCACCGCTTGCGTGCGACATAGGCAAACGTCTCAGAGCGACCAGCTTTAAACAAAACCGTACAGCAACAGCACCCCCGCACACGCGGCAGTAGCGGCAGCTGCCTTCCTTCGCTGCCGACCCGAGGCCGCGGACCGCTCCCGCCGCCCGCCCGCGCTCCCGGCCCTCACCTCGGCCCCGCCGAGCTCCGCCACGGCCGCGCCGCCGCCCGCAGCCGGCCGCGCGCGGCGCGCATGCGCGGAGCCCGGCGCAGGCGCGGCGGCGGCGGGGCCCGAGCGGGCGCGGGGCCGGGGCCGGGGCGCGGGCGGGACGGGGGCCCGGGGGTGGACGCGGGTCTTTAGCTTCGAAATTAGCGCAGTGAACCCCGCCAGCCTTCCGAATGCCTTGGCAGGCAGTCAGCAGCAAGCTGCAGGGACGTTAGAAAGAGGATATGAGGAGTAAATGATGTTCTCTGGTTGCTGCTTGTTGCCACGTAATCACAGAATCCCTTAGTTTGGAAAACACCTCTAAGAATACCGAGGGTGTAGCTCTCTCAAAGACAAAAGAAGAGTTTAAACCCAGCTCTGATGTAGTTTGGCAACTGCTGTGCTACTAACTGGTAACCACACATCTGTATATATATTTTGTATTCTCAGTTAAGTTTGTTAGTTTACAGAACAGCACTTCTGTTTCCTAACATCAAAGCAACACACACCTGCGAGGCATGTATTACTTAAGAATGCCTCTCAGTGAAAATATTTTAGAAAATTCACAATATTTTGAAAGGATTTTTTTTTGAAAATGGTTAGTTTATTCTCACTAAGGTTAAATTATTCTCCCTCAAGGTTATCTTCTCTGACTTGGTTTGAGCTTAAAGTAGTGGAATGCTGACAAATAAGAAACAAAAGTAAATGTAGATAAGTCTCTCTAGTATTTCTTAAGTTTTTTTTCATTTTAAAAGATAAGGAGTATATGTGTTCAGTTTCACTAGCTAAAGGCATAGGCAGTTTATGGTATCCAAAGAGCCCTGCCACTGCGTGCATAGAATTGATGGAAACACGTGCACTCCAAGAGGCACTAAAAGCCCAGAAGTGACTCACTGTACTGTCTTGAGGTGCCTACAGGTGTGTAATACAAAGGGAAGATCAATCAGATCCCAGAGAACATGCGGACAGCTTGCTTTATCCATGACCTCTCTGCAGCAACTGTTTTCAAGCAGCACATACAAGTATCTGTGACATGGCTTTTGGCTCAATACACTCAGGCCAAGATGGGCTCCCATGTCTGCCTGCTGCTGAAGTATCCTAAGATTAGGAAAAAGGACCTGTAGGAGCTTTCACAAGGATGTAACTCAGTCTCTAGGTGACCATAGGTGGTGACATGAATCCAAAGGCAGTGTTCAGTCTCCTCTGCCCACTCCATGCTTTCTGCTTCACCTAAGAACATCTCGCTATTGACAGGTTGGTTTGTTGACATTTTGTGATTAGTAGTCAGCTATGAAGGGCCATCACTCCACACATGCAGAGCTTCCATGGACTTCAATGCAAATCCAGTGTGAGGGAAAAGTCCCTGATTTGTATCCTCACAGGTTATTGAGATGAGTTAGAGTGGAAATTGCTTAACTCTTGCCAGAGGGAACTCTGCAATTCACAAGATTAGGCTTGAAATGCCATACTGAGCTTTATCCTGTAGGAGTTCATAGATGAAAATTCCCTTTGTATTAGTGCAAGGAAGGCCTGTGGCATTTTTTGACTGCCTTTACAGCACTTTTTCTTTTATAATTACCAGGTTTCAGACAGGTGAAGTGTATCTCAGTAGCATGCCATCCAGGGAAACTTCTCCAGCTGTGTGTTAGCTCCAAGTTGTGCTCTAGACATGGGAGCCTTAGTTCTGAGTGCAGTTCCAAGTCTGCTACTGCCCAAATGAGCATTAGCCAAAATGGCTTTCAACTTGATGCAAACTGCAATGGGATCTCTTGAGATTAAAGGAGCACATAGTAATTTATGTTGATGTAGACCATTCTGAGCCTGTTGATACTGTGAAGCATCTTGCTTTTACAAGAAGCTCACCAGAGGTTTCATGCTTGGTGTGAAAATATCAGGAATATCACACCCATTCTATGAATTACTTGACTGTGATGTGTAATTGCTAGTGCTGTTCCTAAACCCTGAGTTTTGTCCAGGTCATCTAAGGACATTGAGAACACTGAGCGTATCTAACAGAATGCTCTCACAAAGGGCTCTTGGTAGCCCCAGAGACTCAGCTGTGTTTTGAGACAAAAGGAGCCCATCTCATCTTCATGAAACCATTTACTGTCCTATGGTGTCAATCTGTTTTAATAACATATTTTTCTATACTGATATCTCAGAAGCAGGAAGAAATCAGAGGATATCTCTTAAAGGACATAAATTTACAGATACTGCTTTTGATTGCCTTTCAACTTGCAAGGTTTATAGAGCCTGGCTGTGAAACTGAGATATATTTTCTGTAGTGGCCTGAAGTGTTGTCCCCAGCTTTCAAGGTATTCCATTAAAGTAGGGGAAATACTTTGGAGTTCTGAAGGTAGCATCAGTGTCAAAGTTATAACTGGGTTTGATTCTGAGCTGCTCATATCTGCTGCAGATTACACCGAAAAATGCTTTCCCTAGAAAATTTCTGAAATCAGTTTTCCCTTTTGAGAGAAATTTGATATCTTTGGGAGGTATCTTCAACACAATTTCTTGCTGGTCTTAATGTGGCTTGTTATATAAGAAATAATAAAAATATAATTCAGATAGCTTGTATTGAGCTACCAAATAAGATTACCACCCTCCAGTTTGTGTGACAAGAGTCCTTGAAAAGGTCAGTAAATCTGTGAAAACTGCCCTGTTCTCTGGCTTGTGAATTTTCTTCCAGGAAAAAAAAAAAAAAACTAGGCAGGAATCCTTGTCTCCAGTTACACTTTTTCTAGGATATTCTAAGTTGGGTTATTATGGGACAATCTAATCCCCTGAGGGGTTATGCATGGTAATGCTCTCCAAGAAATACCAGAAGGTTCTCTTGGCAGCATTTGTAATATGTTGTGAGGTCTCCCAGTGAAGGTTACGATGCAAATGAAAATCATACAGTAATAGCACTGATAATGGCCTAATCTGCATATCTCATTTCTTACATGGAATTTTATCCAAACCAGAAAGCAATTCTGGCTTCAATCATAAAGCAAAGGAATAAGAAAAATTCTAGTTAAGAATATATTGCAGAAATCAATTGCAGCAAAGCCTACCACTATTGAAATACATTTATTTTAAATCTCTTTGAGCCTGATAATGAAATACAATTTTAGCAAATGGACCTTCCTAGTCAGCTATGTCTTTAGCCATTATAAGTAAGAAGGTTTATCTAAAAGGCATTCAACATTCAATGCATCTGGTTTTGCTCCAAACAGTAGTCAGCTATGAAGGGCCATCACTCCACCCTTGCAGAGCTTCCATGGACTTCAATGCAAATCCAGTGTGAGGGCAGAACTGAGAAAAAAGTCCCTGGTTTGTATACTCACGAGCTATTGAGATGAGTAAGACTGGAAATTGCTTAACTCCTGCCAAGGAGAACTGTGCAACTCACAAGATTAGGCTTGAAATGCCATAGTGAACTTTATCCTGAAGGAGTTCGTAGATAAAATCTCTATTTTTATTAGTGCAAGGAAGGCCTGTGGCATTTTTTGACTCCCTGTACAGCACTTGCTCTACTGAAGGGTAACACAGAAAGTTGGAGGCGTATTTCTGGCAAAGATATTATTGGACTGTTTCAGTTTCCCATTGATTGTATCGAGTGGCAGAGAGTTTTTAAAGAGATAGAGTATTTTTTGGCATCAGTTCTCACTCTCAGCCTCATAAAGCCTACAAAGACCTTTAATTTATATAGTCATGAATGAAAATTAATAACTGATGGAGCTGTAACACTGAAATTAGGACCTCACCAGAGGCTGGTTTCATATTACTCTGTACAACTAGATCTGATTTCATTAAATCAGTGGCAACAACAGTTGCAATATTAGAAAGAAGCCACCCCCTTGTTGTGGAATACACTGTAACAAATTTATGTCCCACACAAGGCAGAAAAAACTTGAAACAGTATACAACTCAAACCTTATTGCCACGATGTGCCCACGATCCTTCTAGTGCTGGATAATATAACCTTGAAAAGGTACAGCAGGGCCAAACATCCCTAGTAGGAGTGGGTCATGAGCGCTTCAAGTAAACTACAGGCAGATGTAGCTGATGCTCCTTTGCAAAATCCAGATGTAACTCTGTAGGTGGTTCCTCTTCATGCTCTCAAGGACAACAACAAATGAGATATGCTGTGAACAGTCAAGGACGAGTAATAGAAGCTGAGAACCTCGCTAGACTCCAAAATAACAAACTGCATTCTACTTTCATTTACATGACGCAGCGCAGCAAAACCTAAGGGGGATTCAAGGAATGAAGTTAAGGATGTGATTGAAATTGTTTTATTCCTCCACTTTCTTTCTTTAAATGAACATTAGCTAATGTCACAAAAATACAAGAAGACTGCTCAGGAGTGAATAAAATAGATGAATATTCAAATTGTCACTGAAATTAACAAGACTGTTCATTTGTTTAGATTTACTCAGTGTGTGTTTGCAAGTCCTGATGTGACTTTAGCAAGATCAAGGAAGGGATCATCCCCTCACTGGTGAGGCTGCATCTTGAATCCTGTATTCAGTTTTGGGCCCCTTCTTCACTACAAAACAGACATGGGGCTGGAGTATGTATCCCGAGAAGGGAGAGCAAAGCTGCTGGAGGGTCTGGAGGACAAAATACACAAGTAGCACTTGATGGAGCTGCAGTTGCTTAGCCTGGAGACAATGAGCCTGAGGAGAGAATGAACTTTCTAGAACTCCTCTGAAAGACTTGCAAGACTC